GATGCATTTGCCTGTACGCACTTTTACTCTTGCTTCTAGTTTTGAAGATGCTCCTCCCATACGGAAAGGATTTTTTCTTGTAAGATACTTGTACATAGGTAGTCGAATCCTACCGTACTCCTCGTGTCCGTAACCAAATGTTTCCAACTCGTTTCATGGTTTGATGAATACAGTTGCTCTTGCTTGTTATTATTATTCATTCATTCACCACAAAAAGGTTTCTAAAATGTTGAACCGAATTTGCGTTGGCGCTCCTGATATTTATATATATATATATGAGATGGGACTTTGCAATCGAATGAAATGCCAACTGATAGTCGAAGAGGACCACACGTGAGCAACCATCGCTCTCCCGCCCGTCAATGGTTCTCCACCGAACGCCAGCAAACAAGAACGAGAATAAAATACATACTCATCTTCGCATGTTCTTATCAAAGAAGGAACATGTCAAAGAAGCATGGCATCCATCTGATCTACTTCTTGTTCTATTACCTCTTGTTCTTATCAGCGTTCCTCGTTGTTGTTGTTGTTGTACCTGTGAATGCATGGGAACAAACCCCTCAGCTTCTTGTTCTTCGTTCGACTTACCAACGACATCCGACATCAATTGCCACCAAATCTTACTCAGGCAGCAGATGGAACCGCAGATGGAACCGCTGTAGAGGAGTCATCCCATCATCATTACGGACGACACCAACCACTCTGCATGCATCATCATCTTGGACAGAGATTCCTTCCATTGTAGGTCCGTTCGACGCCAAGGCATTTGCCGAGACGCAATGTTGGGGTCAGACACCATTGCTCCTCCAGCATTCCTTTGGTGGGACGCAAGTGTTTTCGTGGAAGGACATGTTGCAGCTGGCAATGCAAGATGAGTCATCGTCTGTTACGTCTCGACTGATCACACACCAGCCGGGAACCTTGGATACCTTCAAACTCGACTTTGGCCCCTTTTCTGAATTGGAATTGAGTAACTTCTTGATTGTCGACTCTGATACTGAGGAACTTCGTGATGATCCTGACAAGAATGAAAAAGATGTGTTTAACCAAGTTTCAACCTTGGTTGTCAATGATGTGGATCGTTGGATCCCATCCTTGTCCGACTGGATGGATATTCATTTCGGATTCTTGCCCCGATGGCGTCGGGATGATGCCCAAGTCAGTCTGGCCAGAAAGGGTGGAGGCATTGGACCTCATGTGGACAATTATGACGTCTTTCTGATACAAGCCAGCGGCACTCGCACCTGGAAGGTGGGACTGGAAACTCTTTCGGTAAAAGATGAGTTTGGCAACTTGGTGGAAGCCTCCGAAGTCCGAGTTTTGGATCTAGAAGGACAACCAGCTGGTGAATTTGTGACAATCCAACTCGACCCAGGGGACTGCTTGTACTTACCTCCACGAGTCGTCCATTGGGGATCGGCAACGTCTGATGATTGCATGACGCTAAGTGTCGGATGTCGGGCACCCTCTGCATCCGAACTCCTTCAGCGTATCACCGAATCCATGTCGGACTCGTCTTCTATCTTGGCAACCGCACGCTATACTGACATGGAGGATATAGCAAATTGGTCCAAACAACAACATGGCGGCAACCAAAAGGGTCTCTCTAAAAAGGTCAAGGACAAGATGAAAAGGTTGGTGCTGGACTTGATTGAGGAGCAATTGGACGATGATGCTTTTTGGGACAAACTAGTGGGCGAGGTCGTCACGGAACCAAATAGGCCTACCATGGACTATCCAATACCCTTGTCTGAAATGGACGAAGAGTGGAAAACTGAATTGGGAATATGGGCGGATTCAAAACAAGCTCTCGGGGGTGTCTTGGGTGGAACTGGAGTCTTGCGTCGTGCAGAAGGCATTGCATTTGCATGGTCCGTCTTGGAGGAAAACGAAAAGATGGGTCCTATTATGTTTGCGCAAGGAAGATCATTCCCGCTGAATGATAATTCTGACGCTGCATCACTTCTCCTAGATATGATTGCCAATGGATTGCCGCTTAGTCGGCAACGATTGGACGAGCAAGGAGTTGAAGTATCAGATACCATGAAATCCTTTCTTCTTGAGTTGATTGAGGAGGGGTTGCTATATGGTGACGATGACGATGATAATAATGACGATGATGAATATATATTATAAGGATGATGTAAAAGTACAATAAAAGTCTACCGATCGCGCCAGAGAGTTGGTGGTTTTGGCGTCTTTCGCGCGTCGAATATTTAGTATCTTAGAATTTGAACTTATTTGAGGACCATGCTGCAAAAACATCAAACGAAACAACCAAAGCAGGATTTCACCTGCAAAGAAGACGAAACTCTCAATATAACAACATGCCCATTCTACAACTTGAGCCATTATCAGCTGTCTTTGATACAGCCTTTGACCAAAGCTTCCTCTTCAACATCATCAATGGCTCATCCTTCAACAGCCCAAACCACGACAACGAACAATATAATTAAGGAAAAGGCGAAGAGAACTTGGCACCCAACTTTTGTGCATTGGATGGCGTGTTGAAGATCACAGCTCCCAAAAAAGGGGCTCTGTCTCCAGTAGTGACGATCCCAATTCAGGTCGGAGACCCAATGCTGAGGTCGTAGGAGGGGATTTTAAGTCTTAGGACATATTATAAACTGCCTGATATATAATATAATACTGTATGAGCTAGCAAAATTCTTGTACATTCGTTGTATTTCACAGTTTTACGTTGAATCCTGCTGCTGGTGTTCCAGAGCTATAGTAATCGCGGATTGAAGACAAACCCCAAGCTATTGAGTCGCTCCATCCTTTCCTTTGTCATCGACGATGGCTTACCGTTGCAATGTAATCGAAAGTGCCTCCGTTCTGTGCACATGGAAATTTGTTTTGAGTGGCTAGTATATGGTTCTTTCAATGGTTTCCAATTGCGAATACGCAGCCCTGATACCACAGTAGCAGTAGTTACTTACGGCTTTTGACCCAAACGGCTAGCTGTTGATTCGTTTTGTACGATTTTGGGACGTTCGCATGTCCATGGACTCGCCGGAATTCTGAAAGCTCTTGGAACCGCTCTTCCCATGTCAAAGAATGGGAGTCCCACACAAAGCCAAGTTTCTCCAAAGCAGCCTGCCGCTGATCGTTCAAGGTAGAATGTTTCCCTTCCGATTTTATTCGATATTGATACCTTTGCCGTTTGACCCAATTACTAAGAGCCCTGTTCAGTTGATAGCGAAGAGGTACGAGGCAGTGACCGTGTTCCTTTCGGAATTCCAAAAGTTCCGCATAGCGTATATTCCATTGATCGACTTGCTTTTGGCGGAGAAGAGTGGCGTCCCGCGGATAGCCAGCAGCAGCTGGAGCTGCAGCTGCAGCCTTCTTGATGGAGGCGACCGAGGCGGGGGCCTGGGGCGAACTCGATTCTGGATGCGAGTTTGGTGATTTTGCTTTGGAAGCAGAGAGAGCTTTGAGGTATTCGATTGAGTTGCTATCGAGGTTCCATGTTGTGGCCTGTATGGAAACTCTCTCCACCGGGACAATCTTTCCTACATTGATTGGGGTAGGCTGCAAGCTCACTGGTATAGGTATACGAGCTTCATCATCGTGACTGTACTCATCGCTTGATTTTCTGCGTTGTTTTTTGTTTCGACATGAATCGTCCATAATGCCTTCATGCTCTCGTTGCATATTTTATGGGCTTATTTGAGATTGAGTGATTGTGAGATGTTGCGCATGACCGTACCTGTTACGTAAATCGTGAAGCATTGATGATTGTCAAAATTTCAATTGTGCAAGATACGCCCTCAAGAATAATCACATTCTTCTCTTCTCTGAGCAACTCACTTATCATCTTTCGCAATTGCCACCACAGTTTTGTCCTGCAAGAAGGGTACCAGGTACACGTGTACCATGGTACCGGTAAAGTTGAAGCAATCGTATTAACATATGTATATATAAAGCAATAATTTCGTGCGATATACGCCCCCAAGATTCAGATCCTCACTTCGCCAAGCCACTCACTTATCAGGAAACACCACAGAACCAAATATGTGGCTGTTTCGTTCCCGAGGAAAGGTCGATCTTTTTGGACAATAATGAGGAGGCTCAACCGGTCGGTCTCAAACTGTGACTCCTATTTCAAATAAATTTTAAAATTTATGGTTTGAACTCGCATGCCTGCGTATGCGCTTTTATTTCTAAAATGATATTATATTTTCTGCTTCTGAGGGTAATATTGAACAACAATCTGTGAGACATGTCAGGAAGAATAATGCTTTCAGGAGAGACTCAACCTTTCCAACTCGTTTCAACTCTTGCAATGCAGTTCCACCACCATGGTTGACGACGTTGCCTTTATTCATTCATTCACAACGCAAGGTTTCTACAATCAATTTGCGTTGGTGCTTTGATCAGAATAAAAGGCACTCACTTTATAATAGAATGAAATGCCAACTGATAGTTTAGGAGGACACGTCATCCATAACTCGCAACCGCTCCCACGTCATAATATAATGCTTCGCTCGAATAAACGCCAGCAAACTTGAAACTGCTCAGAGAAAAGAATACAATGCATAAATATATATATCACTCTGCTTACAGTATATGTTCTCATATCAAAGAAGGATCATGCCATCCACCCGATCGTCTTGTTCTATTACCTCTTGTTCTTATCTGCATTCCCACTCAACAATGTCGTTGTTGTTGTACCTGTGAATGCATGGGAACAAACCCCTCAGCTTCTTGTTCTTCGTTCGAATTTACCAACGACATCCGACATCAATTGCCACCAAATCTTACTCAGGCAGCAGATGGAACCGCCGTAGCAAAAACATTACATCAGCATTACGGAGGACACCAACCACTCTGCATGCATCGCATCATCATCGTGGACAGAGATTCCTTCCATTGTAGGTCCGTTTGACGCCAAGGCATTTGCCGAGACGCAATGTTGGGGCCAGACACCATTGCTCCTCCAGCATTCCTTTGGTGGGGCACGAGTGCTTTCGTGGAAGGACATGTTGCAGCTGGCAATGCAAGATGAGTCGTCTCGACTGATCACACACCAGCCGGGAACCTTGGATACCTTCAAACTCGACTTTGGCCCCTTTTCTGAATCGGAATTGAGTAACTTCTTGATTGTCGACTCTGATACTGAGGAACTTCGTGATGATCCTGACAAGAATGAAAAAGATGTGTTTAACCAAGTTTCAACCTTGGTTGTCAATGATGTGGATCGTTGGATCCCATCCTTGTCCGACTGGATGGATATTCATTTCGGATTCTTGCCCCGATGGCGTCGGGATGATGCCCAAGTCAGTCTGGCCAGAAAGGGTGGAGGCATTGGACCTCATGTGGACAATTATGACGTCTTTCTGATACAAGCCAGCGGCACTCGCACCTGGAAGGTGGGACTGGAAACTCTTTCGGTAAAAGATGAGTTTGGCAACTTGGTGGAAGCCTCCGAAGTCCGAGTTTTGGATCTAGAAGGACAACCAGCTGGTGAATTTGTGACAATCCAACTCGACCCAGGGGACTGCTTGTACTTACCTCCACGAGTCGTCCATTGGGGATCGGCAACGTCTGATGATTGCATGACGCTAAGTGTCGGATGTCGGGCACCCTCTGCATCCGAACTCCTTCAGCGTGTCACCGAATCCATGTCGGACTCGTCTTCTATCTTGGCAACCGCACGCTATACTGACATGGAGGATATAGCAAATTGGTCCAAACAACAACATGGCGGCAACCAAAAGGGTCTCTCTAAAAAGGTCAAGGACAAGATGAAAAGGTTGGTGCTGGACTTGATTGAGGAGCAATTGGACGATGATGCTTTTTGGGACAAACTAGTGGGCGAGGTCGTCACGGAACCAAATAGGCCTACCATGGACTATCCAATACCCTTGTCTGAAATGGACGAAGAGTGGAAAACTGAATTGGGAATATGGGCGGATTCAAAACAAGCTCTCGGGGGTGTCTTGGGTGGAACTGGAGTCTTGCGTCGTGCAGAAGGCATTGCATTTGCATGGTCCGTCTTGGAGGAAAACGAAAAGATGGGTCCTATTATGTTTGCGCAAGGAAGATCATTCCCGCTGAATGATAATTCTGACGCTGCATCACTTCTCCTAGATATGATTGCCAATGGATTGCCGCTTAGTCGGCAACGATTGGACGAGCAAGGAGTTAAAGTATCAGATACCATGAAATCCTTTCTTCTTGAGTTGATTGAGGAGGGGTTGCTATATGGTGACGATGACGATGATAATAATGACGATGATGAAGATTAGGATAGTTTTTATATAATAATGATGATGTAAAAGTACAATACAATAAATAATAATAGTCTACTGATCGCGCCCGGGGCCGGTAGATCTGACTTCAGATTGAGCTGAAAGATGATGAGCGGCAAACCAATCGTATATATTTCAGAATAGCATAATATATTTCTACCGCGATCGGTAGATCTGACTTCAAATTGAGCTGACAGATGATGAGCGGCAAACCAATCGTATATTTCTAATGATGACGTATTATTAAAAAATAAAAAGTGTAAACATACTGTAGTCTACCGATAACGCCCGGTACCGATATGTACCGGTAGGGCGGTTGCACTTCAGATTGTGAGCTGAGCGGCAATCGAATGAATTCTTGCCTGTCCGTCAGTCGCGGCTGTGGTTTGTAAGAATGACTACCAGGACTCAAGAATTTCTGGAGCCGCATCCAATGAAATAAATATTGAGAGATTGTTGGCTACAGTATTAATACAACCTCTCGTTTTGTTTCCATTACGATCCTTTTTAGTATATTTACATCCTCTTCATCACCATCATCACATCAATACAATGAAGGTTGAAACTGTCTCTTCTTCATCCGCGCCTCAGAGAATATCGGCACACACACACATTACGGGATTAGGTCTAGATGACAGTGGCGAAGCAATCGACGATGACACTACCACAAGTTGTGGTTTGGTGGGGCAAACCCAAGCCAGAGAAGCTTGTGGAATTGTCACGGATCTAATTCACTCGCAGCAACTTGCCGGAAGAGCTCTGTTATTGGTTGGACCACCGGGTACTGGAAAGACGGCACTGGCCATGGGATTGGCACAAGAAATTTCCTCGTCTAAAAACTCCAAGCTTCCCTTTTGTCCGATGGTGGCATCCCAAGTGTTTTCGCGAGAAGTCAAGAAAACCGAAGTCATTATGGAGCATTTTCGCAAAGCAATCGGTCTTCGAGTCAAAGAACAAAAGGAAGTGTATGAAGGTGAAGTTACCGAATTGACAGTGGAAGAAACCGAGGATCCTTTGGGTGGATATGGTCGAACGATTTCGCATGTCATTCTGGGTTTGAAGACGGCCAAGGGAACCAAAACCCTCAAGCTGGATCCGACCATCCACGATTCCCTTTCCAAAGAGGCTGTGATGGTCGGTGATGTCATTTACATTGAAGCCAATTCCGGGGCGGTCAAACGAGTGGGCCGGAGTGATTCGTACGCTACTGAATTTGATTTGGAAGCTGAAGAATATGTTCCACTACCCAAGGGTGACGTCCACAAGAAAAAGACCGTTGTTCAGGATGTTACCTTGCATGACCTCGATATGGCCAATGCCCATCCAACGGCTGGCGCTGGACCCCATCGGGATGTCGTGGGTATGTTGAGGAGTTTGGGGAAACAAAAAAAGACTGAAATCACAGACAAGCTACGTGTTGAGATCAACAAGGTCGTGGAAAAGTACATTGAAGACGGAATTGCAGAACTTGTTCCTGGTGTACTCTTTGTGGATGAAGTCCACATGTTGGATTTGGAGTGCTTCACCTATCTGAATCGATCTTTGGAGTCCACCATTGCTCCTATTGTTGTGTTTGCCACCAACAGAGGCATCACCACTATTCGAGGCACAGTTCTCAAAGCCCCACATGGAATTCCTGTGGATGTTTTGGATCGAATGTTAATTGTTCCAACCTTGCCTTATGATTTGCAAGAAATGATTCGAATTTGCAAAATTCGAGCCACCACGGAGGGAATGGATTTATCCGATGATGCTCTCCGTATGCTTGGTGCCATTGGACAAAAGACTAGCCTTCGATATGCCACCCAATTGTTGACACCTGCCAGCTTGATGGCGGAAGTACAAGGTCGGACTCAGATTTTGCCGGAAGATGTTGCTAGTGTGGATGATTTGTTTTTGGATGGAAAGGCAAGCGCTCAGCTCTTGGCAACTAGTGATGGATTCATGAAGTAATATCACCCAAGGTATACTGTAGGGTTTGATTAGTCATCCTCGTTTGTGCTGGAGGTAGTCCTATATACTCTCCCGGTGCCGGTAACAACACGTACTGTAATAGTTTTGCGGGAAAATAGAGGTCCCGATTCCCGATAACGCGCACTTTCAACTTACCGGTGTATTAATAAGTAAGACTTCGCCGTCTCCGCAGATAGTCCGTGACTCTATGAATATGACTCCAAGACGGCGAACGCCAATTCAATAAATTCATCATCGCGGTGACATTATTTTTATCTTATATTGATCACGGAGGCGTAGACTACTGTATAGTCTGCATGCAGTATTGCAACCCGCAAGAGCAAAGACATATTAAGATATAATACAACATCACAACAACAACAACAACAACAACCCAAAATGGCAGACGCTAACTTTGTGAACAGGGACATTTCCTTTCGGAACCATCACGCCGAGAACGACGACGATGATGGCATCTCGAAAGCAACGCCTCTTCATTCCAATTACTCGTTGAATTTTCAGTTTCTAAAAGAAGGAACCCTCTTTGATCGGAGCCAACAAATTGATACGTTGATGGAAGTTTTGTCTAGACGGCTGAGACCCGATTCCACACCAGAATTCGTTCTGATTGCTGGTACTACTGGAACTGGCAAGACGGTACTCGCACGGAAACTCAAGCAACCGGTGCAGGACAGGGATGGATTCTTTGTCATGGGAAAGTTTGATCAGTTGAAAAATTCGCAACCGTTTGCACCCTTGGTAGCTGCCATGACGGACTTTGTGAGACAAGTTCTGAAGAAAAGTAATGAAGCCGTGGATGCAATATCAGCAGACATTGTCTCACAGGTGGGAAATGATATTGGGGTTTTGACAGTGCTAGTTCCGGCGTTGGAAGAATTGGTTGGACGGCCAGCGGAAGGATCTCTCTTTACCCTAAAGAGTGCGGATGCGGAAGAACGTCTGAAAAAGATATTTGTCAAGTTTGTCAAGGCAACATGTTCGCTGACACGGCCTTTGGTGTTAGTGATGGATGATCTTCAGTGGGCGGATCCGGGTTCCTTGGAACTCTTGGAGGCGATTGTCAGTGACAAGCACAACCAGGGGCTTGTGGTACTAGGGATATGTCGATCCAACGAAGTTTCCTACACCCATGACTTGTCTGTCATCTTGAGGCGCCTCAAAAATGAAAAGGGCGTTCTGATAACAACCGTGGATGTCAAATGTCTCTCCATCCAAGCAGCCAACTCGCTAGTCGCTTGTGTCTTGAGGTCTCGGGAAGACGATTGCGTGGGCGTCACTAATATTGTCTATGCCCGAACCAAAGGAAATGTATTTTTTATCGTGCAATTTCTAAAGGCACTCTTTGAAGATGGTGTCCTTACCAGAGACCCCACCAATCACAGCTGGCTGTGGGACGATGACATTTGGGGAGCCAAATTCGAAAACGCCAACTCGATACTGGACCTTACGGCTTCTCGCATCAAAAAGCTGCCGGTTGATTGCCAATTGCTGCTATTGTATGCAGCTTGCCTGGGTACGGAACTAGACGAGGATTTGTTGTCCAAGCTGTTTGTCGATTCTTTGACAGTTGGTGCCGAGGAAAAGAGCGTTTTGTACGATCTTGCCGAGTCGGTATCCAATGTAGACTTGGACGGCGCTATCGAGAGATGTGCTTCGGAAGGCGTAATTATCAAGGAATCCCACTCGATGACCTATCGCTTTTTGCACGATCAAGTAAAGGAGGCAGCCTACAACTTGATAGCCCCAAGTGAGCATCCAAGCCTACACATATCCTTGGGCCGCTTTTTGTGCAAGGTGCTGACACGTGATGAGCTGGAACAATACGTTTTTGTGGTCCTAGACCAAATGAGGCTTGGAATTGAATGTATCTTTGCAGAATCAGAAAAGGTTCATTTTGCATCGCTATGCTTGCTGGCGGGTAAGAAGGCAATCATATCCAGCGATTTCAAGACATCACTGAGAGTACTAGAGCTTGGACTTGGTCTGCTAGATGCGAGGCAATGTTGGCGAGACGAATACGAACTAACACTAGCTTTGCACAACACGATTGCCCAAGTCACATGTTGCCTCGGCGATTTCCAGGGAACCGATGAAGCTGTAAAAGCGGTGACACTTCATGCAAGATCGTACAATGATCAACTTCCAACGTTGATGCTTCAAGTTTATACGTATGGAACTCGAATGCGGCTGAAAGATTCGATCGAGCTCGGATTGGATGTCTTGGAGAAACTTGGTGAACCGATTCCGAGGAATCCAGGGACGCATCAGATCATATTTGAGCTCTTCAAAATTAAACGGACTCTGAAACGAAGATCCGATACGTCTATTATTGGTTTGCCAGATATGACGGATCAAACCAAACTTTCGGCAATGGGGATATTGAACCTTTTGATTGCTCCAAGTTTCATTGCTCGCCAAAACCTGTTACCACTTGTGACCTTTAAACTGTTCAGACTAACGCTGAGCCATGGGGCATCTGCTGTATCAACTGTTGCGTGTTCTGGTACTGGTCTGGTGCTTGCCAATATTGGCGACCATGATACGGCGTATCGTCTCGGACAGCTAGCACTCTTGTTTATCGGAAGGTACAATGCAGTTCGGAATGATTGGATCCCCCGAGTCTATGTCGGCCATTATGGAATCATCTCCCTCGCGAAGGAACCAATTGGTCAAGTTCTGGAGAAACTAGCTCATGCACACCAAGTCGGATTAGAATGCGGCGACGTAGAAATGGGTTTCATTTGCCTGCATATGTGTCGAGTATACTCGTTCCATGCGGGATACTCATTGGTTGACTTGGAACCAAAGATGAAACTAGCATTAGAGCAAATGGATGCAAAGAATCAAACTTTGTGGTATGAAATGACTCATGTTTGCTACGAGGCACTTTTGGTACTCATGGGAAGGACAGGTGACCCTGCAGTAACAAATGGTTGTCTCATGACACTGGAAATCGGATCTGAGAAGTTGACACAGGTCCTACAAACCGCAAATCTCGAAGTACACATGTTCATGTGCCTTGCCAATATCCATCGAATGGTGACTGCGTATTATAGTGGTGACTTTGAGCTGGCGCTCGAAATGGCCAAGAGAAGCAGAAATGCAAAGAGAATTCTTGGCACATCCATGTATGTTCCCTTTCAGGTATGTTATGATGCTCTCACTTGCATGGCTTTGCTGAGGCGTCAGCATGTCACCTCCCCCATCCGGAAACGACGACTGCTCCACCAAACTCAGAACTGCCTGGCATATTTCAAGAAAACTGCCGCAGGAATCCCAGAAAACTACCTTCACAAAATCCACTTGATCGAAGGAGAGTTGTTGGCTCATCACCGCAAACCAGCGCAGGCGGTATCAATGTACGCAAAAGCTCAAGAACAGGCTCGAAAGCATGGGTTCCTGGAAGTTGTAGCCATTGCATGTGAGCAAGAAGCGATAGTACGTCGAGAGTTTGGAATGGCAGAGCATTGGGAATGCTACCAGAAGGCGATTCGATGCTATGAAGAGTGGGGTGCTTTTGCGAAGGCTAGTCGAATGAAGCAATTGGCGGACGAAAATTTGTAGTTATCGACATCATCAATACCGCCCAAGAACTAAAGTGCTATTTACAAGGACCTACCTGAGGCGAGCAAAAAAATAATGTGACATCTACCAACACAACACATACTCCTGAAGTTTAGTCTTTTAAAAACTAATTCCAGAATCGATTGCCTATCTACATCAGTTGCTGGGTGTCGAGTGGTCCCTTTCCACCGACTGTTTCATTTTAGATGACTTCGCGAAAGCACCCCATTCTTCGTAGCATCCAATCGCCTTTTGATAGCATTCCATTTGTCCTTCCATACCAAATTCCTTCCGTGCAAATGCTTCCCGATCGAAGGCAATGGCCAAGACACCAAGAAAAGCGTGTTCACGGGCCAGTTCTTGGGACTTCACATACATTGCAACAGCTTGCTGTGGTTTGCGCTGATAGGCTAATATCTCTGCCTCGATTAAGCGGATACTGTGAAGGTAGTTTTCTGGTACTGATACGGCCATCTTCTTGAGATACGCTAAGCAATTGCGAGCTTGAACGAGCAGTCGTTTCTTTTGGATAGGCGAAGAGGTATTTCGTTGCCTCAGTACGGCCATGCAGGTAAATGCATCATACGCAACTTGGTATGAAACTACCATTGAAGTTCCAAGTATCTTTCTTGCATTTCTGCTTCTTTTGGCCATTTCCAATGCCTTGCCGTATTCTCCAAGGTGGTACAAGACTACCATTTTGTGTGCGGCTGCCTCACAGAGATAGATTTCAATCTCAAGGTTCGCAGTTTGTAGAATTTCATTGAACCTGTCGGATCCCTTTTCATTTTCAAAAGTCATCAGGCAACCGTTGGTAACAGCAGGGTTGTTCGTCCTATCCATGAGAATCAGTATTGCCTCGTAGCAAGTATGCGTCATTTCGTACCACAATAGTTGATTCTGGGCTTTCATCTGATCCAATGCTGCTTTCATCTTTGGTTCCAATTCAATCAAAGAGTATCCAACGTTCCAAGAGTACTTGCGGCACATGTGTAGACCAATGGTACCCATTTCGACGTCGCCACACTGCATCCCCACCTGATGTGCATGGGCTAACTTCTGCAATACTGGACCTATCCGTTCCTTTGAAAGTGCGACCAAACCATAATGGGCGACGTAGACTCGTGGAATCCAATCATTCCGAACTGAATTATACCTGCCAATGAACATAAGAGCGAGCTGACCAAGTCGATATGCTGTGTCATGATCTCCAACATTGGCCATGGCTATACCAACACCGGCACAAGCCATCGAAGATACAGCCGAAGCACCATGATTAAGTGTCAGTTTGAAAAGTTTGAATGCGACCAATGGGAATAGCTTTGGCCGTGCAATAAAACACGGGGCAATCAGAAGGTTCAACACGCCCATGACCGACAATTTGACAGGATCAGTCATATCAGGCAAGCCAGCAATGGCAGTATCAGGTTTCTTTTTGAGGATCCGTTTCACCTTTAGTAACTCAATTGCAAACTGCTGAGTTTTAGCATTCCTCGGAATTGGTTCGTCTAGTCTCTCCAACACATCCAGTCCCAGGTCAATCGAATCGTTCAGTCGCATTCGGGTTCCATAGGTATAGATTTGAAGCATCAGGCAGTGAACTGTATCATGAAACGTTCGAGCATATTCAATGACAGTGGCTACAGCTTTGTCAGCTATGTCAATCCGGCCCAAACAACATGTCGCTTGGGCAATTGTGTTGTACAAACTTAACGTAAGTTCGTACTCGTCTCGCCAGCTTTGTCGTAGATCCAGCAGACTAATACCAAGCTCCAGAAATTTTAAGGTGGTATTGAAGTCGCTTGATGTCATAGCCTTCCTACCGGCTACCAAACACAAGGATGCAAGCCGGCTTCGTTCAAAGTCACTACAAACCCGGTCCATCCCAATACGCATTTGGTCCACCACCACAAAAATGTACTTTTCTAGTTCGTCTCTGGACAATATTTCACACAGAAACCTCCCGAGAGAAACATGAAGACTTGGAAGCTCGCTTTGGGGAACCAGATTATATGCAGCCTCTTTCAATTGGTCATGGCTAAAGCGATAGGTGCATGCATGAGACTCCTTGATGATGACCCCTTCTGCCGCACATCGCTCAATGGCGCGATCCAGGTCCACGTGTGCCACGGACTCGGCAATATCGTACAAGACGCTCTTTTCTTCCGCACCCACAGTCAACGAGTCCACAAATACTTTGGACAGCAGGTCTTCGTCCAACTCGGTCCCCAAGCATGCTGCGTACAGTAACAGTGACTGGCATTCATACGGCAGCCTTTGTATTCTTCGGAGTGTAAGGTGAAGAATGCTGTCCGCTTGCTCAAATTTGGCGGCCCATAAGTCGTCATCCCACAACCAAGTCCGACTGACCGGATCTTTCTTTAATACGCTATCTTCGAACAATGCCTTGAGAAATTCCACTGTAAACAAAACGTTCCCTTTCGTCTTGCGGTAAATAATATTGGTCACTCCAAAGCAATCTTGTTCGGGTGATCGCAGAACCGATGCAATCAAGGAATTGGCGGCTCGAATCGACAAACCTTTGACATCAATGGTCTGAATGGGAATATGTTTTTCGTCTTCCAGTCGCCGCAGCATGACAGCCAGGTCATGGGTATAGAAGACTTCGTTGGATCGGCATATGCCCACTACCACAAGACCGTGATTTTCCTTGTCACAGACAATGGCTTCTAAGAGTTCCAAGGAACCAGAATCCGCCCACTGAAGGTCATCCATCACCAACACCAATGGACGTATACAGATAGCCTTGACAAATTTGACAAAAATCTCTTTTAGGCGCACCGCTGCATCCACACTCTTTAAAGTAAAGAGAGATCCTTCCGCTGGCCGTCCCACCAAATCTTCCAATGCTGGGACTAGAACTGTCAATACCCCAATATCATTCCCCACTTGTGACACTATTTCTGCTGATATTTCATCCACAACATCATTACTTTTCTTGAGCACCAGCCGTACAAACTCGGTCATGGCAGCTACCAAGGGTGCAAACGGCTGTGATTGCTTCGGGCGATCAAATTTCCCCATGACAAATACCCCATCCTTGTCTTGCACTGGTTGCTTGAGTTTCCGTGCGAGTACCGTCTTACCCGAGCCTGTGATACCTGCAATCAGCACGAATTCTGGCGTCGAATCAGGCCGGAGTCGTCGATGCAAAGCTCCCGTCAAGGCTTCGACCTGATGGTCTCGATCGTAGAGGGTTCCTTCCCTCAGAAATTGAAAATTCAGGGCATGGTTACCACGCAACAAGGTTGCTTTGGAGAGTCTGCTACTCGACATGTCGTCAGCATCTTCGCTTCCCCTATTGGGATCTATACATATCGTCATGTCCATCTTGTTGCGCTGCTGATTGACAGCAGCACCTTTGACGTGATCGGTTGTCGTTGCACCGTAGGAGTCACTATTCGTTATGGTATCCATAATAGCGATGGTGGATAGATACCAGTATAAAATATATACTGTATTATGCTGTGTTTGGAAGGTGGTTGCGGTGTCTTTCGGAAAAAGTTTCGCAATAGTCCGACACTTCCGTCACCTGTATTTATGTCCCTCAGGAGTACCGAAATGCCATTGAAGCAGAAGAACATTTCATTTTCAAATAGAAGAACGGTACTCCAACGGCAGATGTAACAGCTGATTATAACAAGTCAACATTTTAATACCGCATGTATCGAACACCTCCTGCCGGCACTGGAACCATAACACGTACACATCATGCGTGTATTCGTGCAGTTGCATTTTTATTCAAAAAATATACGGTAGGTAGTCCTAAGAAGGATCATAATATATATTATTTCAGCTGCATATTCATAGTTCTTCCGCGGTCACAGTGCCGTGCTGCGCAGTGCGTGCTCCGTCGGAGCTCCGCTCTTCAATCTACCGATGACCGATCAAGATCCTTTTTAATTTTCGACTAGATTGACTACATGCGCGACCAATACCAACCGTTCTTGTTTATACTCTTGTTTGGATGATGCGGATTGCTGTGTAAGCCGTCTTTTGATGTAGCTATTACATAGGTACTCAAACAAGGAGAAGGATTGATACAGAGTTTTATTATGTTGCAGGCTACCGCTCATGCGGTCGGTCGTTTTATGAATCACTACAAAAGGAGAATTTTACTCGTTTGTTCTTCTTTGTTGGATCATGATGAGGCCGATGCGTGGTCATGATCATGCTGTTGTTGTGTGTAAGCCGTCTCTCCATGTACCATTCACATTGCTCCAAGAAAAGATCACTATTATTATCGTACATGCAGAAGATCCATTCCAGCACCTCCACCATGATTGCTGATCTCCAAAACTTGCAAGGCAGAAAAACTACTTCAATTGATGAATGAATAGTAAATAGAAATGCAGCAGAACTGTACTTGCTCAGTCACCTGGAACCGATTAGGAATTATTGTTTGAATGACATATGTTATAAAACATATATATATCTAATCGTATTATAAATCGATCGTAAATCAATCATCCTTTGCTTCTTCCGATCGAATGATACCGGTACCGTACCTCAAGTACGTATTTTTGTGTATTGATATATATGTGGATTGATTCGTGTTTTGTGTTCACAGCTCCTATTCTCGGCTGCCGATGAGGAGGAGGAAATCGTGAAAGTGGCTGTCCTTGTTTCCTGTGTAGAGTGAACCGTCATCTTCAGTAACAACAGTTGTAAAGTGTGTAATGAATATATAGTTATATATCTATGGTTGATAAAGAAGGATGGCTTATGGGGGGGTTTAAATAGTACTGCTTATTTGTTATATAATTACAATAGTATTGGGGGCAACAACTGCCATGAGTAATCTGACAACTGTAGGGGGTGTGTGGGTAGTAGTTTATAAAAAATGGTATGAATATCATTCATAAAATGTACAACATTCACTCATTGATTCATGACGTTGTTTTGTCCAGGATATCAATGTACAACACTCATCATGAATTGCTGAGCCTCGCTTTCCAGAGATGCCGAGTGTTGCTTGCCAAATTCATGGGCAATTTGCAAAAAGGCCGTAACTGGGAGGGAATGTTTGCGTTGAAGCACTTGCAGGCACTCGGGATTGGAGAGCTGCAAAAGTCTCAAAGCCTTGATGGCAAGGGCCGCTTCCAATGGCTTCTCGTGAGGACGTTGAATGTGCTGATAGAGCGCTTGGAGGACTGTATGCCAAAAGACAGAGCCCAAGTCAATCTTGAGGTTGCCACTGTTAGTAGCAGTAGACTCGAGAGCTTGAGACACTGCCTTGACAGCGAGCAAGTGCAAACTTGCTTGTTGCTGGTCTTCAACGTAGTTGAGAAGCAACTCTTGCAACTTGGAATCTTGAAGGACCTTTTCGGAGGCCTTCAGTGAGCACTGAACCTTGGAAGCATCGGTAAGAATGCAAAGAGATTCGAGTCCCATGCGTTGATGATTCATGAAATTGCTAGCCAGCATTTCTTGACACAGATCGATGCAAGATCCTTGTTCCTGCTCAACAGCAGCAGGAATGGCAGGAATCATGCGAGCCAGTTGCTGCTTGAGGGCAGGAGGACATGTCACATCTTGAGTCTTGTTTGGTTGTTCACCGAACAAGATGCAATCCTTGAGTTGTTGACGCAATGATTGCATGTAAATGGCACATCCTTGCTTTCGTTGCATTTCCATGACGATAGATCCGGCCTTTTGCCACAACTGGACGCTAAAGAAGAGACAGCACGCCGTGGAACATACGACTCGAGCCATGGCATCATCGTAATCACAATGGATGGACTGCTCCTTCATGAAATTTGAGATTCGCTGAGTGATCATGTCCAAGGTGTGCTCGTTTCCAAAGGTAACAGCTGTGCGTTCCAATGGATGATAGACTGGAACGGTTTGCAAAGCATCGACCTTCCATACAAACTTGGAATTGCTGGAAGTACTGATAGAGTTGTTTTGCATCGCGGTTCCACTAGAAGCAAATCCCATGGGTTTGGGAGGTGCCATCATTGTCTTCCCTTGCCCATGCTTTGCTCCAAACGAACTAGCGCCCGGCATCATCGGTGGAGCCTTGGCACCGAAGGATTGAGGCTGCACCATGACTGGAGCTGGCCCAACGTTCATACGAACAGATCGAAAGGGAGGCAAAGGAGGTGGGATTGTTGAGGTGGCCTTGGGCCTTTCATCGTTGTTATTAATTCGTTGGTTGTTCATGGTGAAAGTTGTTTGGGTTTGGGTTGGGGGGTTGAGGTTAAATTGAGTTGAGGAGGGTAATGGTTTCTTGTTTTGTGTGAAAGACTTGTTTGTCTTTCTTTTACAACGGGGGGTTTGTTTGAATCGTGCTGTGGGTGTGTGGTTTTATGCTACACATTCTGGCTGGATCTGTCGAGGAAAACGTTGCGAGCTGTGGCGAGACCTCGCGCACTTTCGTTTGTCAGGATATCGTCGAACCAGAACTGTTCGTAGTACTGAATTCTACGTACACAATACAACAGGACTAAAATGCCTGTTTGGAATCGTCCAGTACATAAGTACGTTGAAACTTCCGTGCGATATTCTTTCTCAAATCACCTTTGGCGATTCCATCTGTCTGTACTTGGGACGGGATGATTGATTCGTTCGGTTTTGTACCGGTATCTACGTACGGTACCGATACTACAGAAAAAAAGGGGAAACGTACGTGGTATCACAGCAGGAAACGTGTCTTCGTGCTCGCCATTGGAGCGGAGAAATCAACGTGACGTCGTTGATTTGTCCGTTCCCTTTCACGAATGAACTTCTGCCAGAAGGACGGACTTGATAAGAACGGATGTACAGATGGACTTCAAGTTATTACCTATGCGATTTGGAGATTTGGACTTGATCAGAACGGGTGTACAGAGGGACTTCGAGGACGTACCGGTACCAGGTACCGGTACCTGGTACGGTACCGGAACAGAAATTAAAAAATATAGACCTGATAAATAAGAACGGGTGGACAGATGGACTTCAACCAAAAACGTACCCTGGTTCAGGTACCTTAGCCTGATACGAAGGCGAAGGACAAAGGAGAAGCAGAAGGCGAAAGCAATGAATCAGCAATGTGTCATGGGTCGTAAGAAGTGAATCATCAATGCGTCACTGTCTACTTTACCTAATAGTAGTAGAAGCAGTATTAGAACAACTATAGTAAGATACTACTACTAATAGTGATCATTGCAGATGATGATTGCAGCAGATGATGCTACTACGAGTTATTAAAATCGTAGAACTGGACAGATGATCGTGAAGCCTGATACGAAGGAGAATAAGAAGCAGCAGAAGGCGAAGACAATGAATCAGCAATGCGTCATTGGCGGGTCGCTACTGGCTGTGGTATAGCTAGTACATAGCACCAACAACAAAGAGGCCAGGTGGCATGGAGTGTAGTTAGGAGTGTAGTACTACAGTAGATACTGCAGTAATACTGTAGTGATAGCAGTTTCGTAGCAGCAGCAGCAGCATTATTGGTTTGATAAAATACGATTGAAACCAGTACTGTACCTCAACCGGTTCTTCTACAGTAGGGAAGAGGAACAAGTCAGCTACTACATTGTTACAGCTGCGCTTCTACGAGTTATTTGGTGGAACACGATTGAATGCCACAGCAGCAGTAGCAGCAGCAGCAGCATTAGTAGTACAGTCATGGGGTTTTGGTAAAACCTTAGTGGTACTATATTACTGTACTATAGTGAGCGAACGAATGAGTGAATGTTTGGATGCAGCCATGAATGCAATTCATCATCATCATTCTTCTATCAATCCGGACAAGCAGCACCACTAGCTAGCCTCTAATAAACAACCCGAAGCGTCAAACACCAAGGAGGAGGACGACCATGCCGACTGAATTCAGCTTGTTCTTGATCATCAAGGAGTGCTACGAGTATTACTACAAGCGAAGAGGAGAATGAATAGCTAGGTTTCTTATTGTTGTTCCGCCCCACGGTAAAAGTTGAAGCAAAAAATGATGATTTGGACAAGCCTGTGGTATCTTTTTGTGTGAATTGGATTCGAGCAAAGAATCGCTCATTGTTGACTACTACTAGCTACTGTAGGTACCCTAACTATGAAATACTGCACCTCTCTTATCATGATGGTCGGTTATCGATCATCATGTATAATATTATTGTATTCGAGTTGAGCTACTATATCATACCGGTAGGTCCTACTACTTTTACAAGTTTCCAAGCCACTGTACATTCGTCATTGTTCAAAACCAAAGTGGATTGCAAACGCCTCGCAGCTGGCTGGGAGAAGGAATGGAATCATCATCATCGTCATTTTCTTCATGAAATCTTGAATCTGGATGTTCTTGTGTTCCTACATGCATGTACGAGTAGTTGCCTCTTTCAGTAGTTTGAAGTTTCTCCTTCAACCAAAGTGTCAACAATTCGAGCCGGATCAGCAAAATTCTAATCGCGAAACCCTAATTATACCCATCTCGCAATGAAAGAGAACTATTAGTTTCTGTTTGTTCTGTTCAAGTTTCAACATGATCATATGTACAAAAATCGTAAAAGGTCTCGACGAAGGCTGATGACAGATTAGCCCCCATCTCAACCAAACTTCGAAACATTCGTTTCTAATTTTTACATAAGTATAAAACTCATTCAAGTTTTCGTCATGTCCACTCAATTAATGGTGCCTGACGAACGATTCTGGCTAAAATAATCGCACTGAGGTGTTGCAAATGATGTGGTTCACAAGATACGATGGTTGGATAACACCACGAGAGACGAGAGGGGAAAACTCTTGTGTCTTGGTTTGTTTCTTGAAAGGGTCCTAAACCTCAACGGCTACAACACTAAAACAACAAAACAAACACACAAATCAACAGCCATGAAACCAAGAGTGCCATTGGCGCTTCAACAAGTCTTCACAAAGTCCTCCAGTGGTGAGGATGTCCAACGAATTCAACCTCCGAAAAATGGACTTGGATTCAAAGTCTTTCAGCGAAAGGGAGAAGGCAAGATTTCGGTAAATATCAAATCACTCATTGGACGAACACCAATGAAGGCAACAAAAGCAATGAAAGCAACAAAAGAATCAACAACATCAACATCACGAAATGATGCGCCGACCATCACAAGAAGCAGCTCGATCAAAAGTATTATAACGATCGAGTCAGCATCCGATTCCTATCGCAAGGCCAATCCGATTACAGAGAAAAAGAAACGAGAACGCAAATCCATTGATACTCCTCAGGGCTTTTTCGAAGCTGCCTTGGAAGAACGAGGTTATTCGACTGAAAAGTACGTTACGATTGAAAGTGCGTATTATTGTAGGCCCACTCCATTGCAAAAGGCATCCTACGGTACTCGCATGAACGAGGCCATTTTGAAATCCGATGCCACCTTATTGCGCCGATTATTAGATTCCGGACTCTCTCCCAATCCTTGCAATGATTTTGGAGAATCCTTGGTCCATCGAATCTGCCGACGCGGAGATCACAAACTATTACGGGTGCTCTTGGAAAATGGTTGCTGCCTCCAAATTGCCGATGATTATGGTAGAACTCCTCTTCACGATGCCTTGTGGAAGGCCGAACCATCGGAAGAAATCTTGAATCTGATCTTGCGAGCGGACCGAGATTTGATTCGTTTGATGGACTGCCGCGGGTTTGTGCCACTGGAATATGTGCGCAAGGCATCTCATACCAAAATGATTGAATACTTGACTCGATCTCTGGACAAGTTCTTTCCGCACCGGGATGGTACGGTAGACAGGCCTCCCATTTTGACGAAGAGACAACCCCATTCCACTCCGGTTCCAGATCCTGGCATGGCACTGCTCCCCCACACTGCTGCTCTTGTAGCGAATGGTGAGATTGAACCAGAGGATGCTTTGCATTGGGATGATAGTTCGTTTGATGACAGCTCGTACGAGGATGATTCCGAATTGGATAGTGATGATGATGATAGTTACTACTCGGAGACTCAAGTCAGTGCAGATTTGGACCTTGAATTTGACGAAGCCGCTATTATGGAACTTTGTATTCGAGTGGGAGGGCCCATTGCCGTTTCCAAGCACTGTCTTGCGAAAAAGTCTCCAACTACTGCCCGATCGTTTGCCCGCAATGGTCCCATGATCATGAGCAATCCCCCGGATCTTTCCAAAGATGATCCATGAACCAAAAAGAGTGGGAACAAACCTATCACTCTTCCAAGACCACAAACAATAATGGAAGCCAAATGAATGCGACATGCTCGCGCAAATGGCCAGAGCACAGGATGGATGGATGGATGGATGGATACAATCAACACCAGAATCCAGAATCATCATCTGAAGTATCCACAATTGATTCTTCAAAACAAGGCAGACTCCTTTGCTTGCTCTGCAACAAATCAAAACAAACAAAACAAAACACAGCTGCCTTTTTTACAATACACAAGACAACAACAACAACAACAATGCTATACCGCAATGAAATGCAACACCATTGCATCTCTTGCCACGAGTAGAAGAAAATGGAAGGCTGCATGTGACCTATATATATTAGCATAAAGTATCTATATTAGAACTGATGTACACTAGTCATATTTTTGTGAGACTATATTCTTTTCCATTTTTTTCCGTTTGCCGTCTCATGACCTTTGTTTTAGTTTTTTTGAGTGATTCATACAGTATGTATAATTTCCAGTGAGAAAGGATAATGCTGTTGGTATCATCATGAAGTAGCGACCGGGGATATTGCTCCTGATTTCATTCTGGAATCATTTTTATGCCGTTTGCTTGTCCGGTGGAAAAATTGAAGGTGGACACGGCGGGGACAACAGGAATGACTACCAGCCAGCATAGTCTCGATAAAAGGGCTCAAATGTATGTATATATCATACCCAAATCATAGAAAATTGGATGCTGGAACCATCATCGTGGTAACCAATCATCATTTCTCGAAGAAATAAATAGATCAATCAATCAATCAATCAATCAATCAATCAATCCATTCAGCCATTCAGCCATTCAGCCATTTCATCAGTATCCAAGTTTATTCAACCACTGGTTCAGTCCATTATTCTTCAAGGATACGCGAGGCTGTTGAATCCAAGGAATATCAATGACTTTTTGGGTGTTGGAGGAAGGGTCATCATCATTATTACTATTGAGTTGTTTGCACAAGGCAGCAAAGGCTGGCAAGTTGGGCCAGTCCTCTTTGGTACGAAATTTGATTCGTTTCCCATTCCGTTCATGTAAAATTGTAGTAGTAGTATTGCTGTTTCGTTTGCGAGATGATCTAAGGGTGGCAGTTTTGGTACCAATTTCGATCACGCTATCCGCATCGTCATCATTTTCCTTTTCCAACTGCTGTTGCACCATAGGTTGCCCTCCTTCTTGGGTGGATAATGGTTGGGAATCGATGTCGAGGAGAGCCGAATCCGGCAGAGCTCCCATGTAGTCCGTTTCGTCATCAGCATTATCATTGCTCTTTTTGGCATCTTGTGCTTTCGCCAGACGATTGGATAAACTTCTTCTGGCCGTTGGCTGTGAAGAAGCTTGTGCACTGTTGGGTCCCTCTCCTTTTTTTGCTGCTGGAGATGCCAACATGTCTTGGATGGTCATGAGTGAAACTCCATCGTCGTCGTCTGATTCGTCCCCACGCTGCGGATTTTCATGGACTTGACCCACAGCAGCTATTGGCTTGTCTTTTCCTCCAGTTTGTCCTGACTTGGCTCCGTTTTTGTTGTTTTGCTCCAATTTCTGTTCGGCCACTTTCAGAATGGCATCAAACAACAGAGGGTTGTCAACGACTGTCTTGGCGTTTCCCCACCGACGTCCCGATTGGTTGGTTCGAAACTTGCAGTAGGCTTGATAGGCATGCTTGACTTCCACAAAGTCATTGATATCTTGAATCTTGTTGGGATCTGACACGACCATGTATTGCATATTCGGCTGATAGCGAAACGAATGGCACAACAGTTCGCACGCTGGTGGGAACGTATCATTCTTAGAACCACAGTCAATGGGTTTTATACTGAATTTCTCTAGCAATCCACATTGTCGAGCGCTATAATTGTGAAAGGCATACATGGGTGTAGCCATGGATGCTGTCACTTGCTGCCAGATTTCATCCCGACATTCCTTGGTCAACCAAACCTTAATGCTGTGCAAGCCATCCGAAACCAATAGCCATCCTTCCAAGTCTTGATTATCAAAATGCTTGCTGTAATCCCAAAAGGGCCCCCCTCGATTAAGAATCTCAATCATGGGCCCTTCCTTGGGATCGAGATTGCTGATGGAAGACCGGTTCTTGAGAAAGACGAGAACGTAGTTGGAGATCCATGGATCAATGCGACTGGTACTACTGGTGGGACGATTGCTGTCACTGACGGCCTTGAATCGGTCATCAATATTGGCCCTGACTTTGTTTCTCTTAGCAGATTTCGACCTTGTTCGTATTGTCGTTGCTGTTGCCGGGACAAAGGGAACATCATCTTTGTCAGTGCCGTCAGCATTTGATCCTTGTTCATCACTATCCTCCTGACGATTGCTGTCTCCTGTCTGCCTTGCCATTGGCGATACACTCATCCTTTTCGTTAACATCTTTATCAAATATTCCATGTTTGATAGCTAGAGTATTTGATGTGCGATGAAGTACAGTATGATTTGATGAACGCACACTGTATAATGGTAGGTTAAGAATATAAATAGGATCGATTGCAGATACCGCGGTACGGAGCATCAGAGTGAGTTTATGTTAGTCGTAGGTGTCAAAGAATGAGTCTTTTGACTAGTTCGACTATTGGAACACCACGTTGATCGTGATCTCGCTGGACAAGATTCAAGAAATGGAATCCTTGTACCGGTTCAACGGTCTGGACGAGTCGCGATCGAGCGAAAGTCATTCTGATTGCCGGTTTCGCAAAAATAGTTCGCATTTCACTTTTTTTCTCGATGTTCGTCACTTTGATGCTGGCGTGGAGGTATTCTAAATTAGCATGACTGAATCATAATTTGCTGCTTTGGTCTCGCGTGGTGGCGCTGGTTGGTCTTGAAAACGTGGCAGTGTCCACTGACAATGGGCCCAAGACGATTACGTCAAACTACGCTACTTCAAAGTTACACGTTTGAGACGGAAAAGAATTTCGGACATAGTCATGACCAAGTTCGCCCGACTGATATTTTCCAATTATATGAAAAGTCCAAAATTGACGTATGAAGTACGGCATTTCCTGTAGAGGCAACGTAATTGGCTCCAACAGGTGCGTGGCGGCATTTTCCGTCCACGTGGTGAAATCCAACAGCTCCCCAAAGATGTCTTTTGATGTTCAAGTAATTCTCCCATTCTCACAAAACCAATTTCCATCAACACTTGACGGTCACAATACGCTAAAGAACCACCTTCTCACACCCAAACACACACCAAATCAAAGTTTTACCATGCCCGTCGGACACAGAATCCCAGTCGCTCTTCAGCAAGTTTTCTTGGCTTCCCAAGCCGGTGAAGATGTCGCCACTATCACAGCTCCCGAATCTGGTGATGCTTTCAAGATGTACCAAAAGGAATACCGAAAGCCCATCAAGCCGCTCAAGAAGCAGGCTACTCCTTTGAGACGGCAACGCATTGATATGCGTGAGTCAGCTGCCGATGTCTACCGTAAGACTAACCCCATCTCCAAGAAGACAGAAGTCAAGTTGTCAGAAGAAACTCCACAAGGTTTCTTGGAAGCTGAATTTGAAAGAAGAGGCTACTCCACCAAGAAATACGTCAGTTTGGAAGGTGGATACTACGCTCGCCCTACTCTTCTGCAAAAGGCCAGTTTCGGTACCACTATGAACCAAGCCATCATCACTTCCGATGCCAGTCTACTCCGCCGTCTTTTGGACGTTGGTCTCTCTCCCAACCCTTGCAACGACTATGGCGAATCTCTTGTTCACAGAGTCTGTCGTCGTGGTGACCACAAGCTCCTCAGAATCCTTCTCGAGAAAGGATGCTGCTTGCAAATCGCCGACGACTACGGCCGCACTCCTCTTCACGATGCCTTCTGGAAGGCTGACCCATCTGCCGAAGTCTTGAACCTCATCTTGAGAGCCGACAAGGATTTGATCCGCCTCATGGATTGCCGCGGTTTCACTCCCTTGAACTATGTTCGCAAGGAAGCTCATGGCGATATGATTGACTACCTCAAGTCGGTCATGGATGAATTCTTCCCCGATCGCACGGGAAAGGGTCCCGAACCAGCTCCTCCGCTTACCAAGAAGAAGCCAAACACCACCCCAGTTCCTGATCCACGCATGGCCTTGACTCCTCAATCGGCCATGTTGGTCGCCAGTGGAGAGATCGAGCCCGAAGATGCTTTGGACTGGGACGATGACAGTTCCTACGATTCGGAATACGATAGTGACGATGATAGTTACTCTGATTCTGATTCTGAATTCGACCAAGAGGAGCTTGCTGAGTTGTGTTTGCGTGCTGGAGGTCCTATTGCTGTTGCACAAAACTGCTTTGGAGAATCCTGTAGGGTTACTTCCAGATCGCACAAGCTCAACTAACCTTGGATGTTACCACAGCCAGCACCCACGGAAACGATTCACGATCAACAACTTTGCACATAATATTAAAACTGTACATACTAGGACCATTCAAACATTTAAATCTTTTGAACATATAATGATTACCACCACTTTCGGTTGCATTAGCAAAAGTACTATACAGGTACCGGTAGAGAGTAGCAGCTCCATTTCACCAGATACTGCGGCGAATCCAACAAGAGCTGTGATGCAGTCAGTCGAGAATCAGCACATTCGATCTGATCGGGACTCGTCAGTCCACAGTCCAGTCACGTTAACGTTCCACCGAATGAATGTCATGTCTGGGATGGTCCGTCATGAATGATGCCGGTACGCGGTACCGGTATGGGAATCAGAAGAAGCAAATCGAGAAGGACTTTTGTTTCGTTTGGAAACCTTATTGATAATACGTATGTTCAAAATGATGACTGGTGAATTTCCTCCAGAAAAAAAACAGCGAGACGGAGGACACTTGGTGTATTATGAGGAAGATTGCTGCCCACCAGGAGGATCATAGTGATGAGTGACTTGTTGAACCATAGGTACTGCGTTTTGAGACCATTTTAGAAATTTAGCACTGCTACTGGTTTATTGACTGGTGACTGGTTTTATCAAACATTGCCCCTCAGTGGAATATCATTTATGTGTACAGCATCGTTCTGAACTGTGATTGAAATCCTGCACATGGCCACGTGGGGAGTGTAAATACTCGTGATTGCCGGACTGGGAGCTCAAAAACGGTTCACGCAGAGTGAAAAAATCACGAACTCTAAATACCCCGATACGTTGGCAAACGTACCTGAGGAGAGAAGCAATGCAATCGCCACTCATTATTCTTTCTCATGCTACAATTTTTCCAACACATCCATACTTGAACGGAGCCTTATCTTGCTGAAGAAATAGAGTTGCGAAATGATGTTAAAGGGGAAGCTTGATGATCAATTCTTTGACATCGCGGATAGGGTGCCTGGAAGCTGTGATGATTCAGAAGATGAAACCGCAATGCAAGAATACTACGGCTGTGTCTTTCCACATAGTACAATGGTGCTCTACAGTCGACGAACGGGAGCACCTCTTGCTGCTCTGACTCTTGCTACTAGTGATTCCAACTGTCAGAGCATGATCACGAGACGACCAGCTCCACCCGAAGGTTCTGAAGCCTACTTTCAGGGTATGCTGGACAAGGAAGGCGCCTTCTTTGAGTTCACCATCTCAAACTTATCATACAGAGGGAGTATAAACTTCAACATCCTTCATACTCCGTATCGAGTGTCCGCAACAAACCAAGGACCATCGTTTGGAATGAATGAAGTCAATGAGCTAAGCCCTAATCAATCCTACACCGTTAGGGCGAACCAACAAAACAATCGAAGAATGTGTCTCAGAGGAAAGACAAAAACAATTCAAGACCACCATTCGACAGTTCAATGCCCAATGTCAGTCACAGAGGCTGAATCAGATACCTCTCAACAGGGATTATACTTTTGCTTAAGCGTTGCCCCTGAAGCTTCTTGTCCGGCTCTGGTGGTACTCTTCTCAGAAGGAACCGTATGGAAGGTTGCAGATGGATTTACTCGTGAAGTTCCAATACCCAAGACTCGTCGGTCTTACAGGTCGTGCTTGCCAATAAGCCCTAAGCGTCCTCTAGAATCTGGATCCTTATCTGACTGGTCAATTAACACTACTCGAGCGTCTGATTCGGCAGCGTTCTCCATTTCTTCGAGGCAACGGAGAAGTAAGTGTCCCCTGGAGCGGGCCTCTATGAAGAGTATTGGGATTGACAACACTGTCATCCCAATCCCAAGGCCTGAACGCAGGTCCATGACATATGTGGACGATCATCTCTTTGACAATCCATCCCGAAGCAGCTTCAGCCGCGCCTCCATGACCAGCATTGATATCGGTGATATGTTTGCTTCTCAACAGTCACCTAGGCAAAGGCAGCAACGGCGAAACACTACCATGCAGATTCCTATAGACATCGGTCACACTCAAGCTGCCGATCTTGATTATGGGGAAGAAATTCAAATCAGATCCGAAGGCTCAAGTCTGGTATTCGATTTTGACAAGGCATCTGATCCCACTGTTCTCTGCATGTCTATCTGGAAGGAAATGAGTCAACATCTTCTTGTGAATGATGATAGGCATGGATCGCCCCGCAGAGTCAACTCCCGCGAGTCTCCTGGAAATCTTGAGCAATCGAGGAATTGTCCAGCGCTTCAGAGCTTTGAGGACGAAGCGATCGAGTATCAACTGAACATTTGCATGGCGGACGTTATGTCGCCAGTTGACACCATTCTGATACCATGTGGTCACCAGTGCTTCCATTCCGGAAATCTGAATCATCACAACATTACCCACTGTCCGCAATGTCGCACTCAGATCTCCGCCATAATGCCCTTGAGCATGACGTGTTGAGCTCGGACATTTCATTGTGCGTAATTTTGGCTTCCTTTCTACTTTAACCAGAGTGCTATACAACCTCAAACATTTTAAATATACTATAATCCCTGCATAAATAACTCTACTACATACTGCATCATGCTGAATGCCTCTGTGATTACTTCGTTTCGATCATCATGATTAGAGCTTGAGTCAGGAGGGCGGCAACAAAGAGTGAACCAAGGATGATTGGTCCCCACTTGTCTTCGTAAGGGCCTGGTGATCGACTAAGTAGCATGTGGTTTCGCTTGGCATCTAGAGGGCATCGATTAATTAGATAAATGGCTCAATTCAGGTACAAACAATTGGTTGATTCATTCAACAACTTACATTGATACATGGCGTACAGGATAAAAGCAATTCCTACAGGGAGAAGCAACAGTCCATAAAAGGCTGTATTGTCGCCCTCCTCAGAGTAATCCATCATCGCCATTGAGATACCCGCCAAGAGGATGGCCGTGTGCATCCATGCCAGGTAGGTTCGTTCCACGGAAAAGTAAACCTTGGGATCAATTTTGTGGGAATTCGCATAGATATCACGACCACGAGGTCCTCCTGTTGCCCGTTGCATAAGACGATTCAGGAAGCTGGGTTTTGATGGCGGGGGTGGGTTTGTGGGCTGTATATTTGCCGGTATAGTGCTGGGATGCTTGCGCTGAGAAACAACGTGCAATAAGACGGAAGAGACGATTGTTTGTTAGCCAACTGTCCATCAATCAAGCATTTTGTTACAACCATTTAGGCACAAGAAACTTACATGGGTGTTCACTGGCCTTGGTGTAAACTGCTCCGCCTTAAATCCTTGAGGCATCTCCTCAATCACTTCCGCTCCGCCATCTGGAGGTTTGATTCCCTCGGTGTGAAGGAAATAATAAGAGGATTGACTATCATCACGCTTGTGTGCCTTTGGCATATTTGCTATTGTTGGTGGATGGTCTGGAGTTGACGCAACAGTGATAGAACAAGAGATTGGCGAACAAAGGCTGAAGATGCGAGGTACGAATCTTTCAGAGGTCGTCTTCTTGCTTTTGTGCTTTTGGCGGCTTGCAAATGCATGTAGCAAAGGGGGGTCGCATGACTGGTTATGCTATGAACAGGGGAGTATTGAGAAAATCAACACCAAAATGACCGACTCGACTGATACTACGATGCCAGTGTCAATTAAAGGTTCCAAGGCGTAACCAGTATGCTGAAGGTTGCCTGCGATCTTAAGATTAAAAGTGCTATGTGTTCTGTCGTCTGAGCAGGCGTGGTCGCTGTAGATTTGTTTGTTACAGCTCATTGTAGTGGTGGCGGAATAATGTTGTGCTGCTTCTGGTCATTTTTATGCGTACACGTTGCCTTGGGCTTGGGCTACCATGGGGTCGAGGTTGGCCTTGACCCTCAAGAAGGTTTCTCTGACGAATTCGTTGTGTTTCAAGATGAGGGGTAGCCGAGGGTGTTCATTGTAGTCCTTTCCAGCAGATTTGGCCTGAAGATCGTCCAATTGTTGCAAGAAGGTGTCAACGTGCTTCATCAGCGCTGTGGACGTTTCCAAAGAATATTGTTGGTGAATAGCCGCCTTGGTAGCGGCGTCACCTTGCATGTGAGCGTTGTAGAAGGCTTGTTGAACATCACGGTTCGAGGCAAGTGCTTGATAAAGAAGAACATCCCAGACTTCCTCTGAAACTTCTCCAGAATCCTTGTAAAATAACATTTTATCAAAACCATATCCGATATCCAACAGTTGTTGAGTGGGAGTGATCGTCATGATTTTACAGAAGGTAGCAGGCGACGTCTCGTCCAAGAATCCGTACTTTGCAAACAATTGTGATGGGTTGGTGGGGCACCCATACGACATTCGCAATGGGGATCCAGCGGGAACATTTTTGGTAGCATAGGCGTAAAGATTACCGTCGTCGTCAAAGCTAAAGTCGACTTCAGTTTCAGTTCCGTGGTTGAACTATGGGAAGTAGAAATAGATTGTGTGAGTTGAGTTCATCATCAGAAACAAATGATTCATATTCGAATTCCGCATACGGTCAATCAATCCCGTGGCAAACTCACCATATCGGCCATTGGCGCCAAGAACTTTTCCTCCTCCGTGCCTTGGGTTCGAGTTGTGGCAATGTTGTAAGCCCATCTAGCGACAGCCTTGTTGGCCTTCATTTGGTCGCTGATGCAGTCGGCCTTTTGCAAGGCCTCGAAATAGTTGTCAAACTTGACTTTTTCCTGACGAGCCAATTGAAATACCAATGGAGGAAGACATTCGTAACAAAAGTCTGAATTGAAGGTAATAATAGTGATAACGACAACGAATTGGTGAGTGAATATGCAAAGCCAGTAGCAAGGTTGATTCGAATATTATGCGCGCAAATTATGTCTTACCTGTCATGGCGATGGCATTGAAGAACAACCTGGGTAGAGAATTCAACCAAGGGAAGTAAGGTGATTGATCACCTTGTTCGTATTCCGCCATGATTTTTAGAAAGACAAAGAACTTTCCAATTTTGTCGCCAGATCCAACGCGAGTCAAATAGTCAACAGCTGCTTCTTGTCCTCCCAATTCTGCTCTCACGGAAGAAGTGGATATGATCATATTTCCGGGAATGCACAGAATGGGACTGCCTTCCGGAATATCCGCAGTAGTCAGAGCACTGTAGTCATATCCGTCTTCCGTTGTAAGTTGGAATCCTTCTGCTCGTTGAACTTCGCACATGGTTGCCCATTCGTCCATAGCACCGACATCTCGTTCGACTTCTTCACCAATATCAATGTAGGCAGAAAGCGGACTGGGAGAAAAAGTACGTGGAGAAGATCGGAAGGTTTCTTGCACTTGGAAGGCTCTGGTATTTGCCAAGAGGCTTGTAAACAGAAGGAAGCTGATTTTCATTGTACAGTAGTTGCTGATCGAGTACTGTGATAATGGTTGCAGAGACACACTTCTTTTGCAAAATGCAGATGCACAATGAGAAGAACAATCGCCAGATTTGGAGAAAATTGTCGTACATACGTGGTGTCAGTTTCAAATTTGAGGACTGGCTAGCAGACCGTTGCCGCGGTCTGACGTATGCCGTACGCCCGTCTATTCATTAAGTAAACTTAACTGTTTTCTTCGGATCGTTAAGTAAAGAAGGCCACGTAGTCCAACCACTTTTGACAAGAATCAAATCCGAACTCCCGGAGGAACTACTACGGTATGAGGTCTCACGTATCTCGTATCTTTGATTGCTATTTGTCGTCATCATCTGCAACATCGCGACAACACGTGTAGCCTTCCTTTCGCAACCGCATCTATCAAAGGCAAAGGAAAGTGAATGCAGGTCCAATCGAATATGCCTTTTAATAAAAAATACCATATCACACGTTATCCGTAAAGCTCGATGTATATTGCTGAATAAGAGAGTTCAACAAGAACTTGACGACGAGATCTCATTGATAGGTGGTGATGATGTGAATTTTCGGTGGAGCGGAAGTGTCTATCTACTGGACTCAGGATATCGATATCTGTTGAGACTTGCGTGCGCATCGTAGCACCCCGATGCTTTTTCTATCTGAAGAAAGAGACGATGCGCCATCGCAACAAAGAAACGCTCGTTCCATTTTGGTTGTCTTTTTCTGACAGGAGGCAAAGCTTCCGAATACGGTTCACATTGCAGTGTTGTGGTCAAAGTTCATGAAAGAATCACAATCAATGCCCATGCACGACGTTGACAGATTGGTGCCACGGATGGCAATGCCGATGATAGAAGAAAGGCAGTTCTTCTTGGTCATCATCCTCAGCGCCTTTGGTTTGAATCATGATGGCGAGGATAAGCACGTCAAACGTAATCTCTGTACACATCTTGGAATTGGTTTGAATAACTGTGGATAAAACAGTCGTATCAAGCGTATTATCGATCGATGCAAGAGTTGGTATTGCAGCAGTCACATACTGTATTCTCAAGACCACGATAGGTATGATTTTTGTGGAAGGAGGATATGAATCCATCATGCTACCGTCGCCAGCACCACTGGAAGGAGAACGCCACTGGAACGAAGGGATGTTACATTGTGAACTTACATCAGAAAAATTTAGATGTCAACAAAAAGTTCTTGGCCGATACGCTCACATTCCACCATACTTTCCATTTTGTGCTTGTTCTTGATCCCTTCGAAATACGCCTTCGACAGGAATTCACTCTATCGGCATCAGAGAAAGGATTAATACCGCCTAATAGGGAAAATAAACGCATAAAGTTTCAACAGTCTATGAGATTTCTCTGATAAACTGACCCTGGCACCGCATGCTGATGACATGACACATGGCATGACATGACTTGACATAAGTGTCTTCGCTTCGCTTCACCATTCAGACGACTACTTCGATTAACTATACTTCGCGTCAATCATGCATCTCATCATTGCATTTCAACACCGTCGATCCTTTAGGACAACGCTGACCTCATGGACGCTTCAGCGTTACATCGCAACTCTCCTTCATCTACCTTTGAAGAAGATCATATTCTTCCCGCACTAGAAAGACGGCGGAAAGAAGGATCACTTCGAAAATTACAGTTCTCTCATCAAGTCGGTGCCATTGATTTCTCCAGCAACGATTATCGTAAGAATAACTGCCCCTGTTGGACCGAAATTGTATCCATTTCTTATCCCCTATACATCATCTGACCTATCATTCTAGTTGGGTTGGCGCAATCACGACAGCAGTTCCAATTGGTGGAAAAAACCTTTCAAAAACAACCACAACATGTTCCTCGGTTGGGATCCACAGGATCTCGCCTCTTGACGGGAGATTCTGATTACACTCGCTCACTGGAAGACAAGCTAGCCAAATACCACAACAGTCCAGCAGCTCTACTAGCGAATAGTGGATACGATGCCAATCTAGCCGTACTGTCAACCTTAACCATGAACAATCTGGTTCTAATGGATGAACTCTGTCACAACAGTCAACAAATGGGAATTCGATTGAGCCGAGACTGCGATGTGAAGCAGTTCCAACACAATAATGTAGAAGATTTGGAACGACTACTCAAGGAAGCTTCTCCTGGAAGACACTGTATCATTGTCGTTGAAACTGTGTACAGCATGGATGGGGATCGAGCGCCAGTGGTAGAGCTATTCGACATGGCACTGCGGTATAATGCTTGTGTCATTGTTGATGAGGCACATGCTCTAGGTGTTTTTGGAGGTGGGTGAATCGAAAATATAATTTTGTCACTATTGGAACTATGGACTAACAACATCTCTTTTTCCTTTATTGTGTGCAGAGAATGGAATGGGTGTCTTGTCCGAGTTTGGTTTGGAGAACCATCCTTCTCTGTTATGTTCCGTTCACACCTTTGGCAAAGCGGCGGGTTGCCATGGGGCGGTAATCTGTAGCTCCCAAAATGTGAAGGAGTACCTACTGAATTATGCTCGCCCCATCATATACTCGACCGCCGTTGGACTTCATGCATTGGTGACCATCGAATGCTCCTATGAAACGATGCGGAACCACATTGGGAAACGACTTCGAAGACAGGTATACCGTGCGGTGCAACTCTTCCGAAGACTGTTGCTGGAGCAGAGTGCAAAATCAGGTAGGCAGATTCAATTGATATCGTCGATATCTCCCATTCAAGCCCTGGTGGTTCCTGGGAATCAAAATTGTTTGGATTTCTGTCAGCGTGTGGCTTATAAGACCGAAGGGAATATCAAACTTTTTCCAATACGGAGTCCCACCGTTCCAAAAGGACAGGAACGAGTTCGTGTGATTATACATGCTCACAATACCGACCAGGAGATCCAGCAACTGGTGGAACTAATGGTGTCGACGCTGATGGGAATGACACCAGCTGATGGTCTCCTTACGTCTGGCAAATCTAATTTTTCTGCTAGACATGATGTCATGAGATCAAAGCTATAGATTGTAAAATATTTGTAACAAGACTTCTTTTCAGAGTTGCCTTCTTAGCGTGTTATGATAATGTCACAGGAGGCGTATGCTGAAGTATAGCGGTACTAGCCCTGACATCACTATTTTATTATTTCCAAAGCTGCCACCACCGTCGACGACTACTATTCTCGAACTCGTCGATGGTGACACCACCGTCTTGCTTCTTTTTGTTTTCATATTGACTTGAACTTAATTGTTCTTCGTTTGAAAGATTGGCAGCATCATCATCCTCCTCATCACCAGTTATTGACGCAGTAGCGTTATCAGTATTAGCATTGGATGCGTCCTCCTTGTCCTTCCCTTGTGTATCTGGTGATGGAAATAAAACTGTATTTGCAGTCTCTTGTATCATCCCCAAAGATTCGGTCATCGTCTGTAGTATCCATCCAGCCATTGACGGACTAGACTTGTCAGCGGAATTGTCGGACGGCGGTTCTTCTTTAGGTTTGTGGACATTGTTCCTTTGATGACGCCGCTGACGCACGCCGGGCCGTGGTGATGTGCTGATATCAGCAGCATTCATTCGGTCTTCTAGATCTTTGATTTGATCCTTCAATGCTTGTAGCTGTTGCAAGTCGTCCCTTTGCATGGAATCACCCGAGATCGTGTTGTTGGTAGGAGTTTCAGATTGAATTTGGTTATTATTGGTTGGTTCCATTCCATAGAGGTAATGCATCAGACCATCGTATAGATCCTCAAGGAACGAGCTAGAATTTGGTTGGGGTAGCCCACTTGAGCCTTCTACTTTTCTCTGTTCCAACATGGTAGGCTTGGCCACAAATTCGCAATAGGCGGCAATCAACATGCCGGGAGTCAAGGCCAGCAGCAGGTTCCACTTCCACCAGTTCCCATCCATGCTTATTTCGTACCGATCTGGTCTTGAGGCAGCATTGGGATCCTTCCACAAACTTTCAATATTGGATCGTACCCAATCCAATCGGGTTTGCAGGCGCTCCGTCACCAACTCGGAATCAATCCTGTTCTCTTTTTGGATTCTATTGCCAGGAGGAGCCACACGACGAAGTCTGTCTTTGGTAGTGGATGGCAACTTTGGCTTTTTCCGCCGTCTTTTTGCGGTTGTTGAGAATAGCAATCGTTGCTGATGTTGATACTTGAGAAGCTGTTGTCTTAGCATCATCCCGTTCTATTGTTTATCTTATACGACGTATCTTTAACCAGTAGTAGACTCGTATCAACATCATTGTCATTTTCAAATTCTGCGGTTTCAGCATTTGGAGATCGTGTGACGGATGGACATGCAGGCCAGAGATGTCACTGAGACATGCATGAGGAGTCGCAATCGTATAATCAAAAGTCGCGGGCAGTCGGTTTTTGGCGATTGATGAACTTTTACGCGAGGATCCACACGATATCGAGAATATCTGAAATCAATGATTCATTCATTCCAAAAACTTCCACAGTGTGAGAAACACCAGAAGCAGATAAAAATTAGCAAAAGCAAAAGCAAAAGCAACAATAGTACAAGATGAATTACGGGATACAACAAGGTGTCGTGATGGAGAACAGAGGATCTTCCATCTTCAAGAGACGAAGCAACAAGAAGCAGACGAAGGATATTACTAGCGCTAGTACTATTAGCAGTGGTACTACCAACCACCACCACCACCACCACCAGCACACGGCATCCATCTTTCGCAAGCCACAAGAAACAAAAAAGAAGGGCTTGAAGAGACTCTTATTCTTCAGTTTCAAGTCAAAGTCGTCAAACAAGAATCATCACTCTTTGCCATCTCTTACCTGCGTCAACGAAATGACTTGGTCCATCTCCTCGGACGACTCGGAGTCGTCGTCTTGTGGGAGGAGGAAAAGTTTCTCCATCAGCTCGTGGGGTCATTTGAGCTGTAACTCGATTGTGGCGTCACCGCTCAGTGTCAAATCAGGGAACAAACGAAATGGCAGTGTGTCACCAACGTCTAGTACTAGTAGTAGCAGAAGTGGTGGAGAGGGACTTGAAACCAACAAGAACAACAACAACAACCTGAAGGAGGAACTCGTTTCCCTACGAGCCACCCTCAACGAGTTCCAAAAGAATGAGTGTGAATATCGCAACATTTGCGATGAATATGAAGCTTTTGTTCAAGAGCAAGACGCAGAGATGGAACAAAAGAAATTGAAAATCATGCACTTGAAGCAAGTGGTAGAAATGATGGATTCCAAGAATGCCGAGGAAGCGAAAAAATGCCAGGATCTCGAACAGGACTTGTCGGATTGCCAGACTCGTTGTGCTGACCAGGAGCGCACCATCCGAGCCAAAGATATCAAGGTAACCAAACGAGAACGAGAGCTGCAACAACAAAAACGAGTGTACACGACACTCGTCTTGCAAAGCCAAGCGGCTACTCAAAAGCTTCAAGAGACGATCACCGCACATGAATCCCACATACGAAACCTTAAGGCTCAATTGGAGGCAGCTTCCAGACGCGAAGGGCTCCAAATACTTCAAATTGAGACATTCAATCAAGAGCTGGAAACGGTCAGTGAACGCTATCGACTCGATTCGGCCAAGGCGGAAGAGAAATCACAAGAAAACCAACGTCGATGGACCATGTGGGAAGAGTGAATGATCGATTGACCGAATGATCCAATGATCACTTGATCCATTTATTCCATCCACAAGACAAAACATCGACACAAGGCGTTATCTTGAGATCCGAATACCTACTAGCTACCACACACAATGTATACTAGAAATCCATATATTTCACTACTGTCTACGTTTTATCAACTATATGTTAATAGTACTACCACCTAGTATCTAGAGATCACTTTCAACATACTCATCATCATCATTTCCTTGTGCACCACCGGAATAGGCTTGACGCATCAAGGGGATGGCGATTTGTTCCACTTCTTTGCGTTGATCATCAAGATCGTCCTTGGATGCATCTGGATTGTCTTCCATCCAATCCAACTTTTCGTCCACAAGATCCAAGAGTTCCTTCTTGTCATCCATGGACAAGCTCACAGTCGAATCTTCTCCATCAAGGTTGGTCTTCAAGCCGTACAAATAAGACTCCAAACCATTTCGACTTTCAATACGTTCCTTGAACAAGCGATCTTCTTCTGCATACTCTTCGGCTTCCTCGATCATGCGTTGGATGTCTTGTTCCGACAAGCGTCCCTTGTCGGCCGTAATGGTAATCTTCTCACTCTTGCCCGTGCCCTTGTCGACCGCCGAAACTTGAAGGATCCCATTGGCGTCGACTTCAAAGGTAACTTCAATCTGCGGAACTCCACGAGGGGCAGGAGGAAGTCCAGAAAGTTCAAACTTGCCAAGTGGATGATTATCCTTGGTCATGGGACGTTCGCCTTCGTACACGTCAATGAGGACGGTGGATTGGTTGTCCGAATGAGTCGAAAAGGTTTGGGACTTTTTGGCTGGAAGGGTGGTATCTCTGGGCACAATCGTGGTGAAGACTCCTCCGACAGTTTCAATACCCTTGGACAAGGAGATTTTGTCGAGAAGCAAGAGATTCTTGACCTCATCATCGCCATTCAAAATAGCACCTTGGACAGCGGCACCATAGGCAACTGCTTCGTCGGGATTGATGGACTTGGACAACTCCTTTCCACCAAAATAGTCAGAGAGCAGCTGTTGGATCTTTGGAATACGGGTCGATCCACCGACCAACACAATTTGGTCGACATCTTCTTTGGTCAAATTCGAGCGATCTAGAACCTCCTTGACAGGACCCATGGTACGCTTGAAGAGATCGCTATTCAGTTCTTCAAATCGAGCTCGAGTCAAAGTTTCTTGGAGGTCATGTCCAGAAATGATATCGTCAACCTCCAATCGAGCCTGTGGCTGAGAGGACAAGGCACGCTTGACCCTTTCTACTTCTTTGCGAAGCTTTTGCAGAGCTCGTGTGTCTTTGGAAATGTCGACTCCTTGGGACTTTTGCATCTTCTTGATAAAGTATTGCATGACCCGTTGGTCAAAGTCCTCTCCTCCCAAATGTGTATCTCCGTGGGAAGCCAAGACTTCAAACGAGCCATCGTCAATGTTCAATAGTGTGACATCTGCGAAGATGGAAATCGGATGTGTGAGTAAAGAAAGAAAACGCACAGAAGAAAGAAACAATTGACCGATCATCGCAGACGAGACTGAACGATGACGTACCGAATGTTCCACCACCCAAGTCAAACACGAGCACGTTTTTATCATCCATATTTTTGTTCATGCCATAGGCAATAGCTGCAGCGGTAGGTTCGTTGATAATTCGCTCAACTGTGAGACCAGCAATCCGACCAGCATCCTTGGTGGCTTGGCGCTGATCATCATTAAAGTAGGCAGGAACCGTCACGACGGCACGAGTAACGCTTTGTCCAAGATAGGCTTCCGCAGTGGCTTTCATTTTGCCAAGTACCATGGCAGAGATTTCTTCGGGAGCATACAATGATTCCTTGCCATCATTGTGATCGATTTGAATGCGAGGTTTGCCTTCCTTGTTGGGAACAATCTTGAACGGGACCAACTTCTTGTCGGCTTGGACGCTCTTGTCGTTGTACTCACGTCCAATCAAACGCTTGACATCAAATATGGTACTTTCCGGATTGATAGTCGCCTGGTTCTTTGCTGCATCTCCAACAAATCGTTCGGTCTCTGTAAAGGCAACGTACGATGGCGTGATTCGATTTCCCTGATCATTGGCAATGATCTCTACGTTTCCATCCGATTTGAAGACGCCCACACAAGAATAGGTCGTTCCGAGATCAATTCCAATAATGGGTCCAGAAGGATTAGCTGCATCAGATGATTCTTCGTTGGCATGTGCCACTGGAGCGGCAAAGCAACAGATTCCAAAAAGGGCGATGAAGACGATTGATGTCCAGTGGGGATAGGTCGATTTCTTGGTGGAGCCTTTAGCTCGACGGCGACGTTTGCAGTAGGTAGCTGCACGGATACTCATATTTTGAAAATGCTTGTTCTTTTATAATTGCTTTGTTGGCTTGATATGGGGTTTGGAAAAGAAGTAATCTTATTTCAAATTGTGAGCCAAAGTGGAAATGGATCGAAAGGGTCTGGTTGGCACACGACTGGATCACTCCCGTTTGAACCAATGTACCGTCCGCACGTACCCGATACGTGAACAATTGCAACGTGGAAGAATCCAAACAATGTGTTTCAAAAAGTGCAACGTAACTACACTTTGATGCTGGTAGCCAAACATCTTGTCGTCCTCTTCACATTGCCATGTTTGAAACAATTCACTGATGGTTCAACGTATCGTCTGTGGTCGTGGCTATAGGCAGGGTCCACCATTCAAACCAACAATAGGCTAGCAGAAACTACATAATGGCTGCACCACTCGCATCATTCACACGTCTTGGGCGACACTTTCATGGTACGACATTCCTTAAATTCAGCATTCCGGCCACTGAAAGAATATGATGTTGTATCCAGGCAAATGTGTATCCCGACCATACAGTTCCTTCCAGTCCTTGTTTTGGACCAGTCGTTCGAGTTCCCAGCCCACAGATGTCGCTTGTGCAATGACATCTTGGCAAGGAACCAAATCATCATTCCATGGCAAGTCCACGCCGTGCTGTAAAAATAAATCTTTGCATTCGTCTTCGAACAATGACACTGCAAGTCTGGACTGAGGACGATGTCCTGCCAGTTCAAAAATGGACTGATGGCCATTGGAATCCAAGTACGCAAAGAGACCTTCTGCCAACCAATCTGTTGGCTTGTTTTCCTCCAAACCATTCTCGTATAGAGTTGACAATGCTGTCTTGGAGTCTTTTAACAGATCTAGTTCCACCGAGATCAGATCAGTGGTTGGTTGACAACCAGCTTCCGCCAAGACTTGATGTTTGATGTCGAGTAGTGACCCATCCAATTCCACTTCCAAAACCCGACTTAAAATACCATTGCAATTTAATCGATACGGACGACCGCACATGCCAGCTCCAAGGTTCACCAGCTGACGACGATGACCAGATTCGGAAGGACGCTTGGTATTATTACCATCTTCTTCGGAAAGATTATTGTCAGCAAAAGGACCTTGTTGCAAAAGCCAATCATCAATCACTCTAGTTCGTAATGCCAACATGTCCCAACCAATTTGTCGCAATGGACTCGTTTCAAATTCTTGCCTAGCCTCCTGAGGCAAAAGATTATCCAATAGGATTTGCGCGGTAGGATCTTGAATGAGAGGCTTACTGCTGGGCGCATGCAGAGTTTCCAAACTTCTCCAGTAGGCAACCAAAAGCGAAGTGGATTGCACCGAATTTGACCTTAGCAATCTCATGGCTTTTTTGTTTCAGCTCCAGTGGGTAAAATTGCTTTCTTAGTGCGATGATGGTGCTATGGCGGCGATCGACCGCATACAGTATACCTGCTTCGTTCGTTGCGTCGTGTTGTGAGTCAGACAGTCGACCCATCCGACTGAAAACATCACCATCACCGTTTTACATCTTCTCCGAAGTAGGTATTCATCCATCCCTCTATCATCCCGACTGCGCAATAGGCATTCATTGTGGCCATGAAGAATCATCAGAATGGATATCGGATACATTCAGCGCTTTTCCTCGTGCTGATCTTTGGAGGAAGCGGATCTACTGCTGGGTTCCTAATGACAATAAGAGAAGAACCTCAAAGCCGCCGTCATCATGATCGAGGGTCATCATCAGCCCGCAGTCCCATTGCTACGCCTATTATACTTACTGATCACATTAGACAAAGATCCCTTGTATCTCTACAAATGGAGAATCCACTTGCGACGGAAGCAGCACTATCGGAGCAATCTAATGCCATGAAGAAACAACAACAAGATTCCCCGTTCCTTGGAGTTCTTCAGCTGATTCTCATCTCGCTTGTTTCGGCAATTCTACTGATATCCTGGGAAGAAGTGAGCATGTACCATCCTATAAGAAAATTACCTCAACAACATATCCAACAACAACAAGCAGTCTATCATTGGGGTGATTCGACGGTGAGGGGCTTGGCCTTTGGCAAAGCACAAAGAATACGACTCGACGACGATGCTGAACCACAGGATTCCCAGTATTATATTCCATCCTACAACGAAATCATGCTGGAACATCGAACGGAGCGTATTCCATCCTGGAATGATGGTACCATGACCGAAGACAAGGTGCGACAGTCGGTCGCCACCATCCAAACAACAGTGGAGTACCTTCAAGACTGCAAACGACTGGCCAATGAGTATGACTGGGACGGCCTGACATTGGCCATCCGACAGCCCATTCTGCATCAGCAACTAGAGCAGGCATGTAACAATCTGAAACACGCAGATGGATTCTTGTCACCCGACGCGCGAGATGAGATTGGCTTTGAATGGGCCAGCTGTGCTTGGAGGCACTGCGGAGCATTGGCTGATGCACAAGAGGCGATTGACGAACTCGACCATTTGATTGGAATATTGGAACCATTCGAATGTTTGTTCTGTATCGATATTGTGGAACGAAGTCTCTATGACATTCTGGCAGTGACGCAGAAATACCAAGATCCGTCGATTCCCGTTCCTGAGTACCAACAACTGCATCGAAAGAGTGACGTTGGGCCGGAAGGTGTAGATCAATTTGACACTGAGTATCTTGAGGCATTGCAATTCCTGAAGAAGTTTGAAAATGAATAAATTATAGATCTAAAATTAGGAAATACAATAATAATATACCGTACAACATTATCAGAATCAATGAAGTGTGCCTCGGGCTTCAGATCTTCCATCATGGTTCAAAACTATTATTTTCAAGACTAGGATTATCCAGCGAAATGGACAAAAGGTGCATGCATATTATTGCGTGTGTTGCGTTGATTTAAGGTATAATTTACCATGGAAATCACAGCATGTCAGTTGTTCTAGCAGTCCTACAAAAGATGATTGTCTTTTTGCGTGACATTACCCTTGCATCATGTATCAGTCATCGGCACAATCTAATACACTCATAGACTAAGCCATAGCATCCTGTCATGTTTAAATGCCTCTGTTGCATTCCACACTGGACTGTTTGACGCTGTAACTTCGATCTTCAAGGGCGGTTGGGCTGTCCCTTGAGCCACTTGCAGTCGATTGAAATTGGAGAACCCCATGTAGTTCTTTTGAGATTGATAGAAGTGATAATCACCATTCAAGTACAGGATCGGAACCTTATCGTTAAGGTTGACTCTCATGTACTGTCGCAGAGGTCCAAAGAATGGATCGTGATGTGGGACAGGAAATGCGTGCCCGAAAATGACCACATTCACGGCATCGCCAGCAACCACATGCTGGTCAATCATTGACTTCACAAACTCGAACTTATCTCGCAAGTCATTGTTAAAGGATCCACGATCTCGGATTCTTCCGCCCAACAGGCGGAGCCCGAAATACAAGGTTCGTTTGTGGACAAAGAAAAAGTTTTCTGGCTCCACGGGATGTCGTTGGACTTGGAATGAGTGATCCCAGTTCTTGTCAAACTCATTGAAACTTGCTGTCCAGAAGCGCTTTGCTTCTACGTGATTAGGGCAGTCGTTCCACTCATTGTCTATATATATGAGAAGATGCAGATTAGATTGGGCTATTCTCTTTGATCACCGAGAGCGTATGGCGATGGGCATTAGTGACTTACCTCCTGGAATGATGAATACTGGAACCTTAGACAGCCTAAGGGTATTGTGAACCTCTTGGTAGTCTTGGATAAGGCAAGGTTGCCTTTGATTCGTACCAGAAGTACGGATGTCACCCAGATGAATCAAGAACTCGGCGTCTGTTGGTAACTCTTTCATACGATCCTTAAGTTGAACCCTTTCATTATGTCGGTATGGAACGTCACCAATAGCATAAAAAGTAGTTTCGAGTTCTTCATAAGTAGGATTCTGGGAAGGAGTTGAAGAAGGATTCTTAGATGGAGCAACAGAGGGTACCAGAGAGGTAGTCGGAAGACTTGACGGAGTGAGTGATGGCATGTCTGATGGGATGCTGGATGGGATGCTCGATGGGTCATTCGATGGGGCGCTCGATGGTTGGAGAGTAGGTGCAATGGATAGATCCTGCACCTGCATCGAGATTAGACTCATATCGATTTTTTCGGACGAGACTGATATCAAGGTGGCAAAGATTATCACACCGAAAAGCAAGAGTGCACAGAACAACACCTTCCACGATCTCCAACACGGACTTTCGTCGACTTCTTCAATGATCTTGTCATGACCGATTGGCGAATTTTTGTCAAATGAGTTGTCACTCGTAGTGTCCACCGTCGTATCTAATATTTTTGTGGATGACTTGACCAAAAGAGGCTTCAAGTTTTGCGGCGCCACATTGGATCCTTTGTTTCGTTTGAGAAAGAAGGAAAGCTGTTCCGATAGGAACCCGCCTTCTAGTCGTTGCTCCAATCTTGATTGATGTGTTTCGCAATAAGCTGACCCTGCATCGGAAGAGGAACCGGAGGTAGGGGCTCGTTGAGACGAAGAGGCGTTATGTTCATGGGATTGGGAACTGACAGATCCCGGAGGATCAGGTCGCTGGTGTGTCTGTAGGAAGAAAATATCCAGATTATCAAGAACTTGAAGCGCTCGATCGGTGTCGTCGTTGAAGGCTATGCTGCTGGGAGCATCCAAGAGGGACTTAACTTTTCCAATTGGACCGTTTGCATCTTTTCTCTTGGGAGATGCCACAGATTTAGAAGTTGATCCGGATCCAAAACCAAAACCAAAAGCACTCACAAAGGACGCAACAGACCCATTGGAAACCGAAGCATCATCTTCATTTAGCACAGACTCTTCGGGATCAATACCCGGGCGCTTTATTGGAGACAATGATTGCGGCATAATCGGCAGCGAACAATCTGAGTCATCAGCACATAAAATAAGGTTCTTTTGACTTTGTGATTCCTTCGCACGAGGTTTGCTTGAATGCGTCTCCGCTGATGAAAACCATGTAACAACTGATGACAGAGTCCACTGATCACCAGTTTCATCATCACTAAAATCACTATCCTCTTGTTGCTTTGTTTCTTCCACAAGGAAATCTTCTCCTTGTACTGACAGATTAGAAGCTGTCATGTCCAACTGGATCGATTTTGTTTTGGACCCTTCTTCTACCGCAGACGTTGACGATTTCGCGTCGTCAAGGTCACAATTATGCTCAGTTGCATGCAGGGCACTAGACTTATAGTCCTCGCATTTATTGTTTTCCATTTCACTTTCGCTCATGCTGTTGGTTTTCGTGCATGTATTATCGTTCGATATGGACAAAGATGGCCACAATTTTCCAAATCGCGGTTCCAACCCGAATCCGGCATTTCGGATTCGATTCGTTAAACGAATAAAATTGATGGACGGTGGGCGGCTGTCGTAGCGACTCATTGTTGCATAGAACGACCCTCAAAAGTTTGACGTGCTTTCGGCTTCGAAGAATTTCATATCCGTTGCTTCGAACAGACGGAAAATTCTACCTCCTGTAATAAGGTCCGATGAATCTGCCGGTAGCAACAAACTACTGAATCTCTTATCAAACGTCAGTCTACTGTACATTATCAGTTTCCTATGATCGACCAACATTCGGTCGTGCCAAAACCCATCCGTGGCATTCCAATCAGGACGACTAGAAGTTGAAACAGCAACTTTGAATGGTGCATTGACAGTTCCAAAATCCACCTGAAGTCTCTAAAAGTTCGTCAGTCCCAAACACTTCTAACTAAAGTCAAATTGGTGAAAGTCTCCATTCAAATACATGATCGAATGTACTTTCTCAGAGGAACGGACATGTTCAAACAATACCACAGGTTTACATAATCATTAACAATATGATGGTGCATCATGGACTTGACAAACTCGGCATGATCCTCCAATTGCAAAGAATAGGCTGCAGGATCCGGGATTCGTCCACCCACCGAGCCCAAATTACAAGGTTAGCTTGTGAACAAAATGAAAGTTTTCAGGCTGAAGCTGATGACGGCGTTGTACTTGAAACAGACTGTATTATTCATTCCAGTTCTTTGTCACACTCGTAAAAGGTTTGTCGCCAAAAGGACTGTCACTCCATTCGTTGTCTATCAATATTAAAAAACGACAATGATGAGGCGAGTGAAGTGTTAATTGATTTGTCTTTCAGCACAGCCAACTGGATCGACGAAGAATCTTCCACGTATTTCCCCGAAGAATGAATACTGGAATCTCAGATTGCAAACGAGTGTCACCCACATGAAGAATCAGAAAATCCCCGTCTTTGGGTTGCTGTATCATGCGTCCTCGTTGCTGAATCGCTGTAAGGGGCATCGGCGATGACATGGAACGTGACTTCAAACTCTCCAAACGTGGGACTGGATGAAGCAGGGGAAGAGCGGATTGGCGAAATGCGTCGCAAAGTTTATGGGGTCAGTTGATGGTTATAGCTTGGGCTATGCGATGCAGCAATGGTTGTTGGGGAATCTGAGGGACTGTTGCTTGGAGTCAAAGAGGCGGACTCTTCTGTAGCTACAATGGCCATACTGCTTGAAGAACTTGTTGCACCAATGACAGAGTATGCAATCAGAGTGCTCATAACAATAATGACAATTGCCAAGAGGACATTGCCAATAATGTAGCACTTGAATTTTCTTGCCTTTTTTTCTGATGCAATGATTTCCTCCATGCTACTTTCATCCCAATCGCTTACGCTCTCATCCAAGAAAGTCGTGGACAAAAAGGATGTTTCGACAAAAATTTCCATGGGTTTCTTGGTCTGTGTGGCGACGATAACACCTTCTTCATTTTGTGCATCATTTGATTTTTGGGGTTGCTCTAGTATCCGTTTGTGGGAAGAATCAGTGATCTCGGAAACAGCCTCAGGAGCGGGACGACCTTCATTTGTGGTAGCAGTATACACAGGCGTCTCGCTAGCTTGAGCAAGTTGTTGGTGAGGGTGCCTTAAACGAAGATTGGACTGATCAGAAGTGCAAGTTGGGCACTCGAGAGCTTGCTGCATTTGTTCGACCCCTCGAAGCGCATCGCGAATATCATCTGAATCATCTGTTTCATCTTTGTTTACAATATTATTCTGTACAGCAACGATTTGTTGTACATTGGCATCCTTGTTCTCAGACGATTCGCTGGTAGATGGATTTTCTAGTAACCCCAACTGGTCTGACGCAGATTCTCCAGATTCAACATCTGGACGTTTTATCAAAGGAGAAGATGTCTCCGGCAAAGGCATTGTGCTTTCGTACCCGCCAAGGGCATCCGAAGACGACACCAGATGTGAGTTCAAACTAGAGCAGCCGCCTTCAGTAATGGTAGAATCATCATCCTCACATGGATCACAAACTTGTAACCAACGGTGTTGTACTGCCAAGCATGAATCCATTCCTCGGACTTCCTCGATATCACCTTCGTCTTGGCTAAAAAGTTCACTGTCGTCGTCTCTTTTCAATTCTTCCACTAGTTCAACATCTTTCTTTTCAGCTTGTTTGTCTTCTGAATTGTACAGAGGGCTGATAAAGTCACCATACTCTAAGTCGATGGATCGGTCGATTTCAGTTTCAGTTTTTGCCATTATAAATGGTATAATACTGTACAGTAGGACACACGATGCGGTGTTTGATATTTGGTGAAAGCTTTGTGTTGTCCGACTGTCTGTTTGAACTTCGGTTTTTGATTTTGAATTTATTGATGTCATTCTGCGATTCGCGCATGACGATTGGCAAATCTTATTTTGAATCTTCGTCTTGGCGCCCAAATTTTTTTCGAACTAGTCATTTGGATTAGTCGGAGTGCGGCAGGAGCTACAGTACAGTACATGTACTGTAGCAGGCAATTCATCCTCAATTCATACCTGTGGTACCTAGTAATGCACCGGTATTCCAAGACGATGCACCAATTGTATCGCTAAAAAGTAGAACCATACCGTACTGCATTTTTCCCGTAAATTCCTAATGATTGTTTGGGAGACAATCTGAATAGGCACTGTAGATCAGAGAGATATGATGGTGCGTATCAATAGTACCATGTGAATGAATGAATCAGTTCGAATTACGGTATTTTCCGAAAAATCCATAATGTAAGTAACGGTAGGTATTTACAAGTATCGTCTATCTGCACCAGGTGTTTTGACTTCTTTCTATCGCTGTACCTTTGTTGCAGTACAGCACAGTAGTACCTGGTACCTGGTACCTTGTGGTACAAAGATATTTTCGAATTTGCATTACCATTTTGTCATATCAAGTGATCAAGTAGTCGAAGGTTGAAGACGTTCGAAATAACATTCGTACCAGGTACCGGTACCATGTACCGACTGTAGCCGGTCGAAAGACGGATAAAATACTGTACGGATGTGGACCCGATTTGAATTGGGCCTAATGACTGATGACAGTCATCTGATCGACTTCACAAGACATGGATTTATACAATCCGTGCGGTTCAGTGGTGAGAGATAATTGAATAACGCGGGTACACATATATATCTTGTTCTGATCAGAATGTCAGAATGACATATATGTCAGTTGTAGCCGTAGAGATCGGTTACCAAGAAAGCAGACAAGGCGAACAGTCATAAATAGTTGAAATCTCACCGAATGGAAAATCCTACGTTTTCCGAAACCGCATAGAGTTTTCTGCAACACATCGCTCATACCCACCACATGATAGGAATGATGGAATCAAGTAGTATCCTCCTTGCTGTCGGTCTGTTCCTGCTGCTTGCACAAGCAGTTTCTGGGACACGCCAGTTGCAACAACAGCAGCAATGTGATTCATGCGCGCCTCCTATTCCGTTTGATCCATCTGTTCACAAGCCAGTTTACAAGATTGCGTTGCAGCCATCTGTGAATCTACCACTAATGAGAAGCTTGAACGTCACTTTCGAGGATTACCTCACAGCTACCGCCGGCAAACGTTTTGACCCACCTATCCAGTTTGAAGTCATGATCATCACCAATAGTCTTGCCTATGACCTGATGAAAAGCCAGGAGATTGACTTCATTTTTATCAATCCTTTTCAAAGCACATGTTTGGAGGAGGAATTCGGAGCCCAAGCGATTGCATCGTCCGTCAGAACTACTTCTTTTGGTGGCCAGAAGCTGGCCTTGGCCCATTTTGCTGGGATGGTCATTACACACGTTGACAACAACGACATCAATACATTGGCTGACCTGAAGGATAAGGTTGTCGCGGCCGTATCTCCAGCAGCACTGGGCGGACCATTAGTGCAATGGCATGAGATGCAAAAGAATGGAATGTCGTACCTCAACGACCCAGCGGCCATCGTCTTCACCAGGTCGATGGTGAGAAGCATTAACGGAGTGATCGACAAGACATATGACGTGGGGTTCATCAGAACGAACTTTATGGAATCATTGAAAGAACGGAATCCAGGTCTCAATACCTCAGCAGTCAAGGTCGTCGGGATCCGCAAGGACGAAGGCACCGTTGATGAAGCATTTCCGCTAGAGCACTCCACTTCCATCATACCAGAGTGGCGGCTTTCTGCGGCCCCATCTACGCCCGCTAGTATCTCCAAGGAAGTCCAAGCAGCGTTGTTGGCGCTCAAGGAGCACGGCAGGACCGGTTTGGCAAGGTCAGCTTGCCTGGATGCCAACGGGAACAACACTGCGCAATGTGACGATCTCTCGGATATTGACTCACAAGTCTTATGTGAGGCCAATATTGAATCTGTCTCAGCTGCTGAAAGCGTGGTGTCAGCGAAAGAGCACAATACCTTCAGAACACCTCTGTCCTTTCACAGAATTCGAAAGATGGCGCTCGATCTTGGGTCCATTCTGGAGGATCCAACTTCAGATTCGCTCAAGTGCTTCAGACCTTCTGAGTTTTACGACCAAATCGTCTGCCAAAATGGTCTCTTCAAGCTTTCACCTGATGCCTTGGCTGCCTCATGTAACACAACAGGGTACTCTTGTCCAGATGGTAGGGAGTGTATCTGCAAGCCCTGCTTCAAGGCTTTGGCGATAGAGGTGGCTCCAACAGACCAATACGCTGCTGGATCTGGCTGTACCAAGATGAGTATATGCTCCACGATTGTCCAAAACGAAGTCATTCAATACACCGTGGTTGATAACCAACAGCTGGAGGGTGGTCGAAATCTGCGGGCAAAGACCCTTGAAGACGGTACTGACACAGAAATTGCAATCGAACAAGGGCCCATTCCACACACGTATTCGTTTTCTCTGAGTACTCCAAGAGTTGGCATTTTTATCCTGGAGATTTATGACGGCGATGAACAGATTGATGCATCTCCGTTGCGTGTTCGGGTAGACTATCGTACTTGCTCCGGTGACAAAGAAGCGAGCGAGGATGGAGTTTGCGAATGCAAAGCCTCATCAATTGACATAGGTGGAACTTGTGTGCCAATATGGCTTGCAGTGCTTGGTAAGTGACAGCAAAGAGCGTGTGGTAGCATTCGTTGCTGTATCATTGATTCAAGCTGATCGATTTTTGTTTGTTTCTTGTTTGTTCTAGTCGCTCTATCACCGATAGCCATTGTTGTTGCGATTGCGGTTTACTTTTTCGTGAAGAGAAAGGAACGAGAGGCCAACAGTCTGTGGATTGTGAAACGGTCAGACCTAAAGTTCAGCGATCCTCCTGCCGTGCTTGGGCACGGATCTTTTGGATTTGTCTTACAGGCTGAATATCGCGGATCAAAGGTAGCAGTCAAGCGAGCTCTTCTTCCGTCGTCAAAAGGGGACTCCAGTAGTACAGACAATGTCCAATTCGGGACACCGTTGAAGCGTATTGGGTCTCAGGATTATGACGAAGACTCAGCAGACTCATCCCGTAGAAGGAGCACCGAGTCGACACGAAGCGTTGATTTGGAGGTTGGAGCAACAAAAAATCGGGCAGAGCCACAGCCCGCATTGTCAACACGTAATATCACGGCTTCGTCGAAGTCCATGATGATGACCAAAGGAGCCGCAAACTCGAGAAAAACAAAACAATTGTTCATGGACGAAATGCGTGTCTTGTCCACGCTTCGGCATCCGAATATCACAACAATGATGGGTATGTCTTATCAATATTTGTAATATCATTCAATTGAAGATGGCTTATGCTAACACGTTGCCTCTGGCTCTCATTTCCGCAGGCGCGGTCATTGACGGGAGCGAACCAATGCTCGTTATGGAATTCATGGAGCATGGGTCTCTATATGAAGTGTTACAGAATCCTACGATTGCATTGGAGTCGGATCTCATCTTGCATATCATACAGGACATTGCACAAGGAACTCGATTTTTGCACTCGTCCAACCCCCCTGTCATTCATGGTGACTTGAAGTCAGGCAATATCCTGATTGATTCGAAGTTTCGAGCGAAGCTGTCTGATTTTGGAATGGCCAAAAAAGGTAAAAGGATAGCTACTGGCACACCTCCATGGATGGCGCCTGAGGTCCTGTCTGGCAAGTCGTCCAATACAACCAAATCAGACATGTACTCCATTGGTGTGATCATGAACGAGATAGTCTCAAGGAAGGAACCTTACCACGCCACCACGGATCCTTTGCATGTCATTGTTAATGGAGTCACAGATCCAAAGGTGAACCGTCGACCAGAGATCCCCTCATTTTGTCCTGTGAAGGTCAAGAAGCTGATCATGTTCTTGTGGCATGCGGATCCCAAACTACGCCCTACAGCCACTGAGCTAAACAACCGATTAGATGATTTGAATGAGCAAGTGTTTGCCGCTTGCGCTCCGACAAAGGCACTGCATCGCCCTCGGGAAGTTCCCACCGGAGGCAGAGACAATTTCTTGTATCAGGCGTTCCCCCGACATATCGCAGATATCCTGAGCTCAGGGGGCAAGGTCGAGCCAGAGCCACACAACGACGTATCCATCTGTTTTTCGGATATTGTAGGCTTTACTACGATTGCTTCGAAGCTTGACCCATTGAAGGTGTCGAGTTTATTGGATCGTCTGTACTTGAAGTTTGATGAGGTGACTAGGAAGTATGACCTGTTCAAGGTTGAAACGGTCGGTGATGCGTACATGTGTGCTGGCAATCTAGCGAATGATCAGCACGAAGACCATGTGCGTCGGATTGCTTTGTTTGCTACTGGTATTTGCAAGGCTGCGTCAGAGACGTTGATTGACGAGGATGATCCTTCTGTTGGTTATTTGAAAATTCGAGTTGGGTTCCACTGTGGTCCTGTTGTGAGCAATGTTGTGGGATCATTGAATCCTCGCTATGGGCTGTTCGGAGATACGGTGAATGTTGCGGCAAGGATGGAAAGTTCAGGGGCGGTGGGTAGAGTCCACTGTACTGAAGAATGCGCGAAAAGGTTGATCAACGATGCGCCAGATCTCTTGGTGAAGGCTCGTGGTGCAACACTGATCAAGGGTCGTGGCCGGATGTTGACATATTGGATATCTGAAGTGTAAAGAACATTTCATTGTTAGGCAGTTTGCACCATCACTAAATATGATTATATCTACTCTTTTCGCTTCTGCTTTTTTTTCTTCAAACCATCTTCCGATGAAAGCAATAGACAGAAGTTGGAGATCCACGAAGTAACCCTGTTGTTTTCGATTACCTACTGTAACAATTGGGCATGATAATCTACATTTCGTATCATTCTATCCCAGCGTTTTACCAATATCAAGACGCCAACCTTCATGTTCGGGAATTCAGCTGCGGGATGGATATTTTGTGAGACTGAGTTCAACAGCCACCTGTGCCGAACATCTCACTTCTACCGCGACACTCAAACCATTGCATGCGCACAAACTTACATGCGTTTTGATACCCAAATTGGCTTGTGAAGATAGATTTAGGATGCAGTCGCAAACTGTGTCCTAATACTGGTATATTGTTGAGTTTTTCTATCACCATTGCGTCCAAGACACATCACGTGATATGAGATCGGAACATCCAATAAAATAATCGAACCCTTCCAGTAGTAGATTTCAAAGAAAAACCAATAGAATCCTAGATAACAACCGGTACCAGCTATAGTGTCAGTATAAGTTACCAATTGGCAGAAGCAATCCATATTCCAAGCAAACTATAGAAATCAAATGTATCGCTTGAAAATCGTACTTGGAGGGCTGACAGTGGCCCAGGCCACAACTTGCGCAGTACTGGGATGACACAGAAGGCATGTCCAATAAGGATCGATTGGTGAATTATTTCTGGTTGGAGGGTACCAGTCGGCAGAATATAGAATAGCGAGCTAGCAACCATGCATATCGGCTGTCCTGGTGACAATCTGTTCGACTTTATCCTTCAGATCCATAAGAATCTCAGTTGTCAAGGCACGGATTGTTCCACGAAGGATATGGCGTTTGCCGGAATCACATTGAAAGCGCTACCAGCATCGCGCCACTCCAGTGGACTCAAGCTTCTTCAGACCAATGGCTGCAAGTGCAATACAACCGAGCAGGTAGACGATGATCATTGGGTCTACCGTCAAATGAGGCATTGCAGCATGACCTCCTACACCTGTTGTCGTATCCAAAATTCTTTGAATTTGAAATCATCAATGTAGACGTCTCTTCTACAATGGGAAGAGCATACCGGTGTCGCAATTATCGTACCGGTATTGGGCTAATGATAGCAAGACGAAAATATGTCACACAAAACGTCAGTAGGCCCAGTTAGATATCACATCAATATTTTTCATTAAAAAACTTATGACATTCATATAAGTGCATATGCAAAGGGACGGTATCTTAAAATCGGAATCAGAAATGTCGCGGGCCTCGCGTTTATTATTCACCATTGAAGGGCGGTTCTCTATTCGGTTCTCCATTCGCGACCTTTCGGAAGTAACCGGTATAAATTTCACCGTCTAAATGTTTGTGCACGTTGAACCCGATTGTTGACCTGATCGTTTTGGGCGTAATGACTTTCTATTCATCTTTTACAAGCTATTCCATCTTTTCGAAACGGCGTTTCCACTACCATGATGAACAAAATCTCACACCGAATCATACAAATTACAAAACCCGTGTTCAATACGATAGGTAGTAATAATGGAATCAAGTATCCTTGTTGTCGGTCTGTTCCTTGTGCTTGCACAAGCAGTTTCTGGGACACGCCAGTTGCAACAACCGCAGCAATGTGATTCATGCGCGCCTCCTATTTCGTTTGATCCATCTGTTCACAAGCTAGTTTACAAGATTGCGCTGCAGCCGTCTGTGAATCTACCACTAATGAGAAGCTTGAACGTCACTTTCGAGGACTACCTCACAGCTACCGCCGGCAAACGTTTTGACCCACCTATCCAGTTTGAAGTCGTGACCATCACCAATAGTCTTGCCTATGACCTGATGAAAAGCCAGGAGATTGACTTCGTTTTTATCAATCCTTTTCAAAGCACATGTTTGGAGGAGGAATTCGGAGCCCAAGCGATTGCATCGTCCGTCAGAACTACTTCTTTTGGTGGCCAGAAGCTGGCCTTGGCCCATTTTGCTGGGATGGTCATTACACACGTTGACAACAACGACATCAATACATTGGCTGACCTGAAGGATAAGGTTGTCGCGGCCGTATCTCCAGCAGCACTGGGCGGACCATTAGTGCAATGGCATGAGATGCAAAAGAATGGAATGTCGTACCTCAACGACCCAGCGGCCATCGTCTTCACCAGGTCGATGGTGAGAAGCATTAACGGAGTGATCGACAAGACATATGACGTGGGGTTCATCAGAACGAACTTTATGGAATCATTGAAAGAACGGAATCCAGGTCTCAATACCTCAGCAGTCAAGGTCGTCGGGATCCGCAAGGACGAAGGCACCGTTGATGAAGCATTTCCGCTAGAGCACTCCACTTCCATCATACCAGAGTGGCGGCTTTCTGCGGCCCCATCTACGCCCGCTAGTATCTCCAAGGAAGTCCAAGCAGCGTTGTTGGCGCTCAAGGAGCACGGCAGGACCGGTTTGGCAAGGTCAGCTTGCCTGGATGCCAACGGGAACAACACTGCGCAATGTGACGATCTCTCGGATATTGACTCACAAGTCTTATGTGAGGCCAATATTGAATCTGTCTCAGCTGCTGAAAGCGTGGTGTCAGCGAAAGAGCACAATACCTTCAGAACACCTCTGTCCTTTCACAGAATTCGAAAGATGGCGCTCGATCTTGGGTCCATTCTGGAGGATCCAACTTCAGATTCGCTCAAGTGCTTCAGACCTTCTGAGTTTTACGACCAAATCGTCTGCCAAAATGGTCTCTTCAAGCTTTCACCTGATGCCTTGGCTGCCTCATGTAACACAACAGGGTACTCTTGTCCAGATGGTAGGGAGTGTATCTGCAAGCCCTGCTTCAAGGCTTTGGCGATAGAGGTGGCTCCAACAGACCAATACGCTGCTGGATCTGGCTGTACCAAGATGAGTATATGCTCCACGATTGTCCAAAACGAAGTCATTCAATACACCGTGGTTGATAACCAACAGCTGGAGGGTGGTCGAAATCTGCGGGCAAAGACCCTTGAAGACGGTACTGACACAGAAATTGCAATCGAACAAGGGCCCATTCCACACACGTATTCGTTTTCTCTGAGTACTCCAAGAGTTGGCATTTTTATCCTGGAGATTTATGACGGCGATGAACAGATTGATGCATCTCCGTTGCGTGTTCGGGTAGACTATCGTACTTGCTCCGGTGACAAAGAAGCGAGCGAGGATGGAGTTTGCGAATGCAAAGCCTCATCAATTGACATAGGTGGAACTTGTGTGCCAATATGGCTTGCAGTGCTTGGTAAGTGACAGCAAAGAGCGTGTGGTAGCATTCGTTGCTGTATCATTGATTCAAGCTGATCGATTTTTGTTTGTTTCTTGTTTGTTCTAGTCGCTCTATCACCGATAGCCATTGTTGTTGCGATTGCGGTTTACTTTTTCGTGAAGAGAAAGGAACGAGAGGCCAACAGTCTGTGGATTGTGAAACGGTCAGACCTAAAGTTCAGCGATCCTCCTGCCGTGCTTGGGCACGGATCTTTTGGATTTGTCTTACAGGCTGAATATCGCGGATCAAAGGTAGCAGTCAAGCGAGCTCTTCTTCCGTCGTCAAAAGGGGACTCCAGTAGTACAGACAATGTCCAATTCGGGACACCGTTGAAGCGTATTGGGTCACGGGACTCGTCGCTACCATTGGCAAGCACTGACGAGGATGACAGCACCGACTCTTCCCATAGAAAGACTTCTCGGTTGACAAATAGCATTGATTTGGAGACTGGAGGAAAAAAGATGCCCCCACAATCCCAACCGTCAGCACATGGTAAAGCTACAACTTCGAAGTCCATAATGATGACAAAAGGAGTTGCAAACTCGAGAAAAACGAAACAGCTGTTCCTTGACGAAATGCGAGTCTTGTCCACACTTCGTCATCCAAATATCACTACAATGATGGGTATGCCATATCAATATTTGTACTCTATGCAATGACGAAAGACAGCTTGTTCTAACACAGGTTGTTGCCTCGGACTCTCATTTCCACAGGCGCCGTCATCGACGGGAGCGAACCGATGCTCGTCATGGAACTCATGGAGCATGGGTCTCTCTATGAAGTTTTGCAGAATCCTACCACTGCATTGGAGTCTGATCTCATTTTGCATATCATCCAAGACATCGCTCAAGGAATTCGTTTTTTACATTCGTCCAACCCACCTCTCATTCATGGTGACTTGAAGTCAGGCAATATTCTGATTGATTCGAAGTTTCGAGCCAAGCTGGCTGACTTTGGAATGGTCAAGCAAAGTTCAAAGGCAGCCACTGGCACACCCCCATGGATGGCACCAGAAATCCTCTCCGGCAAGTCGTCCAATACAACCAAGTCAGATATGTACTCGATTGGTGTGATCATCAATGAGATAGTCTCGAGGAAGGAACCTTACCATGCCGCAACGGATGACTTATCTGTGATTTTGAATGGAGTCACAGATCCAAAGGTGAACCGTCGACCAGAGATCCCCTCATTTTGTCCTGTGAAGGTCAAGAAGCTAATCATGTTCTTGTGGCATGCTGACCCCAAGCTACGCCCTACAGCCACCGAGTTGAATAATCGGTTGGATGATTTGAATGAGCAAGTTTTTGCGGCTTGTGGGCCTAAAAAGACATCGCGTCTTACACGAGTGGTTCCAACGGGAGACCAAGATGATTTCTTGTATCAAGCATTCCCCCGGCATATAGCAGATGTGTTGAGATCTGGCGGCAAGGTCGAGCCAGAACCACACAACGACGTATCCATCTGCTTTTCGGATATTGTAGGCTTTACTACGATTGCTTCGAAGCTTGACCCATTGAAGGTGTCCAGTTTGTTGGACCGTCTGTACTTGAAGTTTGATGAGGTGACTAGGAAGTACGACCTGTTCAAGGTTGAAACGGTCGGTGATGCATACATGTGTGCTGGCAATCTAGCCAATGATCAGCATGAAGACCATGTGCGTCGGATTGCTTTGTTTGCTACCGGTATTTGCAAGGCTGCGTCAGAGACATTGATTGACGAGGATGATCCTTCTGTTGGTTATACGAAAATTCGAGTTGGGTTCCATTGTGGTCCTGTTGTGAGCAATGTTGTGGGATCACTGAATCCTCGTTATGGGGTGTTTGGAGATACTGTGAATGTCGCAGCAAGAATGGAAACCACATCTGCGGCTGGGCGAGTCCATTGCAGTGAATTAAGCGCGAAGAGGTTGATGGATGACGCACCAGATCTCTTGGTGAAGGCTCGTGGTGCAACACTGATCAAGGGTCGTGGCCGAATGATGACATATTGGGTATCTGAAATTTGAGAAGCAATTTATTTTAGGTAGCTTGCACTATTGTTATATACACGATTACATCTACTTGTTTCGTTTCTGCTATTGTTTTCTACAACATATGTTACCAAATACATTTTGGAATGCGAGGCAGATGTTGGAGATTTGGAGCCTAACACTTCGGCGCCACCTTCTTGATTTCAATCAGCTTCAAGTTGTAACAAGCATTTTATTTTTCGAGAACTGAGATCGTAGCTGAAAGTGGCTTATGATTACTTGGGATTAACTACACCCTAGAAACTTGCTTCCTTATTGCTTCACTGGTTAAAAGGAACACATACTGCTACGGGTCGCCAACAGCAGTTATCAGTTCTATTTTTAGTATTTTTTCTGATTTGAAATGCCGCCCTATTTATTGGCTCGAAACTACCACTTTCACTTGTCCAATTGGTTTGTTTGAAAATATCTGGGATCCAGTAGAATGGACAACTCGGCCTCTGCTGCGGCTAATGGATGTTCATAGATAGCACAGTACTGCCATAATTGGTACAAGAACTGAGTTCGGTGAGAATACAGTTGTACCGGTAGATCGAGGTTAGTGGAGATTTTCCCTCCCCTTATAATCGAATGAAATGTCAAATAAAAAAAGTTCTCTTATTTGAGGCCTATTATTTTAAAAAGCGCGAACAAAATGTGTTGAAGCCTGAAATTAAAAAAGCTTGGGCTTGATGTCCAATAACGAGAATATTGAAGTGCCGGAAATCAATGGGAAACTTTTGAGTTCTCCGTTTCCGCAAATATAAGTACTGATACGATAATATTCTATCCATATATCAACTCATCGCACAGACTACATGACAGGAACGATGCAATCAAGTCTTCCTGCTATTGCAAGTAGTCACAGGGACACGCCAGTTGCAACAGCAGCAACAATGTGATTCGTGTGCGCCTCCAATTCCGTTTGATCCATCTGTTCACAAGCAAGTATACAGGATTGGCTTACAGCAAAATGCGAATCAACCATTCATGCGAACACTGAATGCGACATTCAATGACTATCTCACAGCTACCGCTGGAAAACGCTTTGACCCGCCAATCCAGTTCGAAATCGAGTTCTACAGCGACAGAAATCTTGCCTATGTCTGATGGAAAGGAAGGAGGTTGACTTCGTTTTTGTCAGCCCTTTCGTGAGCACATGTTTGGAGGAGGATTACGGCGCCCAATCGCTTGTATATCTGCTGTCAGAACAACGCCATTTGCTGGCCAAACAATTTCCTTGGCACATTTCGCTGGGGTGCATGGTTATCACGCACGTTGACAACGAAGACATTAATACATTGGAGGATATTAAAGGCAAGGTATATATAGTCGCAGTCGGAAATCCTGCAAGTCTGGGCGGGTCATTAATACAATGGCATGAAATGCAAAAGAAAGGAATGTCCTACCTGAATGACCCAACTGCGCTTGTCTTCACCGGGACGATGCGTGCAAACGTCAATGGGATCATTGATAAGTCATATGACGTGGGGTTCATCAGAACCAACTTTCTCGAATCCTTGACAGCCCGAAACCCAAATATAAATGCTTCAGCTATCAAAGTCGTCGCATTCCGAAAGGATGAAGATACCGTTGATGAAGCATTTCCCCTGGATCGATCTTCTGCTGATGTGCCAGAGTGGCGTTTCTCTGCCGCTCCATCTACGCCCGCCAGTATCTCCAAGGAGGTCCAAGCGGTGTTGTTGGCACTCAAGGAACACGGCAGAGTTGGGCTAATTAGGTCGGCGTGTATGAACCTCCTACCGTGCACGGGCATGGATCTTTTGGTTTCGTCTTGCAGGCTGAATATCGTGGATCAAGGGTTGCAGTCAAGCGAGCTCTTCCGCCATCAAAAGGGGGCTCTGGTAGTGCCGAGAGTGCCCAGTTTGGGTCACCGTTGAAACATATGGGGTCTCGTGATTCATCATTGCCATTGCTTGACGAGGAGGCACCAGTAGACACGGCTTGCATGAAAAGAAGTAATTTGACGGAGAGCCTTGCTTTCAAAATTGAAGACACACCTAACAGCATTACTTCGTCGAAGTCAATGATGAAAACAAAAGGATTCTCCAACTCGAGAAAAGCAAAGCAGCTGTTTATGGACGAAATGCGTGTCTTGTCTATACTCTTCGTCACCCGAACATTACAACAATGATGGGTATGTTACATGTTTCAGTTCTGGCATCCACTGAAGGAGCGGATTAAGCTAACACGTTGCCTGTGACTCTTTCTCCCACAGGAGCAGTTATTGACGGGAGCGAACCAATGCTCGTTATGGAATTCATGGAGCATGGATCTCTTTATGAAGTTTTGCAGAATCCTACTATTGCATTGGAGTCTGATCTCATCTTGCATATCATACAGGACATTGCACAAGGAACTCGATTCTTGCACTCGTCCAACCCCCCTGTCATTCATGGTGACTTGAAGTCAGGCAATATCCTGATCGATTCGAAGTTTCGAGCAAAGTTGGCTGACTTTGCGGAATGGCCAAAAAAGGTAAAAGGATAGTTACTGGCACACCTCCATGGATGGCACCAGAAATCCTCTCCGGCAAGTCGTCCAATACAACCAAGTCCGACATGTACTCGATTGGTGTGATCATCAATGAGATAGTCTCGAGGAAGGAACCTTACCATGCCGCAACGGATGACTTATCTGTGATTTTGAATGGAGTCACAGATCCAAAGGTGAACCGTCGACCAGAGATCCCCTCATTTTGTCCTGTGAAGGTCAAGAAGCTAATCATGTTCTTGTGGCATGCTGACCCCAAGCTACGCCCTACAGCCACCGAGTTGAATAATCGGTTGGATGATTTGAATGAGCAAGTTTTTGCGGCTTGTGGGCCTAAAAAGACATCGCGTCTTACACGAGTGGTTCCAACGGGAGACCAAGATGATTTCTTGTATCAAGCATTCCCCCGGCATATAGCAGATGTGTTGAGATCTGGCGGCAAGGTCGAGCCAGAACCACACAACGACGTATCCATCTGCTTTTCGGATATTGTAGGCTTTACTACGATTGCTTCGAAGCTTGACCCATTGAAGGTGTCCAGTTTGTTGGACCGTCTGTACTTGAAGTTTGATGAGGTGACTAGGAAGTACGACCTGTTCAAGGTTGAAACGGTCGGTGATGCATACATGTGTGCTGGCAATCTAGCCAATGATCAGCATGAAGACCATGTGCGTCGGATTGCTTTGTTTGCTACCGGTATTTGCAAGGCTGCGTCAGAGACATTGATTGACGAGGATGATCCTTCTGTTGGTTATACGAAAATTCGAGTTGGGTTCCATTGTGGTCCTGTTGTGAGCAATGTTGTGGGATCACTGAATCCTCGTTATGGGGTGTTTGGAGATACTGTGAATGTCGCAGCAAGAATGGAAACTACATCTGCGGCTGGGCGAGTCCATTGCAGTGAATTAAGCGCGAAGAGGTTGATGGATGACGCACCAGATCTCTTGGTGAAGGCTCGTGGTGCAACACTGATGAAGGATCGGGGCCAGATGATGACATATTGGGTATCTGAAGTTTGAAGACAAAAGGTTAGAAATGCGTAAAGTGACACTAGTTGTAATATGTAATTGACAATTTATTAATTCGTCAGCAGATCACAACGTTTCTCAACGGAACAACCTTTGATCAGCCATTTTGCAACTGTCTCCTCGGTCTCTTTATTCGGCGACTTTTACTCCTTAATCATCATTCGTGCAACAGTGACCTTGTCGAACGATTATTCTTGTTGATTCTGAACGAATCGAACTGACTTCAAATCATAGATTGATTGATTTATTCAGTCTTCCACGGTAGCCTCCAAAACTTGTGATGTTAATTTTCCTATTTTGGTCTCGTCGTCGAATTGAGCCACCGTTCTACACTTTTCTTTACAATTCCTCTGAAGAGCTTTCAGTAGTCGGACAATGGCAAGATCGGATGAAGTTTGCCGAAAGAACTCACCTTCATCTGATGCTTCTGTTGCTTGTAAGAATACGGTTCATTGGATTGGTGTATTGACCGATAGCCGCACCATATCATTCTGCCCGTTGTGATTGGTTGTTGCATCAAAGTCTCGAGATGGTCATGTTGATAGTTTCACCTGTAATGACTGGTACTCGCATTCTCCAAGCGTAGCGAGTAGATTCCGCAAATAATATATTAAGTTCCGATTGATATTCATTCACAAGTGACTTTTTAGCTCGTCCAGTGGGTCCTTCTCCGATGGTGGGGGAAAGGCGAACCATTTTTGAAGGCCCTTTTACTCCAAACACTTATATCAGACTTAAAGAAGATTTTCGCAATTTGCATTTTTGATGTTTTTTTTAAGTTTCATTTTATAACAAAAGCAAGATGACGGTCATTTCTGATTGCTTCTCTTCAATGTAGGTGAATAACGGAGGTTATAAGTCCACAAAGAATCAAACACGTTCTCCATCCCATTTACAATATTTACATGCAGTTCCCATTTTGCGATGGATCTCGTGGGTTCGTTGTCACATTGGGCCTGACGATGACGCTCTGAGAAGGCATCTGATATAAAGCAGTGAGCCCCCACATCGCAAAAGAATGATAGAATCCAATATGCTTATCGGTCTGTTCCTGCTATTGCAAGTAGTCAGAGGGACACGTCAGTTGCAACAGCAGCAACAATGCGATTCATGTGCACCTCCAATTCCCTTCGATCCATCTGTTCACAAACAGGTATACAAGATTGGGTGCCAGCAACTTGCCAATGAAGCATTCATGAAAACTTTGAATGTGACATTCGATGACTACCTCACGGCTACCGTCGGCCAACGTTTCGACCCACCGATCCAATTTGAAATCAATTTCTTTAGCGATAGAAATCTTGCCTATGATCTGATGGAAAGTCAAGAGATTGACTTCGTTTTTGTCAGTCCCTTTGTAAGTACTTGTTTGGAGGAGGAATACGGCGTTCAATCGCTAGTATCTTCGATCAGAACAACTTCCTTTGGTGGTCAGAAGGTGGCTTTGGCCCATTTTGCTGGAATGTTCGTGACGCACGTTGATAACGGTGACATTAACGCATTGGAGGATATCAAAGACAGGGTAGTGGCAATCGCAAACCCAGCAAGTCTGGGCGGGGCATTAATACAATGGCATGAAATGCAAAAGAATGGAATGTCCTATCTCAATGACCCAGCTGCCATTGTCTTCACCGGGACGATGGGTGCGGTCGTCAACGGAATTATCGGCAAGACCTTTGATGTGGGGTTTGCCAGAACCAACTTTATTGAAGGATTGCAAGCACGAAACCCAATTCTAAATGCCTCAGCAATTAAGGTCATCGGGGTGCGAAAGGATGAAGGCACCGTGGACGAAGGATTTCCGCTCGATCGCTCTACTTCCATCATGCCAGAGTGGCGTTTTTCTGCCGCTCCTTATACGCCCGCTTCTGTGTCCCGAGAAGTTCAAGCAGCTTTGTTGGCGCTTGAGGAGCACGGCAGGACTGGTTTAGCAAGGTCGGCTTGTCTGAATGTCAATATAAACAACACTGCGCAATGCGACGATCTATCGAATGTTGACTCACAAGTCTTATGCGAGGCGAATATCGAATCTGTCACAGCCGCTGAAAGCGTGATTTCAACGAATGACTACATGACCTATAGACCACCTCTATCGGTCAATCGAATTCGAAAAATGGCACTCGATCTTGGGTCCGTTCAGCAGGATTCAACCTCAGATTCGCTCAAGTGCTTCAGACCTTCTGAGTTTTACGACCAAATCGTTTGTCCAAAGGGTCTCTTCAAGCTTTCACCTGAGGCCCTGCTTGCCTCATGTAATGCAACAGACTACTCATGTCCAGATGGGGGTGAATGTATTTGTAAGCCTTGTTTCGAGTCTTTGCCAATTGAGGTGGCACCGACGGAGCAGTACGCTGCTGGGGCTGGCTGCACGAAAATGAGCATCTGCTCTTCGAGTGCCCAGAACGAAGTCATCCAATATACTGTGGTCGATAATCAAAAGCTAGAGGGTGGCCGTAATCTGCGGGCTAAGACCCTTGAAGACGGCATCGACACAGATATTGCGATTGAGCAAGGACCCATTCCACACACGTATTCGTTTTCTTTCAGTACACCGAGAGTTGGCATCTTCATTCTGGAGATCTATGATGGTGATGAACAAATCGATGCATCTCCATTGCGTGTTCGGGTTGACTACCGTGCTTGTCCTGCTGACAAAGAAGCTAGCGACGATGGAGTTTGCGAATGCAAAGCCTCATCTATCGATATATCTGGAGCTTGTATTGCTATATGGCTGGCAGTGCTTGGTAAGTGACAGCAAAGCGTTTATGGTACTATTGATTACCTTATTAATCAATACTCATCGATCCTTGTTTCGCTCTTTGATTTCAGTTGCACTATCCCCAATTGCCATCATTGCTGCGGTTGCGGTGTGCTTTTTCGTGAAGCGAAAGGAACGAGAGGCCAACAGCCTGTGGATTGTGAAACGGTCAGACCTGAAGTTCAGTGATCCTCCTGCTGTACTAGGGCATGGATCATTTGGATTTGTTTTGCAGGCTGAATATCGCGGATCAAAGGTAGCAATTAAGCGGGCTCTCCTTCTGCCTTCAAAGGGGGGCTCTAGCAGTGCCGACAATGTCCAATTTGGAGAACCGTTGAAGCGTAATGAGTCACGGGATTCATCTTTGGCAAAGATTGGCATCGACGAAGACATAGCTGACTCTGACCGTAAGAGGAGCACTGATTCGATCAAAAGTCTTGATCTGGAGATTGGAGCAACTCATGGTAAACCCAGGACGTCCAAGACAATGATGAAGACACAAGGATTTACACACTCGAGAAAAGCAAAGCAGCTGTTCATGGACGAAATGCGTGTCTTGTCTACTCTTCGTCATCCGAATATCACAACAATGATGGGTATGTTTCATCGGTATTTGAAATAGTGTGAACCACAGAAGAAGGCAGCTTATGCTAACATGTTGCCTATGGCTCTCATTCCCACAGGCGCGGTTATTGACGGGAGCGAACCAATGCTCGTTATGGAGTTCATGGAGCATGGTTCTCTATATGAAGTGTTGCAAAATCCTACAATTGCATTGGAGTCGGATCTCACCTTGCACATCATCCAGGACATTGCACAAGGAACTCGATTCTTGCATTCATCCAATCCACCTGTCATTCATGGTGACTTGAAGTCAGGCAATATCCTGATTGATTCGAAGTTTCGAGCAAAGCTGGCTGACTTTGGAATGGCAAAGCGCTGTAGAAGCATGTCATCTGGTACCCCTCCATGGATGGCACCAGAGGTCTTATCTGGCAAGTCGTCCAATACAACCAAGTCAGATATGTACTCCATTGGTGTTATCATCAATGAAGTAGTCTCAGGCAAGGAACCTTACCACGCCACCACGGATCCGTTGCATGTCATCGTGAATGGAGTCACAGATCCAAAGGTGAACCGTCGACCAGAGATTCCCTCATTTTGTCCTGTGAAGGTCAAGAAGCTGATCATGTTCTTGTGGCATGCTGACCCCAAACTACGCCCAACAGTCACAGAGCTAAACAACCGATTGAATGATTTGGGTGACCAAGCGTTCGCCGCGTGCGCTCCCAAAGCGGCACTGCATCGCCCTCGTGAAGTTCCCACTGGAGGCAGAGACGATTTCTTGTATCAGGCGTTCCCCCGGCATATAGCCGATGTGTTGAGATCTGGCGGCAAGGTCGAGCCAGAACCACACAACGACGTATCCATCTGCTTTTCGGATATTGTAGGCTTTACTACGATTGCTTCGAAGCTTGACCCATTGAAGGTGTCCAGTTTGTTGGACCGTCTGTACTTGAAGTTTGATGAGGTGACTAGGAAGTACGACCTGTTCAAGGTTGAAACGGTCGGTGATGCATACATGTGTGCTGGCAATCTAGCCAATGATCAGCATGAAGACCATGTGCGTCGGATTGCTTTGTTTGCTACCGGTATTTGCAAGGCTGCGTCAGAGACATTGATTGACGAGGATGATCCTTCTGTTGGTTATACGAAAATTCGAGTTGGGTTCCATTGTGGTCCTGTTGTGAGCAATGTTGTGGGATCACTGAATCCTCGTTATGGGGTGTTTGGAGATACTGTGAATGTCGCAGCAAGAATGGAAACTACATCTACGGCTGGGCGAGTTCATTGCAGTGGCGAATGCGCGAAAAGGTTGATTGATGACGCACCAGATCTGTTGGTGAAGTCTCGCGGCGCAACAGAGGTCAAGGGTCGTGGTCGAATGATGACATACTGGGTATCTCAAGTCTGAAGAGGGACTTTTTTGCAATGTTTGCAGAAACCTGTTTTATGATCGATATAGAAGTGGACAGCATAAAGTAGTAGATGCATTAATGAGTAAGACGCTGTGTCTATATAAAAAAGATTCCATTTCTATTGCGAAATCAGTCTATCAATCAATCAAATAATCCTTCATCATCTATCTATCATAGCATCCTATCATGCGAGAACGTCCTGTTCCAGCTTGGGTCACCGGATACAGAGACAGCAACCTTCAATGGTGGATTAATGGTCCCAAAGTCAACTTGGAGTCGCTGCATGTTTTCAAGTCCTCTGTAGTGTTCCTCAAATTCATAAAAGTGATAGTCCCCATTCAAGTACATTACTGGGATATCATTCTTCAAATCCTGGCGAATGTATCTCCTCAAGGGGGCAAAGAAAGCTTCATGTACCATTCTAGGAAATGCGTGCCCAAAGATTACCACGGATAGCGCATCATTGTTCACTACGTGCTGGTCCAGAATTTCCTTCACCCACCCAAACTGTTCCCGTAGCTGAATCGAATGCGAGGATCGGTCGACAATGTCCCCTCCCACCAGATTCACACCAAAAAAGAGAGTCCTCTTGTGGAAAAAGTGAAAGTTCTCAGGTCGGGTGGGATTTCGTTCAACCCTGAAGGAATGCTCCCAATTTTGTTCCAAGTCTCCAAACGCTTCGAGCCAGAACCCCTGAGCTTCGTCGCGATTGGGACAATCGGACCACTCGTTGTCTATGATGATGCATACAACAAAACAGAAGGAAGCCGATTAGACAACAAGCCCAAAGGAAATATTATTCATTCAACAGCACCAAGAAAAAGAGCTTACCTCCCGGAATGATAAAGACTGGAATATGGGATCGAAGTAGAACATCCCTGATTTCCATGTATTCTTCTCGCCTGCATGGTTGGTCGGGAAATTGTCCGGCTCGAATGTCACCGACATGAATGAGGAATTCCCCATCCGCTGGGACACGATCGGTCATGGTTGTTTTCAATTGATTCTTTTCCACATTGTTGTAGGGAACGTCCCCTATCGCATAAAATATGGTCTCGAGCTCTTGATAAGTTGGCATGGTCGATGGTAAACTAGAGGGTGCAATCGTGGGAAGCGTGCTGGGCAATCTGGATGGCATACTAGAAGGAACTCGGGAAGGCAAATCACTGGGAACAAAGGAGGGTGGCACCGAAATGGATGGTAGCATGGTGGGCCGATTGGAAGGCATGAAGGATGGCGTGGTCGCTGCAATTACGGCGGCACTGGATCTTGCATCATCACTGTCACCAGTATCAAAATATCCGTTGCTGAGAACCACCATGAGGGACACAAAGATACCTAGCAGAATGCAATAGCAAGCAATATGTTTGGACCACTTGTGGCAGAGTTGACCAATTGTCTTTTTCTTTTCAAAGCTGCTGTTGCTGCCTTTTGTGGCAGAGTCATCATCCTCGTTGGTTGTAAATGCCGTGTCATCGGAGGTGTCCAACTGCAGCAACTTTTTGGACGTGGGTTTCGTGGGTGATATTTCTGTGGAATCGTCATCCTCCTTATGCTTGGTGGTGCTGGTCTTTGAATTTGGCATCGCGGACTCAATGTCATTGACGTTCGAGCCGTCACCAGGTTGTGGCATGGCCGATTCAATGTCATGGTCGTTTGAATCATCACCACCAGGTCCCCAATCGTCTTCACCGACAGAGCCGTTTTCAGAGACAATCGAGGGCTGCCGAGATAGAGAATTGGACGACGAAGAAGCAATGATGGGCACATTCTTCAATAGGTCATTGGAATCATCATGATCCGGTACTGTTGGAGATTTTAGATCGGGTGAATTGGACGACGAAGAAGCAATGATGGGCACATTCTTCAATAGGTCATTGGAATCATCATGATCCGGTACTGTTGGAGATTTTAGATCGGGTGCCTGTAGAAGGGAGGACCTTGGGTCATCCTCTACTATTTTGGAATCATCACCATCCATAGGTGCAAGGATATTGCCAGTAGTAGCTGTTGATGATTTCGAATCATTGTGATTCGATTGTTCATCAGCAGCAATGCATTGATTTTGATTGCCCTGACTAGTGGCATCCTGTGCAACGGAAGGTGATATGGAGTTGTTGTCATCACCATCGCCGACAAATAACAATTCGACACTCCCTGTGCTAATGTCGTCCAATAGTAGGTTGCTGGGAAGTTTTAACAAATGCGACTCTGGTCGTGAGGATGAATGCCGTGACGAGGAAAGGGAGCCAAGGCTTTTTCTTGAAAGTGAGGATGCCTTACTACCTGCAGACACGTATCCGATGGAACTCAAGATGGATGCCAGTGATCCATTGCCGAGAGAAACATCGTCGTCGTTATCATCCTTATTGTCGTTATCCCTATCACCATTGTCACCATTGGCATTGTTTTCGTTCACGCAATCATCATCCGATGGCTGCAAAATAGAGACAGGAATGTCAATGGCCTGTGTTGCTTCTTGAACAGAAGACGAGAGCCAAGAGGCAACAGAGGATAGTGCCCATTGGTCTTCTTCTTCTGCTGCTACTTCAACCTGCTGTTCTTTATCGTTTGCTACTTCTCCTTCATCAGTGACAGATGCAGCAATCTCCCAATCTGCAACCTCTCGTTCATCATTGTCATCGTCGACTTCTGTGACGAACGACTCGTCTGTGATGAAGGATACAGCGTTCACGGCTGCAGCATCGTCAGCTTTTCTATTCTCGGTTACCAATCCACACATATCAACAGATAATCGGGATGTATTGGCGGGAGAATGAACATTATGATCTTCCATGTTGCTGAAAATTATTCTTTCACCACTTGCGTACAACAGCTATTCATGTTCGTAGCCCTGGGGTTTTGAATTTGGTGTTTCAATTTTCCCACCAAAACCTGAGTTGGATTTGGTTGGATTTCGCGTTACCGTTGGCACCTCCGGCTCATCTTTCCCGCGCCTTTTCCTTGGTTAGTTAGGAACGAGCGCCAGGCCAGAAAGACCATCGGAAGGCCAACTCCACACAAATACCATTCAAAACAATCGTACGTACTGGTGCGAAATGACCTGAAGAAGATTTCATTATATTGAAGCAGAAGAATGTACGGTAGTAATGTTTAGCTGGCATTGATGTCATCATACACGTAAAATAAATGATGAGCCAAATATATATAATCAAAATACCACAGCTAATGTAGTATATTCTTTTAATCTTCATGCCCCAAGCATTCGGTCATGAGAAAAAGTATCATTGAGGATATTCTTGGAGCCCGCCATCGTCATCATTGGAGGTGATAACATCACTTTCAGTGGTGGATTGGTCGTACCCCAATCGACTTGCAACCTTTGCACACTTTTCAAACCCCTGTAGTTGGGTTCAAACTCATAGTAATGATTGTCGCCATTCAAGTACAATATCGGAACTTGGTCCAAAAGTGTCTCCCTGACATATTGCTGGAGTGGATCAAAAAAGGCATCGTGCGTGCTCACCGGAAAGGCGTGCCCAAATATGACAATCCTACTATTGGCGCTGGTGCTGCTGGTGCTCACATCAACAATGTGCTGGTCAATTTTCGACTTCACCCACTCAAATTGCATTCTCAATTGGGTCGAATACTCTGTCTTGTTGCTGTCGGAAATGTGAATGGCCCCACCCACCAAGTTTAGTCCAAAATACAAACAAGACTTGTGGGAAAAGAAAAAGTTCTCGGGCCAAATGGAATGACGTTCCACTTGCAACGAATGCTTCCAATTTCTCTCAAAACTACTAAAGGCTTCCACCCAGTACGACATGCCTTGAATTGGATTGGGACAATCGTTCCATTCATTGTCTACATAGTACCATAGGTTGATAGAAAGAAGCAAGAAGAACAAGTAAGTCCTTCATTCTCGACACAATACCAAGGGTGCCGCAATATCATAGCCAACATATCATCGCTTACCTCCCGGAACAATGAAGACTGGAATTTTGGATTCCAAGAGAATCCTTCGAACGTCCAAGTAATCCTTGAAACTACATCGAATGGTTGGATCGGCGGCCGAACGAAAGTCGCCCACATGAATCAAAAAGTCGCCATCTTGTGGCAATTCCCTCATTCGTTGCGCCAATTCCACCTTTTCGACACTGCGATAGGGGACATCGCCAATGGCATAAAAGATGGTGGTGGTATTGTCAAAGGTGGGACTGGATGTTGGGCTGAAGCTGCTCGTCAATGTTGGAGACTGGGTGGCAATGGTTGGGTTATTGGAAGCAAGGTTAGTTGGTCGAGCTGTTGGCCTTGTGGATGGAAGATCACTGGGTCTATCACTTGGACTGATAGGTAAAGACGGATTGGCGCTTGGCGTGATGGTCGGATACAAGGAAGGAGCTGTTGTTGTTGTTGTTGCTGTTGTTGTTGATACTCCTTCACCAGCGCCATTGTTGATTGACAGAGCCGGCTTGGTATTTGCATCAGGTTTCAAGTAAGGCATTGCTAATATGTAACCAACTGCAACAATCGAAAGAAGGATGAGCACCAAGATAGAAAATTTTACGTATGCCTTCCAGCCCATTCGAGCATCGTCAGTTTCTTTGAAATTTGACAATGTCACATGTGCGGTGGCCTCGGACGGTGTGACCTTTGTAGAGTCCCCAGGACTGTCAGCATTATTGTGCGGTTGGACCGGAGAAGACGGGCCCGTTGGTGATAGATTGCCTTCTCCACTGGCTCTTAGTTCTTCTCCGAAAATTGGATTCTTCGTTATTGATTTATCTTCTGTTGAATCCTTATTTTGCATCATGGTGCAATGGGATGATGTATTATCCTCTCTGGAGTGAGCCGAATTAAATGGGAATTATCTTTCAGCATAAAGCGCTTTCGGAATAGGACGATGACAGATTGATTGATTCATTCGTTCGTTCGTTCCTTCCAAGGCTTCCGGGATCTCGAAAACTTGATACCTATTTTGGATGTCACACACGATCGGTATGCGATGCACATACACGTACTTCACGTGTATGTGGGTAACTACATACCGCACCAACGCTACCTACGCGTAACGGTTATGCTTGGCAGGCGGGTTGATTGGTACAGTATGGATTCATTCGACCCGTCTTTTAATGTTTTGCAAACTGAATGTTTGACGATGACTATATGCAGTATTGTTGGAGCTGCTTTCAATGTACCGGTGTTAAAAAAATTATGGATTCTATGTACTTTTGTGATATACCTATGTCTAGCCTAAAGCTGCCGGTCGAATGTGCAGACATCGCCAACTTGCAGCACCCCATGATCCGCACTCTTGGGAACAGCGAGTTTCATCTGAAGAGGTGGTTCCCTCGATCCACCTTCGACCATTATACGGTGGAAGGATTCCTGTCCATACCATTCTTCATCAAACTGAAAATAATGTCTGTCACCATTGACGTATATGATTGGAACCTCGTTATTTAGATCGTTCGCAATGTAGTACTCGAGTGGACTAAAGAAACCTGCATGAAGGCTCTGACGAGGGTCACCATGCGCAAAGATTACTACAGATGACGCGTCATTTGTAGATGAAACCACATGAGTGTCAATCAGATTCTTCGTCCAGGTAAACTGATAGCTCAGGCGACCCTCCCACTCGGAATAACTATGGGGCTCACCTCCAACGATATTCAGTCCAATGTAGAGAACTCGTTTGTGAATGAAGAAGAAGTTTTCGGGTCTCTCTGGATCTCTGGTAGGCTGGATTGCTGATGAGCTCCAGTTGTTTTCAAATGCACCAAATACTCCCTTCCAATCTCCCCAACTCTCGCTCAAGTTGGGGCAGTCATTGTATTCGTTATCTGCAAAACAAAATGATCAAAAGATGTCAGCGTACCGCACGCAATAGTATATATCCAAACAAAAAACACGCTATGCTTGGTCTTACCACCTGGGACAATGAATACTGGAACTTTGGAATTCTTTAAGATGTCTCCCACATCATCAAACTCGGAAAGGAGGCAATCAGTTTTACTTTCAGCATCCCGAATATCACCCACATGTACCAAGAACTCGGCATCGTCGGGAAGATTGTTCACGTGTTCGATCAGGCGTGTCCTTTCCCTGTCATTGTAGGGGAGGTCTCCAATAACGTAGAAGGTCGCTGTTAGTGTATCTTCCTCGACGACTAGTTGGGTGGAAGGAGACTCTGTCTGGGACTCTACTGGGTTTGTGGATGGAGAGGACGTTGGAGATTGAACTTGTTGGATAGAAGGAGAGTATGTTTGGGACTCGACTGGATTTGTGGATGGAAAGGCCGTGGCAGATTGAACTGGTTGGATAGAAGGAAAGCCTGTTGGGGAATTTGTTGCTGCTTGGACTGGTCTTCCAGAAGGAGAATCAGTCAAGGACTCTGTTGGAGACCTACTTGGAACCTGTGTCTCTCTATCTGAATCATCATCTCCAATCGGCTCGATGTGTGGACTCGTGCCATCAAACCCTGACGGTTGCTTGGACGGGACACCACTCTCAAGTTGACCGTCTCGATCCTCGGATCTACCGATTCCCCAATTCGAAAGCAATGTGTTCTCGTCCATCTCTGGTTTCTTCACTTCAATGGCTACAAAGACCGACGTAATCACAATAATCACACAAAGTACGGAAAGAAAAATCATGACAACCTTCTTGATGTGACGCCGATAACTTCTTTTCTCGAAGTCCGAGTAGAGATCTTGGATACACTTTTCATCACTCATGTCGCTTCGATAAGAGTTCATTGTAGCGTCAGAAGAAGGGTCTGTCTGGCTTGAACTCTTGCCTTCTGATCTCGACTTGGAGGTAGTAGAGACAACTGTTCCTGTCATTTGAACATGTGTTGATTTTAGTTGTTCTTGTTTCGGTATTCTGCTCTGTTTCAAGAAAGTTCGTTTGATGCGCTTAGTTGAGTCGTATTTTCCACCGACGTGATCAGCGACGATGGTTTCCTCTACTTCATCCTCGCTGTCGTATTCCATGAGTTCGACTACATTTCGGGTAGATTTTCGAATTGAGATCTTTCTCGTATGGTCAGATGCAGCATTTCCATATTCTAGTTCTTCCAAGCTTGAGACCATGGATCCGCATTCCAAAGTTTCCTCATTTCGAGCAGTTGAGGCATGAATCGAGGAGGGAAGCCCATCTTCTTGTCCTTTCCGGTCGCTGTCACTAACCTCTAGCTCTTCCTCTGTATTCCCATCATGCTTGTTGGTATTTTCATTGGCTGCTGGTCCAGACAAGTACGATAATGTCTGTGATACAGAGGGTAGTAACGAGTTGATGTAGTTCATGGTTGATAGGATAGAATATGACTCGTACAGGCCGTGGAATTCGATGTGACCTGTCGGCAGTATGTTCTTCTAAATTTGTCCATCACAGCGTGAACAGAAAGGAATCTTGCAATTTTTGTCGAAGAAATCCCAAATATCGGTTCGTGGTTACGCGGGCCGATAACAATTTCAACAAAACATAGACCACACAAACCATGAGACCGATTTCATCTCGAGCGTGCAAGCCGAAAGGGTCTAAGGAAAACAGGAGATTCATTCCTAAAGCCGTTACTCTATTGGATTAATAGCCGATGACTGTCTCAGATCAGTTTCAATCGTACCAAACCAGGTACGCCAGCATTCTGATCTTGATAGATGACCTAGATACTTATACGGTAGGTACTTTGACATAGCACCCAAGATCAATCATAGCAACCGATCTTGGTTCATAAACATTCGAACAGAGTTATACTCTCTTCTGAGTAATTTTTAGGACTCTCTCGTTTCGAAGTATTTCTGCTCGTGATTAAAAACCAAACAATAGAACGTTGCCTACTATTATTTCTTCTGTTAACCAAACAATAGAACGTTGCCTACTATTATTTCTTCTGTTACAATACCATTACAGACGACGATCATAAGAATACACATCGTTGATATCGAGAGCGCCTTGATATTGATCATCAGGGATTGTCATTGTCATCTTCAAAGCTGGCTCTTTCGATCCACCTTCAACCATTATCCGGTGAAAACTAGGTTCCCCATAGAAATTCTCATCGAACTGCCAGTAATGCTGGTCTCCATTTATGTAGATTATTGGAACCTCGTTCTTCAGTTCGTTTCGGATGTAGCCTTTCAATGGCTCGAAGAATGGTGCATGAGCTGATGGTCTGGGGTCGGCATGTCCAATGATGACAACGCTAGAAGCTTCGGATGGTACAGATCGAACATTGGTTTCAATCAAACTTCTCGCCCACTCCCATTCGATGTCTAGCCTTCTTTCCCATTCAGCATAATCATGTCTCCAACCCCCAACCACGTTCAATCCAATGTACAGAACTCGTTTGTGAACAAAGAAGAAGTTCTCTGGGTGAGTGGGATCACGAGTTACTCTCAGCTGAGCATCCCAATGGCGTTCAAAGTTGCCAAACTCGGCTACCCAATCTCCCCAGCTCTTGTCTAGGTTGGGGCAATCATTATATTCATTGTCTGAAGCAAACAAAAGGGGTCGATTAGTTGCACTGGACAAAAAAGAGAGATCCAAACGAAAATGGCACGATCACATACCACCAGGAACAACGAACACTGGGACTCGAGACTTCTTCAGAATGTTTGCGACATCTGCAAACTCCTCCCTTGTGCAGTCCGATCTGTCTTCTCCATCCCGAATATCTCCAACATGAAAAAGAAATTCTGCATCCGATGGGAGATTATTCACGTGATAAATCAAACGGTCCCTTTCCTTGTCGTTGTACGGGAGGTCACCGACAACATAAAAGGTGCTGATCAAATTCTCTATAACTTTCGGAGCCTGAGTTGGATTCTGTGTTGGCCTCTTCGTTGGATTCTGTGTTGGTCTTTTCGTGGGAGGCGAAGATGGCTTGCCTGTTGGCCGCTGTGTTGGATGCTTTGTTGGAGGCGAAGAAGGTTTGCCTGTTGGGCGTTGGGTTGGTGGCTTCGTTGGAGGAGGCGTAGGATTTTCTGTCGGCAAAACAGTCGGTCTTACGGTTGGCAGCGGTGTCGGTCTTTCGGTTGGTGGAAGTGTGATCTGAACCAATGGTGATGTAGATGGAGTTTCAGAAACACGTGGGGACGGAGCTGTAGTAGGCTGTTCTGTCGGCTGTTTTGATGGTCGGCTCGTTACCATTATTCCGGTAGGGGTTTCGGTAGGGGTTTCGGTAGGTTGCTTTGATGGTCGGGTCGTTGGCAATATAGTTGGGAATGCAGAAGGTGACTCGATTGGAGCTGCTGTGGGTGTTTCAGGAGCCACTGGTCTCGATGTAGCTGTAAGATTCGGTGAAGAAGGAAGCGCAAACATCTGACTTGGCTGTTGACTTGGTGCTTCAGAGAACATAAAAGACTGTGTATCTGCAGCCTGAGTAACTTTACTCTCGTCCGCAACGAGTGGGAAAAGAGTTAACACTGCAGCTGTAACCATGACAGCAGTCAAGATGCATAAGCTCGCCCAAATCATGATCTTGATGAAACGGCGTTTCCGACGTAGTCTATATTTCTGTAGCGGATCCGATCGTGATGACTTCAGCTCATAGACTACATCACTTGACATCCCGTCTGATAGTCCTGAAGTGGTGGAATAGTCCATCTGGTCAACTTTACTGTAGCTGTCTTCACTTGACTTTGCCGGAAGTGATGGTTTTTTCCCCAATCCCTTCGATTCTTTCAATTCGATTGGCTCTTCTGGGGTTGGAAGCAGCGTCGATGAAGATAAGACAATGCTACTTTTCTTGCTGGCTAGGCCTGTAACGATTTTGTCATTCCAGGCTGATAGCGTTTTGCTCTTCTTTGGGCTTTTCGTTTGTGTTGATGGCCCTAAAATCACATCCAGGTCTTCCTCATCGCTTTCATATCCAAATACATTCAGCAAAGATCCCTCGCGGCCTCTTCCAGATTTCAACGTTTCTTGAAAATTCAAAAGCTTCAAGCTAAACAGCGAGGATTCTTCGGAGGACCTGGCGGTGACCTTCTGGATTTCAGCTGGATCTCTGTGGGCCTTGAACGGTGTCTTCTTGCTTCCACTAGCTTTGAGTGTACGACTCGAAGAAACCTGCTTCAAGGCTATTGGTAATAGATGCGCATGATTATCGAAAAATGCTGATAAGGAACCAGCTGATATAGTTGACTTGTCTGTCCCACTTTCTCCTTCCGACCAGCCCTTGGAAGACGCACTGCTTGACGATTCGACAAGACTTGGGCTTGTCGAATCATCGCTGTCGAGTTCGTGAACCCAAAGCTGCTGACTGGAAACCCCAGTATCACGTCCAACTAGCTTCTTTTCGCTCAGTAACCTTGGACTCGAAGAAGGAAGAGCATTCTTCCCGTCCAACTCTTTTTTCGACGAAGCTGGTTCGATCTTGTCCGCGTCGTAAACAATGATTCCACCGTCAGCATCAACTGTAGTGCTTGGGTTCAGCGATACCTCGACGTTGCCGGTATCTTCAGCTTCCATGATGCTGGTGCGATGAAGCGCTTGAGACAAGAGATAAAACAAACAAGATCGGCAGTAAAGATTTGGAGTCGGATTTTTCAAAATTGGAACTTCATACCAACGAAGATCTGAGTTTCTGTTAGGGATAGAGCCTCTAAGTAGGTGATGGCCGAATAATCTTCCAATTAGCACCAAAAATAAGAACTATCGCGTGCCGGCAATACAATTCTCACTACACGACCAATGCAACACGTGCCAAAAATATCGTGATTGTTGTTTTCAAACCCGAATCAATTTCTAAATAAATAAACTGGTCTTGCTTTATTGGCTATATCTTTAGTAGATGTTTCCGTTATGATGGATACCTTTCGTAGTCATAAATATCCTCAATTTGAAGCGAGCCACTTTTTGGATGCCTTGGAACCGAAATCGTCATTCGAAGGGGAGGCTCCCTACTGCCACCTTCCACCATGATGCGATGAAAGTTTGGCATCCATTCATCAAGCTGAAAGTAGTGTCGATCCCCATTCATATAGAAGAAAGGAATTTCATTGTCCAACTCATCTGTCATGTAGGCTTTCAACGGATCAAAAAATGTGCCATGGGCAATCTTTCGAGGGTCCGCATGCCCAATAATCACCACAGTCGAAGCTCCCGGTTGTACTACAAAGGTTTCCACTAGCATCTTGGTCCATTTGAAATTGTGCTCCAATCTCGTTTCCCATTCTTCAACATCACGAACCCTTCCGCCAACAATGTTCAACCCAATAAACAGCACTTGCTTGTAGACAAAGTAGAAGTTTTCGGGCCTTTTTCGGTCTCGTGACACCAAAAAGGGAAGACTCCAATTCTTTTCAAACTCGCCAAATACAGTCAACCAATTGATAAAGCTTTCTTCAAAGTTGGGACAGTCGTTGTATTCGTTGTCTCCTGGAACGATAAAGACAGGAATTGGCGATTTCAATAGCATATCAGCCACTTTTTGGAATTCTTCCAAGGTGCAGTCGGTAGTACGGCTGGCTCCATTCCGAATGTCACCCACATGAAATAGAAACTCCAAATCGTCTGGAATTTCTCGAATATGCTTTTTGAGGGTAGCCTCTTCTTCAATATTGTAGGGAATATCACCCATCACGACAAAATTGGTCTCCAAGATGAGCTCAGATACTATTGGTGGTGCTGAGGGAGATGCCGTTTGTTCGATCACAGCAACTTCTGCTTTGGAGGGACGTGTTGATGGGGCATCAGAATGCGGACGTAGTGTAGGTCGATTTGTGGGCTGACCTGTTGGTGGATCTGTCGGCGGTGTTGTAGGTGGTTTGGTAGGGAATAGGGTTGGCTTTGCAGTGGGCTGTGGAGATGGATTTGTAGTGGACGGCCGTGGAGAGGGAACCTCAGAAGGTTGACTTGTTGTTGGTGTTGGTGGATTCGTTAATGGTATTTGACGTCTTTTGGTAGGAGCGGGGCTTGGTATTTCTGTTGGCTGTGAAGATGGATTTTCTTTGGATGGCCTTGGAGAAGGAGCCTCAGAAGGTGGGCGTGCCGTGGGTCCATCTGTGGGTCGGCTGGTAGGGAAGGGTGTCGGTTTGTGTGTTGGTGGATCCGTTGGTGCTAGAGTAGCTCTTTTGGTGGGTATGAGGGTTGGTTTTTCTGTAGGCTGTGAAGACGGATTCATGGATGCGGCAAGCGAAGGAAGATTCGTCGGATTTGCGGTCGGAATATTTGAAGGTTTCTGGCTTGGGTAATTCGATGGTGTTATAGATGGACTGAAACTTGGTAGAGTGGACAGCATTGAGTTCACGCTTGTTTCAATTGCCACTGATGTTGATGTTGATGTTGATGCTGATGCTGATGAGGAAGACTCGGAAGGAGCTGTCGATGATGCTAAAAGCATTGCAGCATATACCATCAACGAGAATGACACTAGTATTCCAGTACTCATAAGTAAGAGCTTCAGCTTAAGGCCTCGCCACCATGGCAATTTCAATTCCTCCACTGGCTTGTCTTCTGACATCTCGTCGAGGAAATGATGGGCATATTGATGCCATCATTCAATAGAAATGATAGGTCGGCGTTGCCGCCAGACAAGCCAAATCGATACTTAAAATAGTTCCGCTTGTTGGACTACTCGAAACTTGGCCAGGCAGCTATCATGTTGACCGTTGAATGATTTGGTTTTATAGAGGTGCAAATTGGAGACTCACGACAGAATTTTCTCGTAAGATATTGGATCATTCTTGACTCTAGATTGTGTTTCCAATCAAGACTGATCTAAATCGTGGGCTCATAATCTGAACACTTTGCCGCCAAAACATATATATTCATGGCACGAAATTGAAAATAAGCCAAAAAATCGTTTTACTTTGGGTCAGAAACGATACGTGATGGCAAATGTCAATGGAACTTCGATTTATGATGCTCGTTTCGCAAAACAAGATAGAAAAAAAAGATACAGAAGCGCAAAAGCAATACGGTACTGCGGTACCTCCGTCACTTTTGTCTTCTTCTGCGTTGTTGTCACAAATTTACCATCATGAAGACTTCAATCGTTGCTTTCCTTGCTCTCGCAGCAATCCAATCTTCCAAGGCGCAAGATTGCACCGAAGAACTTCTCCTACCCGAGAACTCGATTGCCTTTTGTCTCGTGCAGAATCTAGCAACTTGTGGTGAATGCACCAACTCTCCTGGCCTCAATTTGCAGCCTGGTGTCACGTTCACCTGTGCCGAAGTCGAAGACCAAATCTGTCCCACCGTCCGTTGCTGTGAAGATTGCTGGGAGGTGACCCAGAAAACCTACCAGTGCACTGTCGTTGACTCCTCCATTCCTTCTGGATTGATCGAAGAAGGATGCGTTGTCGATTGTTCCCGTTTCCCCATTGGTGCTACCAAACCTCCGACGCCAGCTCCGGTCAATACGGGACCTCCTCCAACCCCACCACCTACCATGGCACCTGTGGCTCCGACAAATATGGACACACCCACCGACATGCCTGTGGAAAACACCTGTGATGAAGATGCCACGCTAAAGACGTTTGAAGATTGCACTGTCGCCAGAGGATGCGCCAATGATGTAACCTGTTTTCAACGTATCTCTCAAGTTCGGTTTAATACATCGAACATCGATGATGCCTGTGCATACTTTGAGCCTGCACTTTGTGTTGTGGATTCTTGCTGCAGTGAATGCAATGCCGAATACCGCGATGCATTGACCTGTGGTACCGAAGCGTCGCTTCTCGACTGCCCCAACTTGAGCTGTGACGATGCTAATATTGGTGGAGGAGGCCAAAGCCCTGAGGATAGTAGTGCCTTGTCTTTGGCTGTCTCTTTTGCCATTTCGCTTGGATTGGTCGTTGCTCATGCCGTAACCAACTAAAGCCTGAAGGGGAGAAATTGCACCTGTTCCCAGCAGGTGATAGTCTCTGTTTTCTCCTAATGTATACTGCATCAGGGCATAATTCAATGTAATAGTGTTGATTAGTAAAATAATGTGTACATGTAGTATGCGTATTCGTCTCAAATGGGATTGCGGACGATGAAGGCGCTTTTATAATATAAAATTCTTTCAACCTCCTAAGCAAAATCACCTGGGAATCTATCCTTAAATTGACCAACCTGTGGAATCTCAACGGCTGCTGCATCATAAGGTATTTCTTGCTGATTATGCTTGGCTCGTTTCTTTGCAAAATATCCACCAGCCACCACCAGTAGTAGGAGTCCCAACGACAAGAGTGGCCGGTAGGCAAACCAAGAAATGGCAATGACAATGGTACTCAAAGCAAACGCCAAGAAAAAAGTGACGCAATCATTGGCCGCTCCCAAAATGTCACCAATGAAAGGAATGCAGTCGGCCATTACCTGAAGAGGTTGGACGACCATTTTCAAGGCACACCAAATGAGAATCATGCCGAACAACCGGATCAACCAAGTAAAGGCGGTGACAGCTTGATTGGCATGCAAAAACATGTCTTCCGCACTAACAGTGCCCTTTTCGACCAACAAGAAGGAACCACCAGAAGACGCAGTGTAGGTCGATACTGTACTTTGGGTTTGTTTGGCCACGACACTCATCACCTGTTCCGGAACTTCCTTGAAGGAAATTCGAGTATCACCCACACTTGGGCTGGTAGGCGAGTTTCCAAAATAGAAATAAGAGTTGTATACCTTGGCATCTTGTTTGGCATAGTCATCAGCAATAGTCTCTGTCGACAAGGACGATGTTAATGGTTGGTACCATTCCATCTTGCTCGTGACGACACTGGACATGGTAAAGGCACCAACAATGATGGGATCGGCCACCATGGTGGCGGATTCAAAGACCATTTCGGATGGATTCTGGTGGCCATTGGCTTCTTCGAATCCTGTGGAACTAATGAGATGATCAGACCACTCCTTATTGTAAGTGTATGTAGTGGTGGTCGTTGTGGATCCTCCAGTATTCTTTTTGGTCTGGCTGTGTTCCGATTGGGTCCATTGGTACATTTCCACCTTGCGTTTCAACTTCAAGGCACCATCGGGTGGAGCCACGCCGAAGACTTCATCTGAAATAGTGTTAGTACTGGTGGCCTTGCCAATGAAGTGAACAAGTTTGTTTTCGTTCAAAGCATCGATTGTGTCCGTTCCCACGTTAATGACCATTTTCAAGCCTTCTTCCAAGGCCTTGTGTTGGGTAATAGAGTTACCTTCATTCCATACAAGCAGCCATATGGATAGCAATATCATAATGGGAGCCATGATCAAGCCTTTGCAAGATCCGCCCATGCGACTGCCAAAGGATTGATGGGTGACTCGGGTGATGCTATCTGCCATGATGATAGTATTTTTGGAAGCTGCTTCGTTCTGTGAGGGGAGTGGAGAGGAGAGTACTCAAGATGGTGGCGGGTTTCTGTTTGGGTGATTACGTAAGTACAAACGTGCCGAAATGAGGTCTTTCCAATTTTATGATGAGAGAAGAATGGATTTTTTTGGGAAAGATACGGTTTGGACATCGTACTGTGAGCCTGAAAAGTGACCGTCAATTTCAGGGTAAGACGCAGGTCATACGTAGAAAAATACGTGGAAGGCATTTCATATTTACCGGTAGAGTGTCTTCTTTGTTGAGAAACGCAACGCGCGACTGATAATTCGATAATGACGTCACATCGCCCGCTGATTAAGTAAAAAAAGGAGAAACATTCGATCTGTAGATCATTACCATCATCGCATCCTCGATCCTTTTCCTTTCGAAACGACCATTGAAGGAGAAACATGTATGAAGCGGTCAAGACGCCAAGTGACCAGTTCAGCAAGCAAGCATGGCAATGTCAGCATACGAAACATTTCATTTCATCTTTGGACTTTTCCTGGCATGCTGTCAACCAGTCTTGTTGTATCGCGCGTGGCATCGCCTACTGATAGGAGAGTTCCTCTTCTTATTTGTAGTAGACCAGTTTCTGTTGCTGCACTTCTATTTTCTTCCTCCGAAAGCGTCGCTGCCGAAACAAAAGGCAAAGAAGGAACCAGTTGTAACTGATCCACCTGGAGAGGAACAGGAGGTGAAGCCGATCGAGAAACGATGGTCAAAGGAGGAATTGCAGAGTTTAAAGTCAGCTCTTCAACAAATGAATCCAATCGAACAATGACGCCTTATACTTTTATCAGAAAAAGTAAAGTCGTACAGTATGGAGTGGCAAATGACCACATGGAGGTACATGGGGCTATCATTTGGACTGAAAGCGACCATTTTGAGCTGGCGACTTCTGTTTGTAGCAATTACATTTTGGCAAAAGGAAGCTATATCTCATGCACCTCGAATAATATTCGTTGGGGAATGATGACACTATTAATTTAGCTGCCAGTAGAAATAGTATTTGATGTGGAAAATTCGGATGGAACATATTGCCGAATGAAAGAGTTTGGACTCTACTCGATAATAGTAGTCCCATTGCATATGAAATAAGACCACAGAAATCTAACGTAGTAATGCCGCCTTTGACGTATTATAATACTTTATCACCCATATTAATTTTAAGCATCATGAACGGGTTTCTTGGTGCTTCCTAGAAAGAGTTTCTTCATTCCCTTGAAGTTTTCACGATTCTTCTTGCGCTGTTTGCGTTGTTGGATCTTGTCTTCTGTTGAGATTGAATACTTGTTGTTCAAGGCCCGCTTAACGTATCCTCGTTTCTTGGAGTTGAGGTTTTCTTCGACTGGTTCATCGTCTTCGGCAGTCATTCCAGGAGAAGCAGGAGCTTGCTTTTTTGCGATTGCCTGCTCATTCTTGGCTTTCGTCTTGGCAGGTGATGGAGCCGATTTTGCGTTAGAATCCACTTTGCTTCTCTGCTTGTGCACCGTTGGCTCTTTTGTAGCAGATACTGGATTTTCAACTTCCTTGAGCACCTTCTTCGGAGCAGAACCAGTCGCGGCCTTGGTCTTCGTATTCTCCTTGTTTCCGACAATTCCAGCAGCAGCTTTCAGTTCCTTTTCTTTTCCTTTCAAGCTGGCGGTCAGAGCATCGCGCTCGACGACAAGGCCAGTGCACTGTTGTTCTAAGTTTTTCTTTTCGGATGAGAGTTGATCAACTTCGCTTCGCAACTTGGTCCTGTCAGCAGAAACCACATCGATCTCCGAACTCAATTCCGCAATTTTTTGTGCCTTCTCCTCATCCGCCTTTTTGACGGAAGCAAGTTCGATCTCGGTTGCCAAAGCTTCCTCAAGCTTTTTGTGAAGAGCATTGTTCTCTTCCAACTGCGCTTCTGTTAGGTCTTTCATCTCAGCAATGGTGTCCTCCAAGGCCTTCTTCTCAGCAGCGTGAGATTCTTCAGTCGACTTTAGCTTTTCTTCCAACGATTTCGTTTCTTCCGCCTGCGACGCAAGTTGAGAAGTTAGATCCGCAATTTTCTGTTCAAGGTTGTTATTGAGTGATTTATTCTCTTCCATCTGCGCATCTGTTTGGCCTTTCATTGTAACAATGCCATCTTCCAAACTCTTTTTCTCGATAGCGTGCGATTCTTCGGTCGCCTTCAACTTCTCTTCCAATGCCTTCTTCTCTTCCGCTTGCGAAGTTACTTGAGAAGTAAGATCCGCAACACTCTGCTCAAGGTTGATACGAAGAGAATTGTTCTCCTCCATCTGCACATCTATTTGGTCTTTCATCTTGGCAACGGTATCTTCCAAGCTCTTCTTCTCGACAGAATGAGATTCTTCGGTGGTTTTCAGCTTTTCTTCCAATCCCTTGTTTTCTTCTGCTTTCGAATTAGCTTGAGCGGTCAGATCTGCAATGGTCTTCTCGGTAGTCTCCTTTTCAGACTTCAGGGAATCGGCGGTACTTTGAAGGGTGGCCTCAAGAGACGTATTTTCTTCCTTGAGTTCAGTGAGAGAACTTTCAAGCTCTGATATCTTTTCGACGAGTTCAGCCAATTCTGCGCTCTGCTGTTTGGATTTGGCGCCCAGTTGCTCAATTTTCTCTTCGGCTTCAGATAGCTCTGCCTCCAAACTTTCGACTTTTTGGTTCGATTTTTCATGCTTGCCCTTGAAGCTGGCAGCACTCATTTCCAACTTTCGCTTCTCACGCCCGAGCGATTCAACTGATGCTTCCAGCTCGTCCTTTTCCTCCAGAACGGACATGAGAGTCTCCTCGAGCTTTTCCTTTTCTGATGAAGCCCTATTTTTCTGCACTTGGAGCGCTGTCATTTCAAATTCACTTGGTCTTCGATTCGACGACCTAGGTTGGGGCTCATCCATAGCCGCCTTCACTTCATTTAAATCACTCAATTCATTTTGGAGCTTGGATATTTCAATTTCTTTTTCTTCAACGACCTTGGAGAGCTTCTTGTTCTCTTCTAGCTGCTTGCTTTCAACCTCTTGTGCTTTCTTTTTGAGCTCTTCGTTTTGATTCTTTGCTGCAGCAAGTTCTTCCAACGTTTGAGACAGCGTAGCCTGCTTCAAATCCAAAGCAGCAACTTCGGCCTTCAACGCCTCGTTTCTATCTTTACCAGCATTCAGCTGCTCCAAAAGCTTGTTGCTGTCCTCTTGCAATTGCGATTCCATTGCGGTGAGCTGACGTTGTAAAGCCTCTTTTTCACTCTTCTCCGCAGCCAGCAATGTCGCTAATTCCCCATTGGCGGCTTCCACAAGATGTGTATTCTCGGCTTGTGGCTTCCGTAAGAACTCTTCAGAAAGTTTGGTTGGGGTGCCAAAGGTTTCCACAACTACATCCATGCTGCTGTCGGTTTGGGCTTGTGGCGTGCGTAGGAACTCGTCGGGAAGTTTGGTAGGAGTTCCAAAGGTTTCCATTGTCGACTTAGAATCGATCGCCTTCCGCTGGATCTCGCTAAGTTGAGACACAAGATTTTCGTTCTGATCATAGAGATCATTTAGCTCGGCCCTCAATTCTTCGATCGTCGCAGTTAGCTTTGCGCTTTCAGAGTTTCCACTCGCATCAGAAGCTGCAGCTCCTTTTGCGATTTGTTGTTCCAACACAAGATTGGTGTCGATAGCCTCCTCCAGCGTGAGCTGCATCCTGAGCGATTCCTCTTCTAATTTCTTGTTCTCGTTTTGAAGAACCTCGATGGCTCGGTGCGACTCTTCCAATGCATCCAAAACTTCCGCCATTTCCATGTTCTCGTTCGTTGCTTGCTGTAACTGCTCGTACATCTCCTCGTTTGTATACTCTTCTTCATCACTTTCGCTTGATTCCGAGCTCGAGACTGAGTCTGAATTAGATTCTTCAGCATCATCCTCTTCAATGCCTGGTTCAAGGAATCGAACATTCCTATCAAATACGGAGTCGCGAATCAGTGTCTCTTGGGTTTCATCTTCGTCCAGACTAAGGTGTTCGGCTAGGAGCTTCAACTTCTCTTGTTTCTCCATTTCGAGCTTTCTCGATTGGGTAGCGGGACTTGGTGTATAGAGTTTTTCCGAGAGTCTCTTTAAATTCGATAGTAGACCACTATCTTCTGACCGTGCAGACTGGTCAAAAGTGGCTTCATTTGCATTGGTCGGCGCCTTGACCTTTCCTTCTTCGCTCTCTAGTTCAGGACTGTGAGACGTAAGGCTATTTGAAGCCAGGACAGTCGTGACTGCTCCACGAAGCTTTTGGGTTGGTGATGGCGGTGATATTTCTTTCTCTTTTTCCGGATCTTGCAACATGTTTGCGGCTACGACAGTCGTGACTGCTCCACGAAGCTTTTGCGTCGGTGATGGTAGTGGAATTTCTTTCTCTTTATCCGGATCTTGTAGCATATTTGCGGCCATAACAGTTGAAACTGCCCCACGGAGTTGAGCTGCACCAGTCCGTTTTTCTTCCTCTTTATCCGGATCTTGAAGCATGTTTGCGGCCATAACAGTCGAAACTGCACCACGAAGCTGCTTTGCACCAGTCGGTTTTTCTTCCTCTTTATCCGGATTTTGCAACATGTTTGCGGCCATACCAGTCGCAACAGCTCCACGCAGCTGTTGTTTCGCTTCATCCTTGTCCATGCTCTTGGTTGAATCTAGATTATCAATCAATGCTGATAAATCATCGTCATGTTCGCTGGGTCTCGAACTGCCATCATCTGCTTGCCCTCCGAAAAGCACATTGAAACTGGATAGCAGCATGCTTTTACGAGGTGCTGCTGTTTCCGTATGTTTTTCGCCTTCAACTTCTGCTGGACTTCCTTTGTTTAGTACAAGATTGTCGCTTTCTGTTGCAGTCTCTTCAAGCGAATGGACTTTCGAGTAATCAACTACATCGTCCGTACCTGATGGTTCAACACCATCAGCGTCTGCAACTTGGTCATCAGGTGCATCCTTCGGATCAGGAGTGGCGGCGTGATGTTTCGAAGTATCTTGCCCTGCAAAGAACTTCTTGAAATTTGTAATGATAACACTCTCGCGAGGCTCAACAGCTTCAGTTTCAGGCTTGTGGTCTTCTTTCAAATCTGAAACATATTCATCGAGAGTGTATACCGCGGCTGGCTCTTCTGGCGATACTTCCAACTCGACTTGCGACTGTTCCGCCGTATCGTCACCCTTGGATGATTCACCGCCCACTACAATTTGACCATTTGCTTTCGTCGACTCTATCGCAACTTCATCCTGTTTCGGCGCATCTTTGCCTTCAAAGAGATGTTTGATGCTTGATACTTTCGAGATTTTACGCACTGATTTAGTTCCATGGTCGCTTTCTTCATCGGTCTTTTCATTCCTCCTGACCTCGGCAGCATTTCGATCACGGCTAATTCCGGTGGCAGCTGGTGATTTAATTATCCGCGAAGCAACCGAGTCTTTCTCCGGTTTTGGAGACTCAAATAGATGCTTCACACTCGAGACTTTCGACATTTTACGAACAGCTTTAACTCCCGGGTCGCTCTCTTTGTCCGGCTTTTCGTCGCCCTTGACCTCTGAAGCTTTTCTTTCGGCGCTCTTGTACGTTCCATCTACTGGAATATCAATTGCAGCAACAGGCACTTTGTCTTGTTTTGGAGACTCGAAGAGATGCTTGCCACCTGCCATTTTCGGTTTCTCTGCTGGTTTGGGAGACTCAAAGAGATGCTTTATACTTGAGACTTTCGACATTTTTCGAACCGTTTTAGCTCCCTGGTCAATCTCTGCACCTATTTTTTCGTCGTCTTGGATTTCTGCATCGCTTTTTTTGCGCTTGTCGTGGGTTGCCGCCAACTCATTGTGTTGCTCATTCGAATCGTCAGAGGAACTATCTTGTTTTGGAGCCTCTTGCCCTTCGAAGACATTCTTGAAATTGGCGACAATTGAACTCTTACGAAGCGTCTTGATGACTTCAGCATCTGCCTTTTTCTCTCCTTCATTTTCAGCCATAGAATCCACTACCTTATCGGCTGTGGCTGATTCTTCTGTTGGCGATGCCGATGATTCTGTTGTTGGCTCGTCGGGAGAATCGATTTCAGTTGCTTGTCCATCGGCTGTGTCGCTGTTTTCTTTCTTTGGATCGTCTTTAGCAACCCCTTGTTCCGAACCATCTTGCCCACTAAAGAGCTTCCTGAAATTTGTGAGGATGGCACTCTCTCGGGGTGCAGCGGCCTCCTTGTTGCTTTCGGTGTTTTCGTTGTTTGGCTTTTCGTTGGTGTGGCTTTCCGAAGTCACTTCTTCACCTGTTTCTCGCATATCTTCCTTGGTTTCATCCGATTCGTCTGGTGCCAGAGCTTCAACAGCTGGAACGGGATCTTCACGTTCTGGAGCCTCTTTGCCTTCATAGACATTCTTGAAATTTGCGACAATTGAACTCTTGCGAAGTGTTTTGATGACTTCGGCATCCGAATTTTTCTCGTTCTCATTTTCAGCTACAGATTCCACACTCTTGTCGGCTGTGGCTGATTCTTCTGCCGATGGTGCCAATTCAGATGTTGCCTTGTCGGGCGACTCGACCTGAGTTGATGGTTCATCGCCTTGGTCGTTGCTTTCTTCCTTTTCATCATCTTTAGCATCGCCTTCTTGCCCACCAAAGAGTTTCTTGATGCCTGTCATGATGGCGCTCTCTCGAGGAGCAGCAGCTTCCTTTTTACTTTCGGCCGTTGGCGGGTCGCCAGCTTTGCTTTCCGACATTACTGGGTTAGCATCATCTTCAACTAGTTCTTTGGTTTCTTCCTTGGCTTCATTAGGCTCTTCTGTTGCCGGCGCTTCGACATCAGTATTTTTTTCAACAGAGTCCAAGCTCTTTTCGGCTATGGGCGACTCTTTTTTTGATGGTGCCAAATCAGATGTTGCTTTGTCGGGCGACTCGACCTGAGTCGACGATTCATCGCCTTGGTCTTTGCTTTCTTCCTTAGGATCGATTCTAGCATCGCCTTGTTCCAAAGAATCTTGCCCACCAAATAAATTCTTGATGCCTGTCATGATGGCGCTCTCTCGGGGAGTCGCGACTTCCTTTTTGCTTTCGACCTTTGACGGGTCGTCGCCATTGCTTTCCGTCGTCACTGGGCCAGTATCTTCTTCAGCTGGTTCTTTGGTTTCTTCCTCGGTTTTACCAGGCTCTTGTGCTGATAATGTTTCAGCAGCTGCAGTTTTTGCAGCGGCCCCATCGTTGTCAGAACCAAACAGCCTCTTAAAGTTGGAAATTAAATCCGGGCCCTTCTCATCTTCTTTATTGTCGTCCTTTCGTTCGACGGCTTCACTGCTTGGAGTTTTCTCGCTCGCTCCAGATTGTTCCGGCTGGTCTTTGGTAGCTTGATCCTTGGTATCGGTATCTATATCGTCACTTTTAGTAGCATCCTTCAATTCCTTATCAGCAGACACTTCTGGCTTTTGGAAAAAACGACCAATGTTTTCCAATAAATTCTTGGGTTCTTCGGTCGTGGTCGAGGTCTCTGTTGTAGGCTCACTTTCCTCGTTTGATACAGGCTGTTCGGATTTAGCTTCGGGCTTGTCGTCCGTTTCATGAATATCAGCATCTTCCTCCTCGTTTTTGTCGGTGACATCCTTCGCTTCCTTGCTAGCAGATTCTTGCGGCTTCGGTTGGAAGAAACGACCAAGATTTTCCAATAGATTCTGGGAGTCTCTGGCAGTAGAAGTCCCTGTTACATTCGTTGTAGGCTCAGATGTACCAATTTCTGGAGGAGCATCAGCTTCTGTCAGTTCGATTTGTTCTTCAGACGCGTTTGGTGTTTTCTCTGTCTCCTCAAAAGGTTTTGCAATCGCTTCTGGCTCACGCTCAGCCGTCTTTATTGCTTCAGGTTTGGACCCTTCTGGTTTCTGAAAGAAGCGACCAATGTTTTCAAACATGTTCTTGGGAGCTTCAGCAGCTTTGGATTTTTCTGTTTCAGTGGCATCTACATCTTCAGGCGACTCAGCTGGTTTGTCTTCTTCTGTCACAGGAGTTGCGCTGTCAAGAATACTTTCAAGAACACTTTCAGCTACGCTTTCCGGTGTTTGTTCTTCGGTCTTTTCAGTTTCCTCAACCTTGTTGTCCCCTTCAGTCACCGGTGTCTCCTTTTCCTCAGCAGCTTCAGGGACGCTTTTTGGAACACTTTCAGGCGATTCGTTTTTCCCATCGGTATTATCAACCTTGCTGTCTTCTTTGGCTGTTTCGGTTTCAACTGCACCAACTTGTGGTTCCTCAGCTACGGTTTCTTGTTGTAAAGCTCGGTCAGCACGAGTCTCCTCATCGTGGATGATCAGTGCCTCGTCATCATCCGAACTAAATTCGTCAACTTGAAACGATTCGTCACCTTCATCCGATGAATCCGTAACTTTATTACTTTGTCGATTCCGAGCCTTACTCTTCCGCCCCTTTGTCTTTTGAGGTCTCTTTTTCTTTCCCATCTTGTTTCAAGATTGCTATTCTTGATGCAATCCAAAGGTCGCTATATAACCTTCTCTTCGTTTGCGTCGGTATTATATTATTCGGTGTCAATAAAAGCAAGCAACAATATAAAATAATTCAAAATTCTGTTCAAAACATTCAAAGTCGAAAAAGATCGCATTTCAACGCGAGCACGTGAATTTCCGTCGACTTTTGGGGTGGGCCTGCTTGCTTTATGGCATTTTCAACAGACAATAATTTAGCAAACATCGTAAATGACCGCATGCAGTGTCGACTAAAATCTCGAAGGTGCATTATATATTCTATTCCATTGAGCCTACACGGTAGGAGGGAAAGCTCTGAACACAACTGATTGCAATGACTTGCCTCTCATCTGCACCACGCTTTTGTCAACTGAGAGAAAAATTGGATCGCTATTGTCATGGATGAGCCGAATCTCCTCCTTCTTCTCATGAGCAATGGTGAAACAATACGCACCTCTCCCAAGGATCCCGGCACTCAGCCCATACTCATTGTCAAGATATATATTCTACCGCAATCGATATAACGTTTGGGCATGACATTTACATGGAAGACAAACTTGTGGATGAATTCTGAACGACGAAAAATGGACGATCTGGGTCTTTTGCTGATGGAGGTCTGTGATTTATCATGTCATGTCATCTTTTGGACATTGTATCGGAAGAGCTCTTTTGGCATTGAAATCTTTGTTAAATGAGTTCATCTGCTGCAGTCTTGAAGATTCTGGGATTTATTTTACGTTGGGTGCTGTCGGATATCTCTCATTTGGGAGGTTTCTCATCGGTTCCATTGAGGCCAGAAACTACGTAACAATACACCGACTACGTCTTTGGACCCTTCTAGTACCAGCCTCATGCGACTCACTCGCCGGTAGATTTGCCAGCCGGTAGTTGATCCATTCTCATGGGCCGACTGAGACTCAGAATACATGGTGTCATTATACTAGTTTATTCTGATTCAAACTAGGTGGGTAGGAAGCAAACTATAGGCGGTGTTGGTTCGGAACGTTTCAAATCCATTCAGCCGCCACTTAACGGAATATATGCAAGTGGAAAGCAGATTTTGTGTGTAATACATGAGGTTTGAAATTGAATACACATGGTTCAAATGGTAGTGTACATTGCAGCGATGGAAGATACAGTAGGGGGGACCTTTTGAAGAATGGTTGGCATTAGATCTATAATAAATCATTATTGTTATTTATGTATGTTTGTTTATTCCCAGGTTAAAAGATCGCCCATGCGGTCAGTGTTGTAGATGATGGAGATTCCAATTGGTCTATTCTTGGGTATGTTCAGCGCCGTGCAAGACGGTGAAAGAATCGCACGATAGATTCTTGACCATACCACTTCGTTCATAGTCCTCCACATATGGGCGGCCATAGTATGAGTCCAACAAGACATTCCGAAGCTCACTGATCAATGGGAATCTTGGATTCGCTCCTGTGCATTGATCATCAAACGCGTTCACTGCCAATTGATCAACCTTCGCCAAGAACTCAGTCTCGTCTACCCCCCATTCCTTGATTGACAATGGAATATCAAGCTCTTGCTTCAACTCGTCCAACCATGCAAGCATCGCATTCACACGGTCCATAGTGTGCTCTTGAGTAAACCCAAGATGCATCGCAATCTCTCCATAGCGACGAAGAGCATTTGGACGATCGTATTGCGAGAAGGCAGTTTGTTTGGTAGGCATGTTGGTAGCATTGAATCGGATAGTGTTGCAAATCAACAATGCATTGGCAATACCGTGTGGAATGTGGAACTCTGCTCCAAGCTTGTGGGCCATTGAGTGGCATACACCCAAGAACGAGTTGGCAAATGCAATGCCAGCGACTGTCGCGGCGTTGTGCACCTTCTCACGAGCGACGGGATCGTCCGCACCATTCTTGTACGAACGAGGGAGGTAAGCCTTCAATAACTTCAAAGCTTGCAACGCTTGGCCATCCGAAAACTCATTGGCCAATACCGACACATAAGCCTCCATGGCGTGAACGACAGCATCAATGCCTCCTGCAGCAGTCAAGCCCTTTGGCATCTGCATCACCAAATTGGCATCGACAATGGCCATGTGAGGTGTTAACTCGTAGTCGGCCAAAGGATACTTCTGACCGGTGGCGTCATCGGTCACGACTGCAAACGGAGTGACCTCAGAGCCAGTTCCAGATGTGGTAGGGATACAAACGAGCTTGGCCTTGGTTCCCATCTTGGGAAATTTGAAGATTCTCTTTCGGATGTCCATGAAGCGAAGAGACAATTCTTTGAAATCAACTTCGGGATGTTCGTATAGGACCCACATCATCTTAGCGGCGTCCATGGGAGATCCTCCTCCAATGGCAATAATCAAATCTGAAGACAGTGTAGAAAGCATCAGGTCAGATGATGGATTTACATCTTCGACTATCATTATCCAGCGAGAAGCAGTACTTACCAGGTACGAAGTTGTCCAAGACGTCGGTTCCCTTTCGGATGGTAGTCAAAGTAGGATCGGCTTGGACTTCGTAGAAGATTTGGCACTCAATACCACGGGCCTTCAAGAGCTCCGTCAGCTCATGCACATATGGTGTGTGGTTGTACAAGAACTTGTCCGTCACAATGCAGGCCCTCTTGAAGTCCTTCAAATCTTCCATTGCAGTTGCCATTGCTCCACGACGGAAGTATACGGAGTGTGGAAGTTTGTGCCACAGCATATTCTCGGCTCTCTTTGCGACTGTCTTCTTGTTCATCAAGTGTTTTGGTCCGACGTTCTCGGAGATCGAGTTACCACCCCAAGATCCACAACCCAACGTCAAAGATGGAGCAAGAGCGAAATTATACAGATCCCCAATACCTCCATGCGATGTGGGTGTGTTCAATAGGATTCGAGCGGTCTTCATCTTCCTTCCAAAGTGCTCGATACGTTCAGTATTCTTGTCTTGGTTTGTATACAAACAAGACGTGTGTCCAACTCCACCCATGGACACTGCCTTGACGGCCATCTCGACTGCTTCATTAAAGTCAGAAGCTCGGTACATTCCCAAGGTAGGGGACAGCTTCTCGTGGGCAAACTCATCTTGCTCTGATAGTTCGGCTCCTTCCCCAATCAAGATTTTGGTGTAAGGTGGAACAAGGACATCGGCAAGCTCGGCAATCTTGATGGCAGACTGACCAACAATCTGGGCATTCAAGGCACCATTCTTGAACAAGATCTTGCGAACCTTTTCCTTCTCGTCAGTGTTCAAGAAGTACCCTCCGTATCTGGAAAAGCGCTCCTTCACTTGGTCGTAGATTTCGTCAACGACAATAACTGCTTGTTCGGAAGCACAAACGACACCATTGTCGAATGTCTTGGACATCAAGATAGACGACACCACTCGCTTGACATCGGCAGTTTCGTCGACGACGACAGGTGTATTTCCAGCTCCGACACCAATAGCAGGCTTGGCAGAAGAATATGCGGCCTTGACCATAGCCGGTCCACCAGTGGCCAAGATCAAATCAATTCCATCATGATGCATCAGTGCTTGTGATAGAGGAAGAGTGGGAGACTCGATGCATCCAATAATATCTGGTGGAGCTCCAGCCTTAACAGCGGCCTCCAATACCAGCTTGGCAGTGTAGGCAGTGGACTTCTTCGTACGTGGATGTGGTGAAAAGACAATACCGTTTCTTGTTTTCAAGCAAATAAGTGCTTTAAAGATGGTGGTGGATGTAGGGTTGGTACATGGGACGACACCGCAGATGGTACCAATAGGTTCCGCAAGGACCATGGTGCCCATCTCGTCGTCAGTTTCCAATACTCCACAAGACTTGAAGTCGGCATATCTGTCGTCGAGAAAGAAAAAAGGAAGAACAAAATTAGTTCACAAATTGAAATTGTCATCGCCACCATGCAATGGTTGCATGATACTTACTTGTTGTAGATGTATTCAGATGCAAAGTGGTTTTTGATGACCTTATCTTCAATGACTCCCATGCCAGATTCTTCGGCTGCCATCATGGCGAGTGGGATGCGAGCATCGGCGGCGGCCAAAGCGGCTGCACGAAAGATCTTGTCGACTTGGTCTTGAGTGTATGTTGCGAATATTTTTTGCGCCGCTTGGACTCTCTCAACGAGTGCATTTAGCTCCTCAAATTCGGACATGATGTGTTTGTTTGGTTTTGGTTGTCGTTGGTATTCTCGTTTTGAATTTATATGAGAGGATTTTGTTTTTGTTGACGAGTGATTTCTTTTTTTTATAAAATATCGTGTTCTGGTTTGGTTTGGTCACCCGAACTCCCGCCAGCTGAAAATATTAATATGCAGACTTTCGAGACCAACTTCCACTGCACGTGGGGAAGATTTTAGAACCAACCCGAACTGCGACTGTGTTCGCTACACACGAAAGCCCGCGTCTCTGCATTCCCGTGTAACTCTTCGACATGATCGACTGCTTCTCTATGCAAGATTGCGGTTCACGTGACGATACTGCACAGGCTGGGTATTGCAGTTCACGTGAGTAAAAAAATCTTTGTGAAAACGAAAGATTCTTTTGCATTTGAAATATCTGGAATCGCATGCAGATAGTGAGTGATAGTCCTTAGAAAACATAAAAAAACGTACAAAACCATTCTACCATATACCATGACCAAAGTTGTTTCCTTTCGTGGAAAATCTGCTCCTCCCGGCACAATTCCCAAAGTCAAGAGAGCGAGCACTGTCATTGGATCGGAATTGCCAGCTATCAAACTCAACATTGTTGCCGAACGATGGAGATTCTATGCTTACATTGCCTTTTGGAGCATGTGCATTCTTGCAATCGCTTTGTCCAAGATCTTTGTGGCACCCATTCTTGCCGCTGGACCAGAGGATGGATCCACCTGTGGTCCATTCAATCGAGTAAGTAAAAGCCATGCTGTGCAAAGGTGTTGCATTTTGATATATTTGCTATTATGCATCAATTCCTTCTCCTCTCTAACTCTTATCACAAAACTAATAACAATAGGATGCCCCTGAGTTTGGAGTTGAGCTTGGACAAGGATTTGACATGACGACGGAATCACATTTGCAGCAAATCTTTGGGTATAACAATATCTGCGTCAACTGGGATTACAGGTCAGTCTGACACTGCTGCGACTCATCATTCGGGAAAAACTGCAATCGGGCACGTGGTCCTCGATCGTCTGGGTCCTTTGTCTTCTGATTTTATTGCCACCACGTTGTCGAACCGTCGTGGCGAACTCGACCTTTGGTTTTGGAGGTTCTGCAAGGTCATTTTTCCAATCAACGTCTTCTTGTGTGCCCAATTTCGCATGATCTTTGTCTGCATTGCCTACGAAAATGTCCAACAACATACGGCTGGCTTTTTAGGATTGCAAATGGCCTTGATTTTGGTCAGCATTCAAAATGCTGGCTATGTGTGGGACACCGACATCGCCTATGATATTGGGATCTTTGGAGATACGGTCGAAAAGAAACGACGTGGCACTCGCATTGCTGTGGTCGTGTACATTATTTGTACTGTCATCATTTCCATTGTCAAGGTCAGTGCGACCGCAAATCTCGTTTTAAGTGGGGAGGCCGCTCCATGGACCATGAAGGAAAGCTTCATTTCGGGAGCCATAGTGGGGCAATTGGTGGATTGGATATGGATGGTATTTAATGCGGTCCTTCCACTCTTCATTAGCTTTTACCGGTCTCGACATGAACAACCATTGGAAATTACCATTACGCAAGATCAGTTCTATGGATGATGACGACGAGACTGCAACTGCAACAGAAAAAACTCCACTTTCGAACAGAGTCGTTTGAAACAAACTGGTATGTATCATTAGATGATTTTGCCGGAGGAAGAACAATATAACGCAAAAAATCAAGCTGCCTTTATTGCACCACTCTAGTAGCTACAGTATCTGCTGCCCTCCCACAGCGTGGAGACCCGCCCAGCAGATCCCACCTCGCGCGAGATCGCGTGATTTGTAACACGTGTCCGGTACTGTGCGACACCATCATCATCGCAATCTATTATAGCTCCCATTCATATGAATATGTGCTGCATTCATTCAACATGAAACAAAGCATGAGGACGGGTCCCATACACGTCTACATAGCAAAAGAAATATCCTAGTCACAATGTCCTTCCTTGTATCAGCATCTCGCTCTTGTCGTCGGAGAGAAAGATTGGATATTTATTCAAGCAATATATTAGGCCGAGCCTTCTCGTCGGAATCCAGCGAAACAGCCTCCAATAAAGGATCTCAAGTCATGCAAGCGTCCTACCAAGAGTACTCCGAAGCCCAGTATTCAGCCCATATTGGCTGTCAAGATATGCTTCTACAATCGATTCAGCGATGGGGTCAACGCATTAAGATGGAAGACAAACTGTTGATAAATTCTCATCAAGATTTTGCCAGGCGACGAAGAATGGCCGATTTGGGTTCTGCCGATGGATCAAATTCTATTCAAACCTTGTCCGTCGTGATGGAATCACTCACCGAATACCGTGATGTGCCGTTTCATCCTTTGGACATTGTGCTGGAAGAGCATCCCGAAAGTGATGAGAATCACCTGAATGAAACCTTGAGCCACCATCAGCAACTCTTTGAGAAACACAACGCTCGGTACAAGACACTCATGAAGTCCTTTTATGAGCCCTTATTCCCACCCAATTCGATGGACTTTATAATGTCACATCTTTCTCTCCATTGGTTGGATACGGCTGACACGCAGCATGATGCTTCCCATTGGAAGGCTTTGCACCGAAAACTTGGCCAATTGAAGGGCGAGAAGGACGAGGCTTCTGATGAAAAAGACTTTGTATTTGTAAATGAAAAATATGCTCCTCTTTTGTTGCAGGATGTTTGGAGAGAGGAACTAGCCATGAGGCACCTAGCCAACTTTCTCATGCTACGAGCGACCGAGCTCCGTCCTGGTGCCGAACTGTTTATGATGATGGTCGGTGAAGGCCACGCATTTGTCTGCCCTCCAAACGATAACTCCTCCTCCCTACTGACAATTGCAATGAAAAAGTGCATTGAAGATGGGACTGTTCGGGAGGAGGTTCTGACAAATGCATTCGTTCCATACTATTTGAGAAACGTAACGGACATTTACGATGCGGTGAACCTAATGAATAACAAGGTGGATCCCAACAATGGACCCTTCTTGGAAGTTGTTGATGCTCAATATTACGCAGCCAATACAGGAGTCGACATTGATCGAGCGTGTGAGCTCTTTTGGTCAATTCACGGAGGGGCAGTCACTGGATTTGGGAATGCAACGAATGAGGAATGTGTGGCTATAAGGTCTGCCTTGGCTCTTGAATTCAAGACGGCATATAGCTCAGAAGAAGGAATCATAGGAAAGTTTGTGGCATGTGTATTGAGACGGAGAACTCGAAAGCCGTGGTCACTAGGTCCAGAGATGTGATAACAAAAGTCATTACCAATTCAGATCACTTGCACCTTAGAACTACTGTACCTTAGTTTTGTTCAAGGCAGGTAGAAGCATAATACCTCGTTGCAATACCGCTAACCTGCAATCTGGCTGATGAGGTAACGCAGTACCATTATACTGCAACGTTATTGTTTTACCTTTGTGGCATTTTTTTGGCTCTTCACGGGACGAACCTTACTTGGAATTTAAATTACCAAGGTCTTACTTTCACTGCGTGGCCTATGAGGTACCGGTACACGTGCACCGCTTTTATCTTGAACCGTACAGTGCCGGACTGACTCACGCACTTCCGCTTTTTTTGGACGAAAAAGAAATGACGAATATATATTGTATATTGTCCCATAGATCTTTTGGGGTCATAAATGACTACAGAACAATTATGAGTATTGGATTTTTCATTATCAAAAAATATATTTGATATACCATATGTGACCGTGTCGGAAATCGGAACGAATGGTACCTGGTACGTGTACCAGGCAGGGCGCAGGGGTACGAATACCCGGTTCCAAGCAGAATTCGATTACGCATACTCGTACCGCGTATTATCGGTAACATAATAATATGCATTCGTCGCCATCATCATCCCGTCAACGACGCATATTCTCTCAACATCATTGATGACCATGGCAAGTTCTAGCCATCGATGGAGACTCTGCGGAAGAGCTGAAGAATACAAACAACTTGAGCAGTTCTATATAGAACGGAAGCATCATGATCTTGTTTTCATCACTGGCCCAAACGGATGTGGGAAAACCAGTCTGATTGCGAGTCTAAGATCACGAATATCAAAGGATTCAGGTTACCTACTGTATGGAGAGTTCCTGCCTGATTCCGCTCCTTATGAAGCCTTTGGCGAGATCTTTCAGGAGCTTGAAAAACAAATACGGCACCACCGAGACTCCAAATCCATACTGAAGGACGTAAGACAGGCACTATCAAAAAGCGAGCTCAATACTGATCTCCTTCTTCAGGTGTTTCCCTCTCTGCGCTTTTTATTATCAAAGATAAGACAAAAGCCTCTGACTAGTAGACGGCAACCACCGACTACGGTTCAAGATGCCTATCGGCAACGAAGTGATCTTCATCGAGATATCCTCCTGTTGTGTGAGGTAGTATCGTCCTGTTTCCCTGTGGTTATGGCGTTGGACAATGCAATGTGGGCTGACGATGATACGCTGAAGCTTCTGGAAAGCCTTCGCGATCGGCAAACCGTCAGAAACTTTCTTTGTGTGGTTATTTCTCGTGAGGGTATCGAGCGCCAGCTACAATCCAGCACAGAACAGGATATTGGTGTTAATGAACCTATTTCACAATCGCCTCAGATTCACTTGGGTCGCCTAGACCGAAGTGGAATAGCAGAGATTGCGTGCAGTGTACTCGAAACTGGCACTCGACAGAAGTGTGCTGATGTAGTTGATCTCGTATATCGAGAAACTGGAGGAAACCCATATCATGCTAAAGAGATGATACAGTCTCTGGTGTCTGAAGGATATGCCCTAAAAAATGAAAATGGCTACTGGACGGTACAGACATCGGGGGCAATGACTCTACCTCCATTGTATGATTTGATGCTGACGCCGTTCTATCATCTGCCAGCGCATCTGAAGGATGTTGCTCAGGTTGCTTCTGCGTTCGAGGGTCGAACCATTCATCACTCCATCTTGTCGGAGCTAGTGACCACCCTTCCAGCTGGCGAAGTAATGGAAGCCATTATACAAATAAAAGCTGCATTGGGTGTCACCCAGGATGCAACTGGGCGCTTCTTTTACTTTCCCTACGGTATGCAAAAGTTGATCTACGAAAAGTATTGCATTGCTGAAAGAAAGACAATGCATCAACACGCCTTGCGTTCACTATATCGTCACCTCTCATCGAACACTTTGGACGCCAATGTCTTTCTTGTTCTTCATCAATCGACCCGAAGTCAGTGGTTCCGATCAACAGTTCACCAAAAGATGGAGTTGGCTCGTCTTTGTCTCGTCGCAGCAAAAAGATCAATTTCCAGCCTCGCCTCGTCATCTGCAGAAAGATATATTCAGAAAGGCGTTTCGTGTCTCGCGGACGTTGAGGATCGATGGAGAATCGACTATGCGTTGACGCTGGAATTGTGTACCCGCTCCACCGAAATCGAGTTTTCCAAGTCTAATATTGAAGAAGTCCATCGCCTGTACAAGGAAATCGCCCTGCACTCTCGTGAGCCCATCGATGTTGTTCCTGCTTGCAGGGTTCACATGCTGGCACTGGTGGAAGAAGAAATGGTTGACCGGGCGATCGACGTTGGATTGAAATGGATATTCCAAATTGGAGAATCGTCAGAGCAAAGCATTGACTTGAAAAAAACTTTAACAGATTTGATCAAAGCCAAAAAGCTCATCGTCTCCTCGCCAAATAGCGTAATCGATTCATCTATCAGTGAAGATAACGACCCTCTAAAATTGCTCCGAAGCAGTGCGAGCAGTCTCCGGAGCAAGGAGAGCTGGGGAAAGAATTACGGTCGCTGCCTGAGCCTCTTCAACTGTCTCCTTGAAACCGAGTATGTACTTGGAAACTATGACAAAGCCAAAGATGTTATCAATATAGTTCTCCAAAACGCCCGTGAACCTCAAGACAAATGCTCTGCTCTCCACACAAAGATGCAATTGGTTGTGCAAGCATCGAATCGAAATCATGCTCTGGGTGCGGAAGAGTCAATCAAGATGCTGGCTTCCTTTGGGATTCGGATTCCCTTGAAGCCATCAACGAAAGATGTGATGATTGAAAAATTAAAGCTGCGTGCTGCGCTTGGTAGGAAAAAAATCTCATTTCTAGCAAGTATGCACGTGATGGAGCGCGACTGCATCATGAAGCTGGTTGACCAACTTTGCCACTTCGCTACCTCATCGCATGATGAGAATCTGACGGCCGTTGTTGCCCTGCGCGCCATGAGAATGTCACTCAAAAACGGAATCAGCAAGTACTTACCTCAAATTCTTATCTCTTATGCAGTTCCATTGCGACGCAATGGAAAGCTGGAAGATGCTTATATGCTTTCTTCATCTGTGGAAACGTTATTCAAAAGATTTCCTCAGGAAAACCCAAAATTTCAGCTACTGCTACAATCTGGTACTTTGCATCTGAAGAAGCCTTTCCACAGTAGTGTGGATCATTTCGTCAATCTCTACGGTGTTGCTCTTGCGAATGGAAACATCGAATATGCATTGATCCTTGCAATGCATGTCCCGTTTCTTCATTATGCCAGTGGGTTGCCTCTTACAAAGCACTTTGAGTCTCAGCTTTCAATGTTCGAAGAAAAAGCAACACAACTTGAGCAGCCCATTTTCGTGGCTCTCTTCAACGGTTTTCACCAATTTTTGCACAACCTACAAGGGAATTGTTCCAATCCACTAGAGTTGAATGGTGAGGCTATGAATGAAGCTGAAATTCTTGGCCATTTTGAGGGAAATAGTCGATCGATGACGCTGCGCGACTTCGGTGTATTGCGGCTGACACTGGCTTGCATCTTTGACGATACAGGAACTATGATCGCGATGCTTGATAGGTTAAAATCCTATCCCCTTTTCGATGCCCCGATTGTCCGAGAGCATACTCGAATGACATACATGGGAATTGCGGCCCTCATCCTTGGGCGAACATCAAAGGATAAGGAATTCAAAAGGCTGGGGCAGAAAATCTTGAAGGTGAGTGTAGCTGCAGTCCAGTACAATTTTGAGTGTTTGCAGTTTCTCACAATATTCCTTTGGTCTCTGTACAGACATTCAAGGAACTGAATGATATTGGAAGCAAAAACGCCCGACCCGTGTATCTGTGCCTACGTGCCATCGAAAAGCACACCATAAAGGCATACGAGAAGGCCATTCGAGAGTGCCGTTTTGAAAACATGCTTCATTTGGCAGCGATGATGAACGAACAATGCGGGAAGATGCTCATGAAAGAACAAAGCTACGATTTGGGAATGGAATATCTGGGAGCAGCCTTATGGCTTTACAGGGACTGGGGTGCCGATGGCAAGGTCCAGCAAATGAAAGCTGCTTTTGATATGTCCGAGCCTTCGAGACACCGAACTGATTCCGAAACGTTGTCCGAGCACTAGAGCAGCAGCGGTATGTCCACTTTGAGCGTTGAACAATGCGCTAGAACGATATCTATAGATTCTTCTTCTTCATTTATTATTATTGTCTAGTTGTTAGTTATATTGGATCCTTCACGCAAAGTTCAATGCTGTTCGGGCACCACCAGCGTCAAGAAGGCGAAGAATTTCTTGCTTCTTTTCATCCGGCATATCGACGTCACGAAGGGAATCCATCAGCAGAGCAACTTCTTTCTCTTTGCGGATATACTTCAACGCAACACTTGCCAATTTTTCCTTTGGCTGTGCATCAATGAATTTGGTGCCTTCTTTGTACACCATCTTGGATGCCAATGACGATGCTATCGCATTCTTGATGTATTGCTCTGGCACCTTTTGTTCTACTTCATCAAACGCCAAATCTGCAATTGTTTTTGGGAGATGGGCACGGAAGAGCGGAAGAAGCTGATCACGATCATCCTCTGAAAGTGTGTCCAATGCCGCAGACAATGCATCAGTAGCGGTGTTGATAGAATTACTGATAATCTTGCTCACTTCTGGCAAAGGTGCACCGTACACGTCGCCTTCCCTAAACAGTAGCTCTGCCTCCAGTTTTGCTAGGTTTCGAAGTTTCGACAGCACTTCTTCGACAATCTGTTTCTTGTTTGCATAGAATGTCTCCTCGCTCAAAAGCATCGCAGAAATGATCTCATACGAAGAAGTAATGACACCTCCCTTATTTGCGGAAGAATCCTTGACAATGACAACGCCTGCGTCTTCGTAGAGAGCCTTGCGGGCAGCTTCCGTCGTAAAGAGGTTGGCACCTTCTACAATGAGTCGCGACGATGGTTTTCCAGTTCCGGGGATTAGGAATTGCTTGTAGTTGGAAATGTCAATAGTATTGGGACGTCCGCCACAAGGGAGGAAAGCATCGGCAACAATGCGATTGTGCATTGAGTTTCGAGCCTTTACGCCCTGTTCGGAATCAACCAAGTGAAGGTCACCTTCCTCGCTGAGCTTCTTGGCATTAAAGTTTGCAATCGGAAGTACTTCATCCACAAGGCGAACTAATTCCGCGTGATCGAGTCCATTTGGGTCTTCCGCGCAACCAGAGTGATCGGCGACGCCGAGAATCTTGACACATTCGCCATATTCTCGGATCAGAATCTTGATCTCGTTTCCACCAACGTCGCCATCTGGACCACCAGTAAGCTTGACGGAGAATGAATCCTTGGTAGGATCAATCCCAAGTGTTCGTCTCAAGGCCACATCCAAGTAGACGTTCACCCCCTCACTTGTCACTCCAAATTCCTTGTGATTGATTCCAGCCTTGGGCTTACTGGACATGAATGCAGCGGGAGTCGCGTATCCTCTTCTTCCAGCTTGTTGGATGATCCAATTGATATCTTCTGGAATAACTTGTTCATCTGGTCCCAAGTACAAGACTTCCTTCTTGCCCCAGTAGTCCACAATGTTGGTCCTTGTTTCTTCCGTATCCACTACAAGATCCAAAACGGTATCCGTAAAGGCCTTGACACTCTTGCGCATGACAAAGTTCTTCGAGTGCGCGGTCAAATTGAGGTTGTTGGTATCAATGAGGCAAACGGCCTTGCTTCCACCTTCAGGAATGTCCTTGTTTTTCAATTGTTGAGCTGTAAGTAGGGAGGGTGCAATGGGGGAAGAATGAATGTGTTAGTAATTGGATCGACTGATTGAATTCGATAATGATAACAATACAAAGAATAAATACAAATAATAACAAATGCACAGATACACTCTTACCAAATGCCAAACCATAGGCCTCATCAAATTGTCGTGCAGATTCCAAAGCATATTGTTCGACGGTCGCGGGAGTGACCAACCGCATACCTCCACGGGCAATGTCCCGGAATCGAACATGGTACCCATTGAATCGACGTCCATGCACAAACAAGATTCCATAGGGAACTTCTTCGTAAATCTTGTCCTCTGTAGGATTGGGTTCCATGATGCTGGGATCCAACCGAAAGCCAAGCGCATAACGGTTTTGCATGTACACGTTGGTCTTGTAGGTATGTTTGACAATGTCGAGCATCTTGTTCAACAATTGAATCTTGACGGAATTCTCAACATCCGATTCAATTCCAGTTTGAATTTCTTGAATGCGAGCGGCCAAGGCAACATCGTCCGAACAGCGTTGTGTTTCATCGGGATGGAACCGATCCAAAAACAAATCGGCAATCTTACTTGCATGGGCAATGGTTCTTCGATGGGTCATCATTTCCATGATATTTCCCTTGGAATAGACCAATGGATTTTCCTTGGCAAAGATGGAATGCATGAGGGAACACATTCCCGTAATGATTTCACCTCGTTTGACTCCCAACCATGGGTAGGTATCAAAGATCAGGTCCATGGTGGTATTGTCAAGCCACTTGGATCGTTTGATTTCTTGGCACAAATGTTCCGTGTCCATTCCTGCTTCATCTGGTTGTTCCACCAATAGTCGAAGCAAGGTGACACTGCCATTGTCCCCATCGTCAATGACATCTAGTCGTGCTCGCTTGACATCAAAGTTTTGGACGTATAGCAATCGGCAGGTATGTTGGAGGGCGACTTGAGGAATCGTATTGGCCACGGCCACATCGACCCAATAATGCTTCTTTCCTTCGTGTGCGGCGTCTTCGATACTGACTTCACATCCTTCCGTGCCACTGACTTGTTCAAACAACAGTCGTTGCTGCAAGAATCGTGTTGGCATTCTCGAAATGATGTTCAAGTAATTGTCGCTGCACTTTTGCAAGTACTGCAAGAGGGCATCCTGTTCAAAAATGGGATTGGGTGCAATGTTAGTGGAAGAGGTCCCCGCTTGGACTTGTGCCGCCAATTCCAAAATGTCGTGCATGGCCGGACTGTCAATGGGCCGTGCCTCGTGAAATTGTTTGTTCCCGTACACAAACATGTTGAGGGACATGCTGTCATCGAGCGCCGAAAAGGCATGCAACCGGCTCAATGGCTTTTCTTCGTCAAAGGGCAATTCGTCGACCATGCTCAACAAAGTACCGGGTTGGGTTCCGGGTCGAATAAAGGTATAAATGACTCGACCATCGTGCGAATGACTTTTGAGATTGAGGTACAAATCCATATTGGCATCTCGAATGGACGCAATCGCCTTGATGTGATCCATGCGAAATTGTTCGGGCACTTGACGAAAATAAGAGGCTGGCATGTGTTCCAGAAACCAGGGAACCACATTTTGAATGGTGGAAGCCTGTTGCTGGGTGAGTTCGTAAATCATGGCATTTTGGGTGACCCGTTGGACATCCGCATTGCGTTCGGCCTGCCAGGCAGTGGCCGGGGCATTGTACAACTGTTGTGGATAGGTGTCACCAAGGGATCCATACGCACTTCCGGTACTGCCAGGAATGATGGTAGCAGCTGACATTGTTTTTTCATTGTTATTATTGTTGTGATTGTTATTATTATTGTTGTTCTTGTTGCTATCGTCGTCAGACGAAGAGGACAACCATCGGCAGGTCGTGGTGGCTGGCGTCGTCGTCGTGGTGGCTGGCGTCGTGGTCAACGACGACGACAACACCAACCGTGAGTGGGTGTTGCCAGTGGTGGGATGATTCCTCTTCCACAATGTGGAAGGGACAGCTCGTAGCAGCTGTCGCATGTGATGCTGTCGACTGGATAGCATCTAATATTGGGTTTGCGAGCGTGAGAGTGGTTGAGAATTTGTTGATTTCGGTTTTATGTGCCGATGCTGATGATTATTGTCGTATGAAAAAAAAAAGCCTGGTGTCACATCGCGGTACTGTATGTGGTCAATCGATCAATCGTGAATATAAAATTCCCCGGCATTCTATGACAGACCTCTTCCCATTTTTGATCGCTGGAAAATAAAAATTTAGCCAAATCCAAAGATAAGGACCAATCACAATGCAGTGATTCGTCCGATCAAGTCAAATTCAAAATTGTTGCGTGGTGGGAGTTGTGCAGCGTTCGTATTGGCTGACAACAAACCCATCAAACCAGATGAATGAATCATATAAAAGGGTGTGAGGAACAACGACGCAAGTACAACAACGGCAGCATAAATGCAAATGCAAATTATGTTTTGAACACACAAGTAGTAGATTGGATGGATGAATCAATCATTCAATCAATCAATCATATTCACCATCGCCATAGTGAGTGAGTGAGTGAGTGATTGAGTGATTGCATCAACAAGGGGAAGCAACGAGTACTAGAGGAGGATTTGGAACTAGCATCACTGACGTCAATATGTCTCGGAATCAATCATCCTTATCATCCTCATCATCATCACCACCATTGCCATCCAAAATTGTGGAACTGAAATTGGGTGGTGAGAGAAGATTTTCTGCGTATAATAACAAACAGACATGCAACAATCAGACAGTCCATTATCTGGAAAGAGGAATGTCATCATTTTAATTTCTGCTGAAGTGCAGCAAGATGAATGATGATGCCATGGGCAGGTCTGGGGATCTTTGCGAATTCGTCATAAAAGTCGAAATTCTATATCGATAGCAAGCAATAATCTTTCCAAAATGACTGAGCAAGATCATCAGCGTCATCGACTGAGAAGTGTTGGGTATCGGAACCTAGAGGTGATGATTCGTTCATTCATTCATCATGATTTCTAAAAGATAGGATTAGGGTTAGGATAGATATATTTTATATTATAGTAGGTGGTATGATACTGTATACGAGTATATTCATAAAATTGGTTGCATGCGGTTGTTTACCATTCTCCGTCATCCTCATCCTCCTCACCATCATTGTCGTCGCCATCATTGTTGTCATTGTCATCATTATTATTATCATCATCATCATCATGATCACTATCAAAATCAATCCGCGACATCATTCCCACCACACGAAGGGTTCCTCGAAATGCCAATGGCACACCAACTGTTTGCTGATGCACCAACAATACCGAAAGAAGCAATTGGACAATTTGTTGAATACCCGAATTGGAGGGATGATCTTTCGACGCATGGACGATGCATTCGACGCCTCCAAACTGCAACAAGTCTTGTAATACACTGGCAGGTTCCAACGAATTGGCAATCATGGATCGAATGACCACGCAGGCAATAAAGACAAGACTTTTGGAATGTCGAAAAAAGACCATGGCGGGAACAATCTTTTGGATGCAAGCATTGGTCGGAATGCGAGTATGTTCTCCCAACCTCAACAAAGACACTAGCGCATGCATCTGAACGGCTTCGTCTTTGGGATACAGTTCCATGCACTCCAAAATGGATTGAACTACTTGTTGCAATGGCAATCCATCAATGGTTTCGACGGATAGCAATCGGCTGAGTGTATTCAAGGACACAATCAACAACAATTCGTCTGTTTTGTTTTCTTCCATGATTTGGTAGACTAATAAATGACCATTTTGTTCCACCACTTGTTGTCGGGCTTCTTGGAGGGATGCGGTAATCTGAAGAAGTGCCAGGCACCCGGTATGTACCAATCGTGTATGATCTTCAAATTCTTGCAATGCCGCCAGAATGACTTCCACCACACCCAGTTGGAGCAATTCCCTCTGCAAGGAAGATTCTTGTGGTTCGTCATTGTCATTGTCATTTCCATTGTCATTTCCATTGTCATTTCCATTTCCATTGTCACTTTCATTGCTGCTGCTATTGTCAGTAATATTGACCTCTCGAATCATCATGCCCAAAAAGGACATCATGAGACCTTGCAATACCAAATCCTTTGGAAACTCTTTCATGGCGTTCATCATGACCGAGACAAATCCTTCGTCGACCAATTGATCCCAGGTCGCCCGTTCCGTATCCAACAAAACCTTCAATGCCCGACATCCCAAGAGCTGAAGTCTCACGGAAGAATGATGGAGTTTCATTCCCATAATGACCGTTGCCACGTCATTGTCGGGCAGCTTGGGGAGTGCATTCGTAGTAGCATTAGCATTTGTATTTGTATCAGTGGTAGCATTGTTGTTGTTCTTGTTGTTGTTGTTGTTATTTGCATTTTCATCATTCTCATCATTCTCATCAGCATTATCATTATCATGATTTGCCTCCCCCGCCTTCTTCTTGGCGACCAGACTGCAAGCACACAAGACTCGCCATCCCCGCGTCAAAATGTCAGGTTCCAAACTTTGAAAGTCATCCAACATGTCCGAGACGGATTGAAAGAGTTCTTCGTCTGGAAAATTAACATATTGATTTGCCTCACCACCACCACCACCATTATTATTATTTATATTAATATTGCTGCTGCTGCTGGCACGGGCGGTGGAAGATTCGGCCAAACTCAAAAAGGCTTGGGCCAGCAGGACGCAAAGCTTGTCTGATAGGCTGCGTAACGTCCAACGGCAAAAGGCGGACGGACTGTAGGAAAAGGTTGGATAGGAAGCTGACGTATTTGCTGCTGATGATGATACATCATCATCATGAGCATCATGAGCATCATCAGTAGCAGCATCATCAGTAGCAGCAGCAGGGTTGTAACTTTCGATTCGTTGTCGTTTGGCTCGTCTGGTCCGGAGTACCGGTGGTGGTTCGTCTTCCCTTATTGTCGTAGCTCTGTGGGCCATTGCGGTAGCTCGATAGGATGCCTCTGCATGTCTCTCATGTCTTTCATATCTCTCATGATCATGACTGTCTTCGTAGTCGTCGTCGCAGTCATCTTCGAATGATATTGGACGCAGTCGTTTTCCGTTTTCATTTCGTGGGAGCTCATCTTCTGATGACCAGCTGCTTCCCATTCTTCCTTCTTTATATTATTATGTTATCTTATCTTATGTTACATGTATGTTGCATGTATGTTATATTATCGTAGAGCGGAGAATAGCGTTCAACTGTCCAACCTTGAATGGGTATACTGTATCATATACTGTAGACGAAGCATAAACTTTGGTTTATTGTGCCGGCACAGGTGTGTTCTAATTTTCTCTATTTAAAATTTTAATTGCTTATTCTCTTGTTCAGATTTCTTATTGGCTCATATATATTGCATTGGATTTGATTCATTCTTCCAGCCTGGCGGGTAATTCAAACACGTCTTCCACGGGGGGTATAGCACCCTATAACGATACTGGAGACTGGAGATGCCCTTCCTTTTATTTTGATCAACACTACTACAGTACACCACGAGACATCATTATTTATGTTTTAAAATAGTGCATGATACATCTCTTTGCTTTTACCAAAAAAAACTGTGTATCATTTGATGAAGAGCATCCATCAAATGAATGAATGATAATCCGCATGCAGAGTAGCAAATTTAGCGCTTCAAACGGGTTATACCAGTACTACTGCCATCTACCCGCAGCGTTCAGTGGCGACACCCGCCTTATCACCTGCGGCGGTCAGACGATCTCTTAAAGGCAATCTGCAAATCAGGGATTGCGGCTGCTATGTATACAGTACAATCATCATCAGCATCGCCATTTGTTTGAAACCACTCCGAGCAGGCAGCCACGGATAATTGCGAAGAAACCGCCGCCCAGTATGTACCCCATCGTTCCACCGTTGAGGCTCCCACCAGCCTCCGCTCATCTTTCAGCAGCAGGCAGTCTGCCTCCTACTAATAATCCGCAACCAATCGAGAGGAAAGAACAAGGGATGTCCTGAACGCTGCGTTTTTGCTGGCTGTGATTGATTCAGCATGCTGGGCTGATGATGACTGTTGTTCGCGTGATTGTCATCCTTATCCGAATCGTCATCAAACCCCCCTAGAAAGAACAAAAAGGAGTAAATTGCAATGAGGTGGCGGGCCTCCCCAGTGATTTGTTCATGTATGTCAGCTAGGTATGATACCAAACGCACCTGCAGTATAAGGTGTCAGAAATCTCCAAGTGTCAGAAAGGCACTCGCGGTCATCATGTCACATTTGACGAACCTCTTCGTGCCAGGATTCTACGTTGAGGCTCACCACCGAGCTCTTGTGGTGCAGTAGGTCTACTAGAGTTGTATACCAGCACAATAGTTGCTGGATGAAACAATGAATCAACCAATCGGGAACAATCGACGTAGCGCCATTATCGCATTGCTTCACATAATATATGTAAATAGTACCGGTACCCCTCCTCCACAGTATATATGCATATATCCTCCCTTTTGTCCTTTTACTACCCAGGCGGTCCTTGTTCCTCCATATCAGGCAGGACCAAGATCAAGAAATAATGCAGCAATGCAGTCATTGGATCTTCCAGTGTCCTACCGCCGGCAATTTTCCTTAAACACCAAAGATCCGTAGATTTTAGTGCGTATGAAACCGTCTCATTCTCTATTGTTGGTTTTCGCACATGATCAGCTAAAAAATATAATACCATAAAGGGCGGAAAGACGTCCGCTATGATGTGTTTTTTTCGACATATATGTATATATTTACAAATGGAGCATGGCAGTTCTTGTGATATGTGCGACTTCAACTTCTTTTTTCTCCCCGAGAAGCAATCAGACGGCTATGCAGGAATGCGAACAGTATATGAAACCAGTTTCTGCTGGCTGGCCCGAAACCCCTGTAGGTAGGTACGTACAGTGTAATAGGACGGGTCGCGCTACAGAAATAAACACACATTTCATTCCTTGCAAAAAACGAAAGCATCTGCAGACACAAATAATAAGACAAGCAGTCTACAAAACAGGAATAATCATGAACAATCAATCTTCCTCACCATCCTCCTGCTCCTCGTCGAACAGCGGCAACACCACAAGCGGAATCAACGAGTCGTCGTCGCTTCCAGCACCATCATCATTGAGGTCACTCCGTGCAGGCATCCACAGATCATTTCCAAATCGCCCACCCATGTTTACGCATCGTTCCCTTGAGGCTCTCGGCCTCAGTTCATCGTCCAACAGCAGTCTAAATCCTGATCACCCGGCGATCCGCAATCAGAGGGATATCCTGAACGCTGCATTGGCTGTGATTCATGCCGATGACGATTTGTTGGCGCAGTTAGTATCCTCGTCGAACTCCAGGAACAAAAAGAGAGATTTGCAAAGAGGTGGGCCTCCTCGGCAATGATTGGATGATAAAAAGCAACCCTTCAGCCATCGAGAGTAATTTTTAACTATTAAAAGGCACCTTATTTTTATTGTATTTTCAAGTATTATAGCTGGAACATAACTGACGTCATAGTGGTTTGAGCCATTCTTTACCGTAGTGGTGACATCCCAAAAGGTCTAGTTCGATGAATCAATAAAGAAGACAAAGTGCTATTATATAATAGTAGCGCCGTTGTTTGAGGTACATGGTAGATTCAAGTTCGAATCCAGTGTGTCAGGTTATAAGAGGGTCCGTGTAGGACCCAATGTGGGCGAAACGGTAGTGCTCAATCATGCAAGAGGATCTTATTCGTGGAACTTTCATTGATGTTATACTACTTCAAAAATACAAGGAGATTGCGACACTGGGTCTTTTGCGTTCAGAAATACGAACTGCTGTCCATCCGCGGAAACTCAGCCTTGCTGAATAATAGCTCGAAACTGCAAAGTCCGACGGGGAGTTTAAGAATATCCAGAACCTGTGCCAAATGGGGAAGTGAGATGTAAACTTCCAACCCCAGTGAGATGTAAACTTCCAACCCCAAAGATACATTCATGTGTTAGGGGAGACCCATCTTGCCACGGGGAGTCAATACTGTAGCTTAGTTGCACATCTCTACATTTTGTACACCGAGGAGCATCCTCCTCGCGTTTCTCCTTTTGTCCGATGAGGCAGTCCTTGTTTTTCTGCCATATTCGAATATACCAGGCAGGACCACTACCAGCGGCAATGCAATCTTTGGAAGTTTTCTTGAGTTTTTTTTACATATATTAGACACGCGAAAGTGATCATAGTGTCACGTGTACCTATGAGACTGTTGGCAAATACCGGTATGATGCCAACGACCTTGCCTCGTTTGCAGCAATTAATTAAAGGAGCCAGTTCGCTGAGCAGAAGACAAATGTTTTCATTTGACACAAAAAATCGTTCTGCGGATGAAGAATTTTGTATTTCTTTCTCTATTACAGGCTTTCGAATATCATAGGCTATAAAAAGGTTTTCCTGTGGTCATAGTGGTGCATGACTCGTTGGTATAACAGCTGTTTTGCAGCTGTTTTGTTTAAGGTGCGGCTTAAAACTTCTCACAAATGATCAGCAGCAGTCGACAATCCAAAAAACTAGTTCAGGTATGCGAACCAGTTACCGGCACCCTCTGCAGGTAGATGTGTACGTACGGTAGAGTACATACCATTTCGTTTTTCGAAAGGTTGCACCGGTCCAGCTCCGCTATTAGCGGTCGTTGATTTCGTTGCAGTTTCACTCCGCACAAAAAAAGAAATCACCTGGAAGACACATACGACACTACTGCAGAAAAGAAGCATACTCATGAACAATCAATCTTCCTCATCCTCCGCTTGCTCATCCTCGGCCAACGTCAATAGCAGCAGAACCAATGAGTCATCGTCGCTTCAAGGACCATCGTTGAGGTCACTCCGAGCTAGCATCCGCAGACGATCATTGCCAAACAGCCCACCAATGTTTAGTCTCGCACATCCTGCCGATCGCCCGATCCGCAATCAAAGGGAGATACTGAACGCTGCATTGGCTGTGATTCATGCCGATGGCGACCTTGTCGCGCAATTGTCGTCATCATCATCATCGAACCGAAAATTGCAAAGAGGCGGGCCTCCCCGGCAATGATTGGATGATATCATAGCTACTACTCGTCAGCCACCGTATCATACACGCGAATGTGAGAGTTACTTTTGAACCGTTAGGACCTATTGAAAAACTTTATTTTTTATTTGCTATCATGTGCTACCGTGTTGATAGATCAGTGGCGTGACTTCTGCTTTGCCTCGTTCTTTCATTTTGAAAATGGTACTCACGGATCGAGTACTGTAGAGCGACCAACCAAACTCCCCAAACTGCAGTACCGGTATGGTGAGCTTCAACTTTCAGAGAGAGCCGCATTGTCGATTTGTCACAAGAATCAATCGAGCGAACATCTTTATCACTTTTCTTGTTTCAGACGCACGAAGGAGCTCGTTGCCACAAATTTTCTTTCCTCCACTAAGGCACAGTGCAGGCACTCGGGTTCATCTATTGAAAGCAACAACCGAAGAACTCACGTCGTCAAGCGATCGATAGTAGTATTGGCACAATCAGCAGGAAGCTCATCTCCCAATAGCGACATGGACCACGAAGAACCTGCAGTCTACCGTGAGGATTGGCCTGACAGTGTTTTGTTTTATATGTGTAATTCAAACTTCTCTTTGTCAGGAGTCAAACGATCCAGTTCGCTGATCATGAACTCGAACATCTATATTTTGGAGTCTATTATTGTAACCTTTGTTTTATAGATGCCTCTAGGATGTACACGTACCTAGGATGTATCTGCATAGCTTTTCTACCGAACTATGTACTTCTTTTTGCTTCTGCATGGTGCCAATTAAATTATGAATGTAATAATAGTCTAGTTAATATTGATCTATATGGATTCGAGAAGAGAGGATAGGGCCGGGGCCGCTTCGTCGGGAGCACTCGTTCGCCTGTGAAACGATGATTCTCGAGATGAACTTCTGTCGGGCCTCGAGGAGGAAAACCAGGAGCTAAAGGAATAGTCATCTATTGAGCTGAAGGAATCTGCAAAAGAGGACGTGGCTGCTGTGTAGTCATCATCAGCACTATCATCAGTTTCCGTTTCCTTTTGTATCCTATTGATAGTCATTCGCTGACCCTGAATGATTTTTTCGTTTTTGGAAATGAGCTCTTTGGCTTGCGACAATTCCTTTTCCAATCGTGAAATCACTTTTGACGATCCGTCCGTCTTAAATTGTCAGAGACCACTCGGTTCGATTGCTCTAGAATGATTTCGTCCTGTCTCTGTAGTCTTCGTTTCAGAATTGTGTTTTCAACTAGAAGGGCGTCATTATTGATGCTAAGTGGACTGCGGGGCGTCCTCTTATTGGCTTGTTGTTGGTCTTCAGCAGCAGGGTCGTCGTCATAATCTTCTTCAAGTTTTGACTCTAGCTCACACGACTTCAATTGCAAGGCCTCACGCTCAATCGCAATGTCATCTCGTTCCTTATGGAGTAGACGACATTCGTCTTGAAGCCTTTCTTCGTATTCTTCCAGTTCAGCATTGAAACAACAGCACGGTCTTGGCTCTTCTTCTTGGAGGACTTATTACTTCTTCGTCGTCGACGCGAGGATTTGCTCTTGCTTTTTGTGGAGCTTGTCCTCTTCTGACTCACTTGAGAGTCGGAACTGAGTCGTTTGCTGTTTCTCTTTTTCTTTTTCTTCTTCGCCTTAGTGTTCTTATCATGATCTGTCGTCGTTTCGTCTTGCTCAAAATCCAACGACAATGTAGACAAGGAGGATTCTGCTAGTACGACGAGACGATCACCACCACTCGTATCGTGATCAATATACATGTCGTTTTGTGAAGGAGATGGTAGACTGTCTTCGGAAAACTCGAGTGTTGGGTCTGATCCGTGCATGGAGAATGCAAACAGGTCGTTCTTGTTGTTAGTCTTTTGTTGGTTATTGCTGTTGTTGCTGTTGTTGTTGGTCTTCGTCTCGGAACTTCTTGCGTGGTAAGTATGTCTTTTCAAGACTCTGTCATCGGGTTGCATCTCTTTGCTATCGCTATCGCTATCGCTATTGCTATTGCTATTGCTAGGCATGGCTGTGTTATTTTGTTTTCTTTTTAGTTGTTGTACGGTAACTCTAGCGCCTCTTTTATTATTTTATTGTGTGATGTGGTTTGATGGAATATTGTGGGGATAATTTTTGGCACTATAGCTCGTCCTATATTCGTACGGTACCAAACCAATTATTTTTTATGTTGGATCGTGGCCATGAATTGAATACGTGTGTAAGGTGAAGATGGTAACAGTCACTATCGTATTACGTTGTTGTTGTGAATCGTTGTCGGATTCCTTTTAATTGTGATGTGGATAATTGCATGTTTATCCAAACGGATCGTGAACGTGTTCGCGTGTCGAACCCGTTCCTCGCCAATATATACATTACTTATTGGCCGTGCATGATAGAGAACAAGCTGGACATCTGCTTGTTTCTCTGACTCATCATGCGACATCTACGACATGCCTGACATCAAAACACTCCTCTCAAGTTGTTCGCATTACCTTAAAGGCGGACGACTTGCATTGCTTAATCCATTTTGGATATCAACAAACGACGGGGTAGAGCAGGTGTTATTCAGCCACTGACATGTAACAATTGGTAGTACCATCTCTTCTGGTAGGTTCGATATGGGGCATTCTACTCCTCGTCCAGTATAAAAAGAAAAATGGGGGGACTTCCATCGATCAATCCACTCAAGAATGCAAAATGTCACAGTGCCGCTCAGTCTTTGACATTGACTTTCACGTTGGCTCTCAGTCTTTGACATTGACTCTCAGCCTTTACTTCTGAAGATATGATGCAGGAATCGGCGTACAAAGCCTTCCCGCTTCGGACCAGAAGGCAGCAACTTTGTGAACAGATCAGATTCATTGTCATGAGTGTTAACGTACGCAGTTCTCCACTCATCTCTGGCAACTCCCTCACGGATGAAGTGATATGCGATGCTTTGCGACTTTTTCTTCAATTGAGATTCCGGAATGGTAGTGTTCGCCAGGACTGACTGGTTGTCTCCATAGATGAAAACAGGACCTTCAACTGGTATACCCATCATCCGCAACTTGTATCTCAAGCCTCTTAGATACTCGCAACATAGCTTCATTGCACAGAACTCACTTCCGAAACTACTTGTCTCAACAGAGGTTTGTTTCTTAGAGAACCAATAGACAGGCGCACAGTTAATATA